AACATTTCAATGAATTTACATTCCAGCAATGCTGAACAACTGTAACATTATCTTGTGGTACTTGGTTAGAATAGACGTGTAATTTGTAGTTATTACTTATATAACTTGAGATAAGTTTCTTGTAACAGAGATAAGAGTGGTATAAGTTACACATTGTTGTGGTTCATTCTAACCCTGATATTACATGGCTGTTAAGCATTGTCCCACATCAGGTGATAAAAACGTAGACCTTTTGGTAATGAAGGGCTGAATTGGAAAATAAATGAAGTTCTTTGATGAAGGATACCTTTCCGTTTAAGCAATATTTCTTGTTTAGAATAATGTTTAACTATTAATGGTTAACAATTACCAAAGTAATGTTTCCTGACAAACCTTTCTGGTTGTAAAGATTTTGGCCTTCATTAAGACATTCATTTTTGTCAGATCTGAAACCTTTAGACTTGTCCGAGGTATTAAATACTTGTTCAATATAATAGAATGGTAAGGCCCAAATTCAAAACACATTATTATTTGATTCCTTGTTATGGGCCCAGAAAAAAAATTAGGGCAAAAAAAATGTTGGGCCAAAAAAGGCCCCAAAAAGTGGGCCTTTTTGGTCATTACTGGGCCTTTTAAAGCCTTATTTTTTAATTTCAGTGACAGTAATGATAGTGTAAATGCTTTGTCTTGCTGGGGTGTTCACTTCGAACCAGGTACATACAGTATAACTGTATTCCAATTTGGAAAAGCCAAGAGCATGTCATTATTCTCCAAGTATTTTTCACTTCGTCTTATCATCTCAAGAGTTTGAGCTACAACATCACCAGACACAGAGGTCTTCATATACAGTAATTGGGAGAATAACAGGAAATGTAATGAAGAACTTGAGATAGCGAAGACTATTCTCAGAGTGGTCATACCTTTCATTTTAAGGTTGTCAGGGGTTAATCTGACCACATTTTTTTAGTAAAATCCCCATGCTATAAAAATGCCAATATTTTTTATGTTGTCATTTTATTCCATATATAAACATACATTGATGTTTAATCAGCTAATTGCCAATGTTTTTCAACATAAGTGGGAATTTTACTTTTGTTTGTGTTTTCTTTTTGAAATAATTGATTTCATTATTTCTTGAAGAGTTAGAGTAAATAAACCAAACTCCTGGATACAAGAGAGAATATGCTGTGGCCGCAGAAAGGAATTTTTTAAAAGGATAAATTTTCAAATTAGATTGTACCATTTGACATTGGGTTTCCCGTCTGCGACTAATATTGCTGAGTGGCTGCGTAAATGTTTTTATTTCCCAAAAGAGAGATAGAGCTATTCCCAACCAGACTCTAAATAGATGGAGAATATGGAGATAAATAGAATTCCTCAAAGTAACTTTAATAATCTCATCTTATAAATTTGGTAACAATCTTATCGTAGTGCTTAACTGCTTACTTATTCTTACCTACTTTCTTTAACACCAGTTGCAATGGGGGTGCTGTAATCTCTCTTGCACCTACCCTTGTCGCAACGTTTCACCTACCCTTGTTGCAACGTTTCACCTACCCTTGTTGCAATGTTGCACCTACCCTTGGTGCAACGTTGCACCTACCCTTTGTGCAGAGTACAGTTAAAATCAAACCTCTGAATAGGTTAGACAAAGTTATAGTTTAGAAGTTCTTCCCCTATTGCAGATGATTGCTATACCCCAGGTCATAAATCAATTCAAACCTACCCAGCTAATATTTTCTCAACCACTCAACTAGCAGAAAGAAACACATTTTAATAAAGGTATTGGCCAATTAAGGGTCAATGATGACATCAAATGAAGAAAATCGTCCATCTGGCGACTACAAGCTATGGTTGACTCGGTTAGTTCAATGCAAAGAGGATAGTTTTGAATCTCTTTTTCCCTCTAAAATGTATAGAGCACTGTGACATGTGCATCTAATCATTTTTCCAGTTAGTGACAATATAGAAGAACACAAATTACAAAATGTTCCTCCTTTTTAACATAGTTTGTATTTTGATTTAATGGACCAGTTCAATAGAATTGGGACTTGAGGCATCTCATCGTTTGAAATACAGAAATTAAAGGCAAAACCAATATTACAATAAGATTGCTTGATATAGTATGGCCATCTCATTACTTTCATCTTCGATATTTCCATGAGGAAAGTGACTGATTTGGGAAAGGGTTCATTTTTCATATTATCTGACTTCAATTTAATCTATTGGCTAGAGCCTGGATCTAATAAAACCTTAATAATGAATAGAGCAATTCTCTTTTAGTTGCCAAACACAATACTTTCATTTTGAATGTTGAGAGCGATTCATTGATGAATTCGCCACTTTTATGATTTGGTTCTTTGATGGTTCTCATTTCAAACTTTTATTGCAGCTTCTCATTACTCAGTATTTTATACAGAAGATGATGTGAAAAATTTTTAGTGACAAGGTTATAATCTTGATAGAAACTGAACAAAATAAAGGAGTTGGGTAAACAAGGCCATTTTAAGCCCCACCTGATTTTCAAGTTTTCTCTTTATTTTATTAATCTATGTGATATATGTGTTTCAAAAATGTATGAAAATTTAGGTCAAGGTCAAATTAAAAAATTCATTATTTTCTACCAAAATATACCTTTTTGGTTAAAATATCACAAATATCTGTAGGAATTTAGTCTCATAGAGGTTGGAATTACAATATATAGTAAATTGGCAATTTGCCAATAATGAGATATTTATATTAATATATTCCGCCCTTCCCACGCAACACTGAAAGAGAACAAAAGTACCTAAAATAATGAAAATACTTTATTATTTTTGATTCATTTAAATTCAGAATGTACATTTCATGATTTTCCTCTGCCAATATCATATTTTCCCTCAGGATAAAATTCATATTCCATCCCTCCCATTATATAATTCTATGTATTCAATAGCAATATCACCCAATTCAATATCGCCCAAATATAACCCAGATAATGTCCTAATATCATAGCAACATCAACCAATTGTCAATCAAATGTCACTCTATATCAATCCAAAATAACCCAAGTATTGGCCTCATATTATTTAAGTAACAGTCCAATATCAACCCTCTTATTTACCAAATATCACCCAATTATTCTGATTGTAATAATATCCCACTGTAAATCCAATATCAGCCAAATATGAGCCAAATAATGAACCCAATATGATAGCGATATCACCCCAATATCAATCCAATGTCACCCAAATATTGGCCCAATGTGATAGCAATATCACCCAAATATCAAGCAAATATTGGCCCAATATCAATCCAATATCACCCAAATATTAGCCCAATACTATAGCAATATCACCCAAATATAAGCCCAATTCGATAGCAATTTCTGACAAATAGCAATCCAATATTAACTTTATATCTGCCCAATTACCAACATATTGCCATTACATAAGCAATATCAAAAAATATAAGTTCTGATATCAACCAAATATCACAACAATCTCCTCCCAAATCAAGCTTATATTACCTCAATATCACTTCTATTATTAGTTGCAATAGTCTTGACTTGTGAAGCTAAATCTTCTGTAACCTGTCTCCGTTTTCTAGGAGAATTTACCTGCTTCCTACATATGCAGCATGAATAGCATTTGGCCATTTTGAATAATCAACAAAAATGGCAGGCAAAATTTTCTATAAAGTTCTAAAATTCACATCGAGCATAATAAGTCTCCATCAAAATTATTCTTTGTATGCAACAATATAACATTTATGTAACTAAAGAAGCACTTATTAGAGTGGAGACTTGTTATGCTCTATGTGAAAACACTCAAAGGATTACTACCTCCAGTGAATAAAAATGTCACCCAGACTCAGCATGAAATGTCCTTTCAAAGCTTTACTTACCTCTAAACTGTACATATTGTTTAAATCAATTGTGTGTATGGATCAAATAAATATATATTTACATAATCCTGGACAGATAAATCAAAAACATTCATTCATAGCTGAGTAAATTGGAATTCATCAAGAGGGTTGTAAAATATGTGAATTTTTTCCTTCTGGCCCCCACCCTCTTTGAAGGTCTCCAGACACCATAACAATTTTTTCTAAATTTTTTTAAAAATACTACCCAAAAATATAGACTTCAATCTATGCATTCCTGATGTTTTTTTCTCCTATTCTTAAAAAAAGTTTTTTCACACTTCAATTGGGGCACTCTCTTTTGCTAGTTTACCCAACTCCTTTATTTAAAAAAATTTCATGAGCAGTGAATATTGCTTGATAGGATACATAGTGTATTTATATATGAATTGGGTTGCGTCAGGCCCATAGCCATGATTTGCCAGGATTTTTCACATTTTGAAAAATTCCAGGAGGGGTATGACAACTTTGGCTCAAGTATGGCCAAAATCACTTGAAAAGTGCTCTGAAAGGTGTAAACTGCATGATTTTGAAATAAATTTTTTGCCGGGTTGGGGGGGGGACGGTTCGATGCAGAATTCACTGCAATAGAATGAAATGTTACATCAAAATATTTGGTTGTTTAATCTTTCTAAATTAAGTATATTCAATATTATTATATAACATTTAGATATTTTGATTGTTCAATCAGTTAAAATCTTTGGATTATAGATTCTTCTAAATGTGTTAGATCTGATATAGTTTTGAAAAACAAAGTTTCTGAAAACCTAAGCCAGATATGAAAAACCTAAGCCAGAAATGAAAAGACTGTGGTTGTAATAAGAGTATTGAAGTCTGACCCCATATACCTTCTTATATTATCAAAATGTCTTTCATTGCCAGTGCAGAACGTGGTGGTAGAACATTGAATAAAGGTATCTTATATATGGCAGAGGTTGTCTTTCCGATCAATCTTTTAGAACTATATTAGTGTTCCAGAACAATGATGATTTTTTTGTTTTCATTATCATATATTGTTGGGCATACCCTGTCCCATGATAATTCTCCTACCCCTCCCTTTTGATTAGTTATATTTCATAAAGTATACATTTCATGATTGTTGTCTTATGTGTTTCCAGAGACCTGAGCTCAAACCAGATTTCACTTATTGATGCAGGGGCCTTCAGAGGATTAGACAAGTTGGAACGATTGTAAGTTTATTTTTATTATCCTCTCTTTTTGTCAATGTAATAACTGTAGGGATAATCTTGCCTTATGTAATACTATTATCTCAACACCCTAATATAAGTTTGGATCCCATATGTCATATACATATAAATAAGAAATTATTTTAAAATACCAAATATGCTCTTTATATTAGCTATTATATTTGCATCAGATTTTTCCGAATAAAAACTTGAAACATTCAGATATTCATCACATAACGCTACCCTCCTCTGACCCTAGAATGAAAAATGTGCCATTGATTATTACCTTAATGATTAAAAAGGAGGAAAGGCCTTACTTGCATATTTCAAAGTCATATGTTACAATGTCAGCGTCATTACAGGCTTTCATGCAAAATGATAGTACTCCATATTTAACACAGGGACCATTTGCGGTCAAATGGAAAAATGATATTGGTTATAATTACAGCTAATTTTGACAGGCTACCAATCCTTTCTGCATCGGTATAATGAAAATTGCTAGACTGTCAATAAAATAACTGCTCTGTCAGCTTCACAATTGATTCTCATCTTCTGGGATGTCAAATACACCTCTGGGAATTGTGGGTAATGTTACTTCTTGATGAATTCTCCAACATTTTAAAATCCGTCTATCACACAATTTTTACCACATTCTATAAATGTATCCCTTTAAATTGTTAAATATTTTTATGAAAATAAATGAAAATAGTACTTTTATTTCGAAATTAAGTGTATAAGATTTGACCATTCTTGTTTACAAAGTTAACAGAAAACAAAAATGTTTAAATATTGAATGAAAATTAGTATTATTTTTTTCTTGTCAACAATACTGGGGAATAATATGTGTGCTATATATTCAATTTTACCCAGAAATGTTTCTAAAAACACAATGTGTTAGATATCATGTCTGTATATTTTGTAATGATTTCACCTTTGGCAGCAGTTCTTCTATAAAGAATGCTTGATTCAATGAGAATAAGCAATTTCATATTAATTTCAGGATATTGATTTATGTCTGCATCCTTTAACATTGTAGAAGAAATGAACTTGAATGATATTTTTTTTTGTTATAACTTATTCATCATCATTGGTTACGATGACATGTCACTGTATCTTTTTGAGACTCATAATACACAAGTGTCATTTGCGCGCTATCTTATAATAAAGCACGATGCCATCCCTTTCAGGAAAATCATATTGAATCAATTCTTATATTCCAAAGTCCCTGTTAATCTTATGCTTTTGAGAGAGAAATATCCGAGGCTTTGGAACCTACCATAGTTTGAACCTATTTTGGGTGATCATATTGATTGTTTTGAGCAGTTTTGTGTAGGATAATAAAAAGTATACATGTAGTCTGTAATACATTCATTAACCATGTTTCTTGGGATTCTTAATATTGTATCCTTCAGGGTAAACTGTTACACAGACTGGCATGTGAAATGTGGTTATCTCCGAAGGCTATAGCGGAACATAGACCCATATGGGGAAGTTGTTATTTTCTGATAATGTATTTTATTCACATGATGCATAAATACTTTTGTTCAATATAATACAATTGTGCATTTATCTGTTATGACCACAACTGCCAATCTAAAAACACTTGAAACTGTCAGAAAACACTCCAAGTCAATTTTCCAACGATTTCTCCCGCAACTTTTACTACATAAAGAAAACATTATAAATTTCTGATAAACATATATAGCACATCGTCATAGTATGTGGCAAGGCGAAGCTATATAGCCTCACCAGACTTTTACAGAAAAGTATTAATTCAGACATTATTTTCAATTAAAAAGGTGAAAATGAAGTCTCATGATATTATTAATATTATAGCCTTTAACTCAATTTTTTGCCTCACCTATTTACATTTGCCTTGCCTATTTCCAGATGCTAGTTGTCCTAGCTACAGAAATGAGAATAATACAATGTATTATCAGATATAAAACAAATATAATATAAAAAATATAAAATTTTATTAACAACATTTGTATCATTTATTTTAGATGGCAAATATATATGAAATATGAGAATGTTGAATATGAACTGGTAATTTGTTTTCTATAACTTGAGATTTCTAATAAATTCTTCAGAATTAAAATTGGATTAGGTTATTGTATAATGTCATGCAATATATCTGGGAGTGTAAGTCAATAGTCCCCAGGCTTTGATTGGCAATTGTATTTTATTTTATGGTACATTGTTGAACTCGACAAATGTAAAACTTAGAGGTAATCCAACCATAAACCTGCAGGCATGCGGTACAAGTATAAATAAATTGTTAATAAACACTGAGCCAGCATAGATTTTTAGATTATAAGAATTTCAGAAAAAATCACTACAGTTGCTGTCAGTGGTTTTCTTTATTTTTTCACTGAACTTATATATCCTCCATTCCTTCTAGCATTTTAACTAATTTACATGTATTATATACATGTCAGTATATGTAAAGCTCTTGGCTATAATTTTCACTTCAAGAGTAGATTTGACGTATCCTGAAATGGGAGTAAGTATACTCTTCCTTGTTAATTCTTTGCATTTTAAGGTGTCATTAAAAAGTATGAAATTGTAATAAATAGCCTATGTATGAGACCTTTTGGCCTTGGGGGTATGATTCGTTGCATTCATGCAGTGTGGTAGTCAAAGGTCACGTAGAATATTCATAAAATATATTAAATTGGAATGATTGAAAATATAAGTTCAACAATTATTCTTTTTACTTTTAATCATGCATTCAAATGTCAGTCAAAATATTTATACGTGAAGAGTTGAGTTTGAATAGCGTCATCTGAAAAGTTAATTGTCTTGCTCAATCTAAAAAACGGAACAGTTGACATTAATGACTTCTCCTTTGTATGGGAGGAAGTCGTCTTATATTTTGGTAAACATTCAAGATAAACAGCCCTGGAGGTAGAATTTCTCAATTGTGACAATTTTCCCATTTATGATGTTTTCCAATATTGTAAGGAGGAATCTAGACTTGAATATCTTCTGTTTTACCATTCATAACCAAGATGTCCTGTACTTTTATTGACAATTTGGAACAACATTTTTATTTCATTATCTTCTAAGTGAATGATAAATATCTCTATTATTACGTTTCTTTGCTCAAAAGATCTACACTAAATTATTAAATATCTTTTTTCTATACAGTGTATGTATGTTTGATTCCCCATTCAAGTAGTCCTCTCCTAATACAATCTGACATATTAGAGCTTATACAAAACTTTTCAAATAAAATCATGACAGTTCAGAATGCCACCACCTCACTGTTCCACTCTCAGTTTTACGTGACATTCTAACAAAAGCGAGAATAATATTTTCATCTATAAGTGGATTTTATATATTGGTATGGTCTCTAAAATAAAAGAGTTTATATCGGCATTATAAAACTGCCAAAACAAGATTTATTTATCCAATTACTGTTGGATTGTAAATTTTTGATCGTGAAAAAAAGTGGAAAGCTCTTAAATCTTTTTTATGAGAATGAATTTTCGAATAAACTAGTAGATTTTTGATAAATGATATATAGTGAAACCTGTTAAGTGGAACACCTCTAGAAGTGGAACACCTTTTAGAGTCCCAAAACCAAATGATTTTATGTCAAGTGACCCTCCCAGCACCTCCCAAGCAGATCACTTTTTAGAGGTATCTAACAAGTTTTATACTTTATGATATATAGTAGGAGTACTATGTATACCTTTCCAAAATTATAGATAGACCAAGAATGGTGAGACCCCATACATACATTGTATATAAATTACATGTTGTACTAGACTTCAGTGCATCTATATTCTTGTTTTTAATGGTATGCTATCCTCTTTCTATTATGATCCAATGCAGAAAACATAAAAACATGATAAAACCCAACTCCTATAAATGAAAAATGTCAATACCAATCTGCACATTTAATGAAGAAATGGTTAGCAAATCATTTACGCTATAAATGTTGTCGAGTTGAAATAAGACTTGTCACATTTGATTATGCCAAGGTCTTGTTAGCTTGAGTTTTTAATAGCTTTGCGGGATATTTTACTGGAGGTCTTATACGATATGAGATCGAACTGTGACAATTAATAAAATAAAAAAAGTATCTGGTATGAGCTATAAATAAACTACAGCATATAGCTTGTTTTCGTGAACATTTTTTATCCAGTCAAAACTGTCAGTGAAACAACAATGGTATGCGTCCATTTCGAATATAGGTATTTAACAAAAAGCAACGACATGTGTGGTGAAAAACATTAAAAATCTCTAGTTCAAGACTGTTCTTATTAAAATTTATTAAGGGAAATAAGGGAAGAATTGGTAGAAAGGAGCAAAAACAATTGCACTAAAAAAAAAATGTTAACAAAAACAGTTATATAAAATATTTCTAAATAATTTTCGCATTAGATTGTTGTCAATCAGTCAACATTATATAAAATACTGTGTTTTTTACAGAATGTTTTCAATAATTGGTTTAAGAGAAAAACATTGTTGAATTCAGTTCACCATATCGATACCTATCCTTTATTGAGGGAAATAAGAGAATCGATCAATGTTAAATTAAATGCAAATAAAAATTATTAAAAAAAACAATAACCAATTAAAAATGGAGTAAAAACCATTGAAATTGGTAGATAATTCAGGGATTGTTTATTACTTTGGTTGGTCTCCCTTTTAATATATCCATCATAAAATCTGTCCATCTGTCTGTCTTTCTGTATGGTCACCAGATTACTCGAAAACAGTTACACATATTGCCTTTTAATTTACAGTGATACGTTTTGAGTGCACATAGATTCAGTAAAAAAATTTAACTTTGAACCTCTTTTTAAATATATTATTTGAAGACTCTTGGAAGAGTCTATTTTTTTGAATTTTAGATTCATCTGTGATTGTGTCTTTGTCAAAATTGTGTCATTTAGACTTAATATGAAAGGCTTTAATAGTATTGCATGATTGTGGTTCTTATTTTAATTATTACCTTTTTTGTAACCTTTGAAGTCGGATTAAAACTTTGAGTTGGTCTTTTAAATCTTCCAACACGCAGATACATGCGACATAAAGGATCAATTTCTCAATGATGTTTTTAAACGCAGCAAGCTTTTAAGATGCTTATACGCATCAAGAGAAGCTTGGAGTGATGTAATATATCTTAAAGATGCTTTGTGTCATTGTATTTACCTGTAGCTATGACTCTCCAGATTTGCTAGATTCTTCATACATTTAATTAATATGGATTGAAATATTGCAGGGAAACTACCCTTTAAAAGAGCTTAAGCTTGACTCCCCTCTTAATATCAGTATGATGCTTGGAGTTGCCAATTTTTTCTGGTCTAAGTATGAAGCCCTTGTGCATGACAAACACAATAAAAAGTTCGGCCGCCTTAAGCCTGAAAATCTGAAAATATTTTCCTAGACATAGGATTACTGCACTTTCCCAATTTTCCAATTATGGTTTAACTGCACTAGAAATGTCGCCAGCATTGTTATGATTTGATGATTCACACCCTGTCTTAAATAATAACTTACTGATAACAAATTCTGGTGATTTCTTTTTAATAATGCAAAGAAATATCTTACCTTATACTTTAATAGAATCTGCTTATCAGTTGTCATGTTTATCTGGATTTATTCTATAATTTTGAGTTATAATGTGATCGGAAGGTGTGATTTCATGACGAATTATATGTAAGGTATATACCAATAACACTATCTCATCTCAGTTAGGGGAGGCATCAAAAGATCAATGTCTGATAGAAAACTAAATAAATCTAGTTTGGGGGGGAGGGGGTCAAAGCTATTTCAGTTTGCTATCCGACAAATTTCAACATTTAAATTTTTCGCAATTTCGACTCGAAATGCCTTGGAATGGTTTAAAAATAAAGACTTTACCAGATGCCTTCTTCACCAAGATGCATGCAACATAGAATATTATGCCTATTGTTGTTGGCACATGTTTTAAGAATCATAAATAAGTTATAGTACTGGCCCCATGAAAGTCCAAATTGAGTCGCTAAAACATGTGAAAAGTCCGCGATCAACTTTCATTGTATTTAGTTTTGAGGGGGAGGGGGGGGGGTCCAACTCAAAACTAGATTTATTTAGTTTCCTATCAGACATTGAACTTTTGATGCCTCCCCTTATTGTCTATTCTCTCTTGGAGTATCAGACAGAAATGCTACATTAAACTTCTGTGGATTCTCCATAATTAACTAATAATTGAGAATAATGTTCAATTTGGTCAATTGAACCTGGTTTTATTCTATTTGAGATGTTGCAGATCACTGTATGTCTGTGAGTCACGTCCTGGTGATTGGTATGATCTAATAACTAATCATCACACTGGTTAAGCCCCTCGAGGCCCAGGGTGACAGTTATATCATTCATAGAATTTCTCACAAAAAAGGTTTCTTACTATCATGAATCCTCAGAGATATTATCAAAATGAACATCTAACATTATATATTAAAACACATAAACAAATGCAATGGGTTGCATACAGTTTGCCAGCATTTACATTTAACATTTATTAGACTCCATATTTCAATGATCTTGAAATATTCAGCAGTGTCAATTCTTACAAAACATGCAGTAGGACTACAACAGTAGGTATGGTAGTCTTTGAGGAAGAAGGCTGTTCTCATCTTTACGCCCACTGGGCCAAAAATCGAAAGCAGTACACTTATACGCCCATGGTCGAAAAATAAGAGGTAAAATAACAGACGAAATTACCCCTTCTTTCAGTTATACACCCAGGGCTTATATGCGAGAAAATCCGGTATATTTGTACCCTAGAAATGTAGTTATCCTAAGAACAACCTACCTGTATGCATACATGTACTTTTCTAATGAGTTTTGTTGTGTGTGCTTTCAGGATTTTGACAGGAAACAGACTGGGTACTATTAGCAGCAGCATCTTCCAAGGTCTCAACAAACTGACACGTTTGTGAGTAAACGTTTATCATTTTAATTTAAAAGAAAACAATCACAAGTATTATACTATTGTATTTACATATTTATGTTCTCCTTAATTAGAATAGAATTACATAAAAATACAAGAATCAGATATTCAAGTTTAATGATAAATATAAAAAAAATTGAGGATAGTATCATTATGTTTAACATTCTTTTCAACCATTCCTCCATCTTACATTTTTGCTTACTTATCTTGCAAATACGAAGATTTGTGATATTAGTTGTATAGTTATCACACTGAATGTAATATGGTGAGGGATAATTCCACAAGTTAAACTTTGCTATTAAGTGTTCCACAACAGCATCAAGATGCTGGGTTTTCTGCAATGATTGTTTAAAATGTAATTTATATATTGTTTCCAGGTCTTTGTCAGACAACCAGCTAAAAACAATACCAGAGGGCGCCTTTGATACACTTCCTGAGTTAGCAAGATTGTAAGTAAAGTTTAAATTAAGATTATACATATTAAAGCCAATTTTTTTGCATGGCTTTGTTGTACTAAAATTACCCAGAAATCACCCAAATGGTGAAATATAACCCAAAACAAATAGAAAACCAACTCTCTGTATAGTGCAGGCTGCCAAAGAACATACCCTTTTTCTATAGAAAGCCTCGTAAAGGATTAAATCTGTAATCAAATTCTCTAAGAATATGGCTTGAGATTTGCTAATGATTCTAACTCAATTATCATTTGAAATGATCACGACAGTACATATATTGAGAGATGTATCAAAATCAAACAAATGATTGTGGTTAGATAATCCCTCCATATCTCTATTTGCATGCTCTTGATGCAATTAGTGTTGATATTATTAAAAATCCCAGGGTTTAGACTATTTCTAAAGAAGAAATAAAGCTGCCTTATTAGATCATGTAACTTGGGGGAAAAAATCTTTAAGATCATTTTAATTCTAACAAAAGTACATCGTGTAACCGCCAATCTTCAATTAGTGCACGCAACTCTCTCTTTTTATGATTGTTTTATATAATAATAATGATACTGGGATTTAATTGTGCTTATGTCCTTGATCTTGATCTCATATTTGTACCAGTATTACCTCCCTCTGTAACACACCAGCTTTTTTTGAAATTTATAATAGGGTAAAGTCTCAAACTAAAGACTAAGATTAACACAACACATAACAGATGAGCCTGATATCTTACATTTTCCATGTATGCTTATCTTAAACTCTGTTTCCCTGCCATGCAACACTACCTGATTGAATATTTATAACAACTCTAATGAACTGAACATGAATGCTATAATTGGTATTGATTATATTGAATTACAGCTCAAACATAGATTGAACATGTTAAGAGGCAATATGCATATTAAAAAAGATACTCATATTTTTTAGATGATGATTGGATACACATTAGCTTTTGGAAAAAAATCCTTTTAAAATTCCTAAATTAAACACCTGTAGTAATTTTACTAATCTTTGAAAATATTTTTCAGAGACTTCAACTCAGAATATCTTATGTGTGACTGTAATCTGCAATGGATCGTGAAGTGGTCAAAAGAGAACAGTGTTAAGATCCATAATAGTACTACATGTGCTTTACCCTCTCAGATGAAAGGCCAGTCAGTCAAAAAACTTAAGAGGAACAAACTGCACTGTAGTAAGTTGGTTGAATCTTACTTTTTTACTTCTCTAGAGATGGGGGTGAACATATTATTGTTTTGTTTTTCATACTGATACACTAGCTTATGTAAGTGTATTTTAAGGGTTGATTTGATGAAAGTCAATTTTAACATAGATTCATCATTTTTGAATCATAATGGCATAAAATTAAAATCACTTAAATTTGGGTCTAGAATGCAGATTTTTATTTGGATATGGTAGACTGATATTTGGTACAGCCTACCCTAGTTTGAGGTAATTTTTTGCAATGAAAGGAAAACACTCGATATAACCTCTTCTTGAAAAACAATCCATTGGTTTTAAGGTATGTTGACCTCTGCCCCTTCTGGCATAACCAAAGCATAATGATGTCAATTAATGTGACTTTTAAAACTCACATGTCAGGGACAAGTGTCATACAAGATGTCACAATGCCAATCAGATGTCAGTTAGCCAGAGTCGAGGATGTTCTGTCTGATACATTCAGGTCACACTGACACCAGTGTGCAATTGTAATATTTTCAATTAGTTTCCGTCTGGAAAAAATACATGCGTCATGTTAGCAGAGGAATTTATTTCTGAAGTATTATGTTTTGAGTTTTTATTGTGAAGGGAATCTTGGTTGATACTTGTCAACTTGATAACAAACCAGGCCTGTATTATATGAATTATTAATTTAAAATAACACGAGCATCTGTTAAAACTCATAAAGACAGGAAAAAGTCAATTTTATGTTGAATGTAAGTGGAGCTAAAATTTAATAAGTAATTTCCAACTGACACGAAACAATTTAATGTCAATGAATAAGATCTGAATCATGTTGCATGTAGATATAAAGAAATGAATGAATATTTTATTTGAATATTAGTGAACATGATATTCACTGATCAATGATTTGAACCAGTATTTAATGTCCAAAAATTAGAAAGGATGGGAACTAAGAGTTAATATATATGCATACCATATTGATAAGTAAAAACTTGAAAATGATTAATCTGGCACAGAAATATATGTTCTAATTGTTTAATTTCAGACTGGCCAGTTGAACTATCTTTATTTGAATTGGAGCCATCAAAAAGTCAAGTTGTCTTTGAGGGTGATAAACTGCCATTTGAATGTCAGGCATCCATATTGGATGAGTCTACTAAGATGTTATGGGTTCGCAAAGGGGAACCAGTAGAGGCCAATCACACGATAGGCATCTACGTTCATTATGATAAGACTCCAGATGAGACCGTTTTGATTAATCGCCTGGTACTCGAGGACCTAACAGTAGAGCATACTGGGATATGGGAATGTCTAGTCCTCACACAACGGGGGAACATTTCCCGTGATGTCAACATCATCGTTATCTCTGACGATGTTCTCTTCTGCCCTGCTGTGAATGTAGAAACCAATAAAGGAACATTCATGTGGCCGAAATCTGTCTCTGGAGTAGTGAAAGATCTGCCTTGTCATGAAGGACGTGCAAGCCACTATATGGGAGCATCCCCCCCTAAAGCATTTTACAAGTGTACCGACTATGGCTACTGGGAGGACCTGGATATTGATCAATGTCAGTACAAGAGCGAGATGACTCGAGTCCTGGAGCAATACACAATGGTAACTAGCATGATTACATTCAACAATTCGTTTTCAATGAAGTATTGCTTTTTGTCACTCGCTAATGAGAAATCACAAAGGTATTAGAGCTAGATAATAGAAATAATGAAAAAGCCATAGATTACAATAAGTATGTGTATGATACATTTTTAATCCTCACTTCTATTATAATCATAATTGATCATAATTCTGTAGTTGCTATTTTTGTCCTTAACATGAACATATTGGAGTTAGGTAATACAAATTACAACAAAAATCATAAATATATAATAATAAGTACATGTATGTGCCTGATATGTTTTTAATCTCCACCTCTATTTTTGTGTAGACAATAAAAACGAATCATTAATCATAAAAGCGACATGTTAGTGTGACTCTTTAAACACTATTAAAACACAATAACACTATATTTGATATATTTCATATGTCACTATTACACTAAATTTGATATTTCATATGTCACTATTACACTAAATTTGATATTTCATATGTCACTATTACACTAAATTTGATATTTCAGATGTCACTATTACACTAAATTTGATATTTCAGATGTCACTATTACACTAAATTTGATATTTCAGATGTCACTATTACACTAAATTTGATATTTCAGATGTCACTATAACACTAAGCTTGATATTTCAGATGTCATTCAACATCTCCACTGTCCTGAACAAAGCTAAGAAGTTGGTAGAATACCTCAAAGAAAACACTGACAAGATCCAGGATAGCAAAGACATTGTTTTCCTCTCACAAATTGTCGACAAACTCAATGTGTTCCTAGCCCTAAAACAAGAGGTGGGTATATACTTATGGAAAGAGCAAATTGTTTATCTAATTGCAGTTCATTGTGACATCTCCATTTTGATATTTTTAATCATATGTTTTCAAATTATTTTTGATAAATAGTCTCTTCATTGGTTTGTGTTTGGAGAACAAAATGATTAGAGAATCATATTAGATGCACATTCTTCAATATATGAACCGATGTGGAAATCTAACTAAGATAAGTAGCGCTAAAGATGCTTTTTGTGATCACATGACTAATACAGATTGACTATGGTGTATTGTGACATATCACGGTATATTGTGACGCATCAAGGTATACTGTGATGCATCAAGGTGTATTGTGATGCATCAAGGTGTATTGTGATGCATCAAGGTGTATTGTGACGTATCAAGATGTATTGTGACGCATCAAGGTGTATTGTGATGCATCAAGGTGTATTGTGACTCATTGAGGTGTGTTGTGACCTATCAAAATTTTGAACTGTATATTTCAGCTTGGAGGGGTGATCTTAAACATATTAAGCGTCATAATGGACGTTGATGAAGAACTGCTGTTGGAGGCCCAGAAATCACACCAGGCGTGTCAAAAGTAAGACCTGCTTTTCCCATTCATATCTCATCCTAGTTTATGGAAAATATATATCCATTAAATTATTTAATTTTTATTTGTCATAGAATTAAATTGAATTCATCTTGCATGTTTTAAAGTGGATCAAATATGGATTTGATTTCACACTTTTGCCAAGCTAAGTCAAATTTTTTTCATTTTATTGTGTTTTTACAATTTTTGAAGTCATTGATTTTACTTCGATATATTAATTTGCACTTTGTGTATTTGTTTTTAGGATGGTTAAAGCTCTTGAGAGAATGCCGAAACAGTTACTCTCTCGGGGAGATGATGTCAGCCTTTTTACAGATAACATCGCACTCGAGGCACGTACTGTCAATACAGATCGCTTTGGCGGCATCACATGCTACGTCCAGTCCAGAGAAATTAGGTCCCAACCATATGGGGAGAACAGCTTTTTATGCAGTATAAAGACAATTCCAAAGAACACTAAAGAAATCCAGACACAAAGTAAAAATTTAATCAAGATGGAGGTAAGAACGAACTTACTACAATCATTTGATAATTTAAGAACTTTTAACAGTTTTTAACATATTTACAGGTTTTACAGGTTATCGTGGGTATTGATTATAGACCTCTCAAATATATAAGGGTTATGTACTGGGAGGTTTTGGATATGGGGTTTATCCAGAGGGAGATATGCATATCTCACGAGGGATGAACCCAATATCCAAACCGACCGTACATAACTGCTTTATCCTATACCAAGTAGAGTTTTCTAATTTTCTTTCAATTTTTTTTCAATTTTTCACACTTTTTCTTATTTTTTCAATTTTTCAAATCTTTTTTTCGAAGCGAAAAGATATGCAATGGAGCGGGAGATATGGAGGTTCAGGATATGGAAACCTTAAAATCAGGATACGGGATATATCTTACCAACAATCTCCCTAAAACTCTACTTGGCATAGGATAAGTCATGTTATATAATGCATAATCATTTTTCGACTCTTAGCATATTTGCCATGCAAATTTCACTCTTATGTCTGTTAAATTGATTGGATTTTGAGTAAAATATTTTGTGATGTTTTGCATGTTCTTTATGAATATATACTTTCAGTATACTTTCTTAGAAATACCTCATGCTATGTTTGTGTATATTTCAGAACTTTGAGGCCTCTATATCTCTTCCAAGTAGTGTGTTCAGCAATATCCGCAAGTTGCTACCGGATACGGATGCTTCTAGTAGGACTCAATACAAGCTCCAGTTTATTGTCTACAAGAACAGCAAGCTCTTCCCTCTACCTCCCTCTGCTGGCAAGGATGTGGCGATGAGTGTCATTTCAAGTAAAATATGTAAGTATATGTGTAATATATCCTGTTCCAGAGATGCAATTAATAAATGAATGACAATGTTTCCATGACCATTGCATAAGTATGCCGTTTTGCAATTATGCACTAGAAGTAGAAGTATTTTGATTGATCTATTTTTTCCTTTTCACGAAAATATTTATTATTTTTAAAGATTTTATTTTTGCTAAAATGTGAGATTTCAAATTTGGCACACATGTTACTATTCTATATCTAATTTATATAAGAGTGTACTATGAGGTTATATAATGGTTCTTTCTGTATATCGTTTTTATACTCGAGTGAGTATATGATATATTCACAAGTGAGCGTAGCGAACGAGTGAATATATTATATTCTCACAAGAGTATAAAATGCACGTTATGCAGAATGAACCATTATATAATCTTATTATGCCACTCTAAGTTCAATTACAGTTGATTCGAACACAATCATAACGATTAAAAACCATAAAAATATCCCATAGCCAACTCAATAATGCTGATGTTGATCTCGAACCATTTATGACGTCACTTGATTCTAGGAAATCATGAAAATTTTCATGATTTTTTTTATTCATTAGTTTCCAGAATGCACTTCTACAGTGGTATACGCTGGAGTGTATACGGAGGAGTTGTATACGATGACGATATACCACTCTCCACTGTATATCGTTGTTATAGACCAATGTTATACAACTGTATTGGACTTAGAGTGGTATAATTAAATATATATTTTCATCACATTTTATTATTTTATAATGTAGCATGGTGTATAAATTTTGGAAATATATACACTGTATCTTCAACTATGGTTGTGAAAACATATTTCGAATTTTACTTCATTGATTTGATGTTTTGTAGTTAAAATAATATCTCCAAAGTGTCACAGTCTATTTCATGTGCCTGTATTGTTGTTTCAGTGGAGTTATCAACAAACAATTTGTCAGATCCTGTAGTAGTCCGATTCACCTCTAGCACTGATGGGATAGCAGCATACTGGGACTTCAAAGCTAGAGGTATTTCACATTTAATTGTACAGTACAATTGAAATATGACTTGAAGAATTAAGTACAATTATCAAGGAGGGTCAATCCTTTATTTATTATTGTGAGTTGTTTCTTTAAGTCATTCAGTTTTATTTTCACATCAATAAATAGTAGTATTCCATCCTTAGGGTATGTGTAGTACACTTGTAAAATTCACCTCAGCAGAATGAAATATTCGTGTAATATTAAAATGTGAATATATCATTTTGACATATGGATGGAATATGCTACTCTTTTTATATTTAGTCACGTGGTACTAAGTATTTGATTGACCAATGAGAGAACGAGTAAGATAGCATGGGAATAATAAATAATTGTTGTATTTTGTTCCATAGGAGGTCTTGGTGATTGGCTGACAAATGGCTGTAAAGTGACTAGCTTTGAAAACAACATCACTACAATCCATTGTACTCACCTTAGTAACCTGGCACTGCTTAAGGTAATTCAGTAAAATAATGACAGTGTTCCTTCATAAGAGTAAAAGTGCTTGTTGGAGGACAAATCATGGCTCCAATCGAAGCAGTCACAATTTATTCCCCACTTCAATAAATACGGTAAACTTTACGCATATACAGCTGCTCTTTAAAGGAATAGTCCTTGCCAGACCCTTTCTCTCTTGATATGGTAGCTATAATCATATATATAGTTTCCATATTTAGCAAAACATGGGAAAATGTTTTAATATGGTCAATATTGATCATTTAAAAATCTAGTGCTTATTTCCAGTGAGCTGCGATCTTTTAAGATTTCTTGCAGGAAGTGATGTCATCAACTCTCAACTTCTATAACCTTGCCCATAACAGTATAGGAAAGTAGCACAAAATCACTTCTAGACAAGTGATCATTACTTTCTGTGCAAAAATATTTTCAGGGCTTGTCAACTTAGAATAAAAGAAGAGATTTTCAGAAGGATTAAATAAGATACAAAGTTGAAAAAGAATATTTAGCTGGTTTTGTAATTCTTAATAGCTCCTCACCTAATGCTATATGCAAAGTTGAGAGTCGATGACATCACTTTCTGTGTGAAATTTTAAAAGATGGCAGCTTACTGGAATTGAGCATCACATTTCTAAGTGATCAAATTTGACCATATCAAAACATTTTTGCATGTTTTGCTAAACATGGGAAGCATATATATATGGTTATAGCTACCATATGAGGAGAGAGATGGTTTGGCAAGGAATATTCCTTTAAGGTGCTGCTTTATATGGGTCTTTTACACATACTATCTAGTAGATTGTAGAACTTCTAGTTTAACTGTATTCAAAGAATTATGAATTTCATCATTAATCAAATAAATCATTTTATATTTACCAAAATACATTTTTCTGATTTCTATTTGAACCTGTCTTGCAGAGACCCAATGAGCCTATGTCTGTTGCCAGATGGTTGGGGATCTTTATTCTTATGGAGCCAGCCATATATGCAGGGAGCCTTATTCTGGTCATCGCGTTGATGATCTGTATTATCACACACATCGCCTGCAGAAGGTCAGTGTACTGAGAATTCTGCTTACAATGATTCAATCAATTTCCAGTTCCTTGAAATACTTGCTAGTTTGCAATAGATGGCAATATTAAGCGTACATCACCTGTTCTTATTGAGATTTTGAATTTTCTAAGCACTCCGGACGCTAGTTTTACATTCTAATGCTGCAAAAGAAAGTCCATTACAAGAACATTCTGTACTTATTTACGAGTAAATTATTTTTAGGAGAGCTCCATGCCCACATTTTGAGGAGGTTTGACCTTGCAAGGTTTGCAATTTTGTAATGTTTAAATGTATGACATGTGGAGTATAATTCTGTGTTCTTGTATTTAGTTATGTGAAGCTGCCAAAGAAGCTACGCCATTCTCTAGTGAACATCTGCATCAGTATTCTGCTGCTGTGTATCAGCTTCACCCTGGGGGTCAACAGAATGGACCACGTCCTCCTCTGTCAGATTGTCGGCATCGCCATTCACTACTTCTCTATCTGCACTCTCTTCTGGATCTCAATTACTTCAAAGTAAGTAGTCCATGTTAATAGATCAGTGCAGTAAATCATGTCATTCTTACATTTCAGCGCAGAAATAGGATTATTTCAAAACGTTGCAATTTGATTTACAAACTTTGCTGCTTGAAATTCATAACAGCATTAATCTAGTCAATATACTCTCGTCTACATAGTGAACCACAAAGGTTTTATATAAACATTCAGTTTCATCAATTCTTGATCTAAAAAAACAATGATGTCAGATTTCCCATTAACATTATCTAGCCGAACATGTTCATTTTTGTTAGAATTTTTTATTAAATGTTTTTTTGAAATATTTTATTCTCATTTCAGTAACTTGTATAAGCAGTACACAAAGGCTGAACGACCCCCTCCACCAGAACCTGACCCCCTGACAGGCCCCCTTCCCCCTAAGCCTATTATGAGATTCTACCTGCTAGGGTGGGGAGTGGCAATAATTATCTGTGGTATCACTGCAGCTGTTAACATTGAGCATTATTCTGGTGTAGAATAGTAAGTATGAACATTATTGGAACTTAATCCATCATAATGAACTTGTATGTATTCAAACAGTTTGACTAATTTGGGAGATTTCTAAGAACAGAAAAAGAAAAGAATTTTGTACTGTCAAGAAGGGATGATTTTTGAACTATAGAATATCAAGTCAAAAGAAAATTGATTGATGAATGAATATTAATGAAAATTGATTGATGAATGAATATTAATTTTGAGTATGAAAATAATTCAAAAGCATCATTTTTATTATTTGTTCTAGTCTTTATCAAAATGTTCACGGGAATCTGAAACTGAGACATAAGCCTAACATTGTATTATTTTAAAATGATTTTTTTTTTTTTCAGTTGTTTTCTAGGATTTGAACCTAGTCTTGGTGCTTTCTATGGTCCAGTAGGATTACTGGTAGCCATTAACTTCATTTTCTTCATAAGGATATCGTGTGTTGTAAAGGGCACTTCAAAAGATACATTAGATAATACAACTGAGACTGTAGAACTTCATGAGAATGAGATTGAAATGATGTCACCTGATGCTGCATCGTGTAACACTCACACAAATAACACTGATGTATCGATAAAGAGCGGTATGGACCCAGAAAGACAGCCTCTCACTCAGCTGCATGGGATCGTTGTGCTCTTATTTCTCTATTTATTCCTCTGGGTATCTGGAGCGTTCGCAGTGAGCAACACTTTCAGAGGATTTATACCACATCAACAATTAATCTTCAGTTACGTCTACACAGTTAGTGCTGCAATATTGGCAATATTTATACTTAGTTTTTATGTGTTTGGACGAGGTGACGTGCGCTTAAGTTGCCGTATGTGTTGTTGTTGTAGTAAACGGGTTATTTATGAACTACAACCGAATACTGACACTGTTACAACAGTGAATCATGGGAATGGTCACATGATCACTGCTAGAGCACAATCTCATACGAGTCTTGACTCGAACACTAACACTAATAAATCCTCCACCTTAACAAATGGTATTGCTAATCGTGCACCTGGTGGAGAACAGCGCAATAATAAAACCCCAGCTATGAACAATCTAGTCCCTTCACAAACTGGCACTATGACGGAACCATCTCTCACCAGTATACCAGAACAATACCCAAACTTTTACAACCCAAGGCAAAATGGTGTTGCAAAAAAATATTGGATTAAAAAACAAAAGGCGATGTTTATGCGTGAGCAGAAGATGCGCCTTCTAAAAAGCAGTCAAAGTGAGAGTGATAAAAATAAGAGAAATAGTTTAAGTAGTGACGCAAATACTCATTCAGGTTTAGAGATCCAAATTCAAAAAGCCAATGAAAACATGCAGAATCATCTTGGAGGAAACATTGGAGGAGATGTAATCGCTAATGGTTACCAGTCACCTGGAAACCATTCATCTGCATATAGTAGTCTCTCTGCTAATGGACACAACTCACAAAATGTACAGAATGCAAAAATTGAACACAATCTTGTGAGAAATACTGGAGCTCCACCTCAGTATAATGATCTTGGCCCTCCTGAAGGGGCACAGACTGTTGCTATGGTAACTGATCCGTTACTAGGGTCACCCGTTAGTCCTAATAGGCCACCTATTGCACCAAAGCCAACAAATAATCTACCTCATATTTCAAAAAAGTCCCCGGGAATGGAACCTGTCTCCCCATTAGATCGTGATAATACCCCTACCCCTGTATCCCACCCAGGGACTAATCTGTGGAATATCACACCAACAGACTCACAACTGACAAACAGCACTCTACCAATCATGAAAGACAATCTTCGAACAAATGTGCAAAGTCCCACATCTCCAGTGCAAAGTATTAGTAACAATGTGGTTCAAACACCAACTGGTGGTACATACCAAGGGGTCTACCAACCTGACTATGGAATTGAGCCTTACATGGACCCCCAGGTCATGTATGAGGTGCATCAGCATCAATTCAACAATTCAGGAACTGAAAACTTTCTCAATGAACTTGAGCTACGTATTCCCCAAAATCATCATTCAACTGCTGTTGCTTTCTCACCCTCCAGGTCTGAAGCCATCGGAGAGACCCCTTATAAACACACTAAACACCGTCACCATGAATCTGACACCCAATCAGACTCTATGGTTCATCGTGGCAGGGGGCACCATCATAGACGGCATCACAGATCGCATCATGACTCGGACAGCAGCAGCAGTCGACATCATCATCATCATAAACATCGCCATCACAAAATGCGACGTCAAAAATCTCTAGATTGGGAAGATCAATTTAAAAACAAAGAGAAGAATGCTTCAGGAACTGTGCCATATGTTTTTGTAGATAGGAAATACGAGGACCACTTAGTGCAAAAAGCTCTTCGAGATGCTCATACTGGTCGTCATAGTGACACAGAATCAGCAAAACACAGCTGGTTCCCTCGATCAGTGAGTGCATATGAGCAGGTTTCCACAAACACAGACCTAGTGACTGATTCATCATCTAGCTCAGAGGATGATGATAATGTATGGGTGCTACAACAAGAAAAAGAAAAATTCAAAAAGGAAACTAGTGTATAAACTAATAATATATTTATATACAATATATATGTACATATATCTTGTGTGGAATTAGTACATACATGTATGTGCAACTTTACCAAAAATATTGTAGTCATGTTTTGTGTAATTTATGTCTAGAGATGCTGAAACTAAATGGCTTCATGAAAAAATATGCAAATACTGAAGTTCAATCTTTTTTTATTTAGAACGAAACACGTAGGTAAAACCATGGTAGATTTTAATCAAGTCGGTCTCTTTTACTTATTTTGATTTCTGTTATGACCGCCTTGTACCAATGAAAAAGCCACGTGCTTTACTGACTCAATGTTTATGTTGGTAAATTTGACCAATCAATGGCAGCCCTGCAGCGTTAGCTCATTATTATGCACGGTCAAAACAAGTACACGTTTCACGAACAAATCTTGCACAAATTCATCATGAAAATACAAATATTTTATCAGATAAATATCAATCAGAGCTACCCAGAGGGAATATTTCAAGAGGAAACGTTGAAAAGTTTGCTGAAATGGTCGAACATGATAGCTAGATCTAGGCTGAGATTCAGATCAATCACAACTTCATGGACTAGGTCTTTGTGCATTTTCACCGCGAATTCAGTTTTAAATCAACATTGAATCGCATATTAATAACTGCTTACATTACAATATACAATATATTGTAACTCTGAAGAAATACTCGATCAGATCCCGGGATATTATCATTGAAAATTTCAAGTTGAAGACGAGTAGTTTGCTTTGTTTATGCGGGTAAACCCGACACTGTTTTGATTGGTCCATCAGCCTGAAGTCACACGTCATGTCCGCACGATCTTGCCAATCAATACGGTTTCGCGATACCCCTGACAGCCTTTGATTTATGGAAATCTTGAAACTGCTAAATAACTCAGCGGGGATTCATTTGATTGTACAAGGCGGTAATAATTCAAGATCAGATAAGTAAAAAATACCCACTTGGGCAAGGCAACAATTTAATGTGAATCAGAACATTTGAACTTATTGTATGTTGTTGAACATAATGTTGATAGCCTGGCCCCTGACTCATCATATTTATCTCTACTATCTACAATTATGTCTATCCATCAGGAGTTAAATTTTGATTAATAGTAGACTAATGTTAAATAAAGGAATAGAATTAAACACAGATTTCAGTTCAAATAGAATGCTCTAATGTGTGCCATTGAAATAGATTCCCTAGGTTTTGTTGAAATTTAGTTACACCAAAGAAAAGAAACTTGTGTGTACCCCCTCCCTCTATTACTATTACTTTGAAATGTTCCTCTAAAGTGACTCAATAGTTAGTTAAATACAACCCAAGTTAAATGACAATGGTCTTGGGCTAGGCTACAAAAAGGTAGATGGAAAGAGTAAACCAATCAGTTTGATTCTGCTGTACAATTGTACTTTTACATGAAGTATAACTGTGTGTATAACCTCTACAGGAGCCAATAGTTGTATGCATACTGTGGTTTTCTAGGTCTCCACATTATTTTTATCTTCATATACTGCAAGAAAATCCACATATTTGTCAACATAACTTCACTATAAAGAAAAGTGTCAAAGTATATAGCAGGTACTTAAATTCATTATGTGGTTGAACCTAAAGCACAACACAACACCTGACGTTATACTTTTATATACACTTTGTTTGTCTTGTTAATACATGTATAGGATTGCAAATTGGTGTGTTATTCAGACAGGTTCGACCAATTCGGCAATTAAGGGTGACATTATGTTGACAAATATATGAGTCATTAGTAGGATGCAAAATGGAAAACAGGGTCAATTGTATCCATTTGCGATAATTCAATCACACCATGTAGCCTTAAAACAAACATACATGTACAAAACTACTGGATATTTCACAGTTAAAAGTTGGTTTGTAGATAAAATGGTAAATTAATTGGTAATGGTAAATTAATGGTTAATTAATTTTAAAGTGCATATCAGTTTTTATGTCGCCACCACAAGTGGTAACATATTATTAATAGTCTCAAACTTTTTTGTGTTGCTGTTTGGTGATTGATGTTTGGCATCTGTAACAAATGGCAGGTGGTGACATTTTGCATGTTAATGCCTTGTTTGATGCCAGAAAACCATTGTACAGTAGGACACCTACATTCATATTAAAATTTTTGTGAGTGTTCTACCATCTTTATGAATCAATTATTAATATGTGTAGCATAAGTCCCTGTTTTCTCTGTTAAAATCAATCACAGAATAACATTTGCAGCATTCAAATATATTGTAAACTATGAAATATTCAGTACTTTTAACATTTATTGTTGTACTTAACATGCTGAAGTAACCAGTAACTAAAGCAATACTTAAATATGCAATAAGAATATAAACAGCTGTGTTGGATGATCCATTTGGAACTATAAACTGAAGAATTTTTGGAGAAAACCACACTTGGCAAGCTGTTCAAGTTTGGGGTTTATTATCTTAGAGAGATGGATTTAACATGGGAGTCAATGGGAGGAAATCATGGAACATGTATAATGCCCATCATTGTCCATTGTTTACTAAGTACTAAGTACATGTCATGGTACTCCATATATAATGTAATGTGTGTTTTAGAAAGTTCGTATACTTGCAGTTTGCATATGTTACATGTGGCCAAATGTAAATAACTGTAATTGTTTTATATGAAAATTAACTGTACAAATGTACAACTGAAAAGTAGAGTTTAGAATAATCAAGTAATGTATGATCTTAAAGTGTCTAATTGAATATATGAAGTCCTCACTCAAGTCCATCATATCCCTGTGTACCTCCCTCCCAATCAATAATATACATGTAGACACCTTGTACACACAGGTGAGGAAATGATAATGATAGAACCAGAGGTTTGATCTAGGACTATTTTCAATTGGGTTGTGCTAAAAAACAAGCAATCGAAAGACCACACTGCAGTATAACACTTGGAAAATGCATTCATATTTTACATGCAAAACATTTGTATATCTTGGATAATTCTGGTTTGGCTAATAAAATATATGTGGTTTCTTGTATTTTGATGTTCCTCTGACATGTGATTTCCCCAAAAATTACACGGCTGAAACTTCCTCAATTAAGTACATAATTCATCTGAAATATGCAAATGTTTTGCTTTTAAAACATGAATGTATTTTCCATATGATACTGTACTGTGCTCCTTTCATAGCTTATTTTTAAAGGTTTTTATTGACGCTCAACCCAACTGAAATGTAGTTTACTCACATGATGTTCTCAATCAATTTAATTGGTTTAAGTTAAAAAGCACTTAATTTATTTCACTATAATCATGTCACAGTTCATGCATTTACCAAATACTGTTTGCCTCTTTTGAATGTGCACGCAGTATCATGGTACGAACATTCTGTTTTCTAATACATATTTTATTTATTTTACATATTATGTTACTATTTACTCATACTGTATTGAATGTAAATTTATGTTTTTGATTATATTAAAATCAATAAACTGAACAACTTTCATCACATTTTTTTATGTAACTTTAAAAATCATAGACCACTTGTTATGGTAACCCTTTCTGAAGTCACCCAGAAAAAGTTTTTATATTAGTAGAAAAAGAAATTTCAAAATCGCTACGTAGTCCTGAACATTTATAACCACTCGTATAAATATTTTGCCCAGGCTGATGTCACCTTGGGTTACCATAGCAACATGATATCAACCAATGAGATTGTTGGATCATTAATCTTGAGGTTATAACTTGGTTATTTTCAAATTGATTGGTTTAGTAATATTAAAATGGCAATATTTTGATCCTGTATACTTCTGGGTCACCCTGTAGCAAAGCAAAACAAGACTTGTATTAAATCCAATGTGCTACTTTTCTTTCTTTATGCCACTTTACAGAAATGATCTGTAAAATCATTTTTTGTGACTGACATTATGTCAAAATGAACAATAAAGTACTAACTGGTATATTAAAAGATTAGAGCTGTTTTTTATTTATTAATTATTATTAATACTTATCAGGAAAATCTAGGACAAATTCAAGCCCCTATAAACTATATCAATTTTATGCAGTAATGTATCTTTGTGTTGGATTTGGCAAATATTTCCAAATATATAGATATATTTCCAAACTCTGGAAAATTATTTGTTTGAATTGTTACTGCCTAAACCACCCAAGTGGAGCACATAAGTGGTACCAAAGATGTTCAACTTAGGCAGGCTTTACTGTATGTGTGAGTTACTTGTTTCTAACATCCAAAAAACAAATCAGATCTAGATAAGATGTTTCATTTCAAAAAACTCCCTGAAAATTTCAAATTAATCCATCAAGTTGTTGGTCTGGAAGTTTGCAGACAAGAAAAGTGAGACACCACCACCCTTCTCACTTAAAAACTGTTTCTTCATTTATACAATTAAATTGAATGTATTGAAGATTAGATCATTTTAGATCATCTTTTCAGTCCATGCCCCAGAAAATCCCAAATTACCTCTTAAATCTAGATATACACATTAAGATATCTCATTTGGAGGAATTCGCTTCTCTGTGGGCTTTGTATAAAAAACCTCTTACCTCATACCCACCTACCCACGTAAGTGGGATATGATACAGTCTTTGAAGGGTTCAATTTTAAACCTTAGTTTATGATGAATTAAATATGCATTTGTAAGGTCCCTTGATGGCAAGTTGCTACTACAACCCAGCTGGGTTCGATTCCCACTCGAGGCATTGAATTAAGCACACTTTCTTTCAATTTCTTTATCTGGCTTGTTAGACCTATGCTCGCGGTCGTTAGTTATTTATTCCCCTGGGGCGCCCTCGGGTCATTACACATTAAAATGCATCGATATGCCTTTACTTATGGATCTGTCATCAATCTATCTTAAATAGTAAGGTACAAAATATTAACAAAATCGGGCCAACGGTATTTGAGTTATTGTCCGGACGGACTTACGTACGTAGGTGTTCCCAATATCCCTCCACACTTCGTTCGATGGGATAATTATTTGTCAGAAACAAGCATAGATAAGTCATTATATTTGGGGTTATTCCCAAGGAGAGAAATCTGCTTCAGACCAGAAATCATTGCACTTCTCCCATCCATGATTATATGCCTGAGATTTTACAATAGATAAAATTCATAGTTTAATCATTACACATATGAATACCAAAGACTAGTTGTGTGGGTTTCATAGCATCTACAGTACTATCTCACAGACAGACATGATGAGAAGAGTGTCTCCGTTGTGCCCTGTACTGCCATCTTTTATTTAACATTTAAATATGTCACACAACCACATAGTGTAGATTGAGATTAATTTGAGGGGGGTAATGAAGCTAATTTGATACAAGTTAATAAAAGTTTTATTACTGAATAATGTTAATTTTTGGAAAAGTTCTGGAAGGCTTATCCTGATTTTGATAAATGATAAGGAGTTAAAAAGTAATGGCATCAATGGAAATTGCGTATATTGATTGATTATTCCACATGTGCTCAACTATTTACTGTCAACAAAACTTTTACACAGAATTTCTGCAGAGATTTCTCCTGTTTTGTCATTATTTTTAAATATTTTGACAAAATAGTGGCATATTTCATGATTTGTTAAGAATTGAACAATTTACAATAAATGAAGGACCCACAGTCCTATGCTCACACAGTTTGGAACCTTCAGAGGAATTTATATCCTGACTTTCAAACAAAAATATTGATTTGGATTTGTAGTCTCAAACTTTGAGAAACTTAGATAGCATAGTTATGTGACCTAGTTTGATGACCTTTGACCTTGAAAATTTTACTTATTCAGAGCTCAGTAAGGTCTTTTGTGATTAAGCTGACCAAAATTTACATCCAAATATCAATTTGAAAAACAACTTTTTTGACCTTTCGAAGGTCACTGAAGGTCAAGTAAAGGTCAAATCCTAAAACTAATGTCAGATTTGAACTCCTGGCAACTTGTAGATGATTTTCAAAAAAAAATTTGGTCAAATTGAAGCAAGTTGAAAAATAACTTATTTTTACTGTTTTTTGACGTCAAATATTTCAAAAACGGTAAAAATTTGATGCTGACATATATTGAGAAATGTGTAGGGAATGCTTAAATCTATTAATGATGTAATTTATTGCAGGAAATGATCAAGTATAAGGCAAACTTTAAGAATCTTGTCACAAAACCTGCCATTGACTTTATACATGAGAAAGTTTCCTGAAAATGATGAAGTCCTACTTTTTTTCAAATTTTATAGAGTAAACACCAAAAACCGTAATTCCAAGAGCTTTGAAATCTCCAGAGGACATAAGTTGCATATACACCAACTACTAAAAGTTATTTGAAAGTTCTACTTCAACAAAGTGTCTAGTTTTTACAGAAAAGTTGACTTTTTGACGTCAAAATCCGCAATTTCTCGGAAACTGGGCGAACTTGGGAAATGGCGATGATAGGTCAAATAGGCATTATGAATATGCATAAAATGGATGTGGATATGACTCAATCCGAATAGCAGTTTTAATTTGTGCGGCCAATGTTGACGGACGGACGGACGGACGGACCAACGGACGGACGGACGGACGCCTGGTCAATCCCATAGGCTCACTGTGTGAGCCAAAAACAAGGCATTAACACGGTCATTTGTTACAGACACCGAACACCAACCATCAAACACCAACTGCCAAAAACTATCCACAAAAAGTTGGAGACCATACCAATGTGTTACCACTTATGGTGGTGACAAAAAGACTGCCATATATGGGTATGAAGTATCAGAATAAAATGCCATTAGTTTATGATTCACTTACTTTATGAATAAGTTCAAAGTACTCCCTAACCCCACCTTAATAAACTAGATAGCCCATTATAAATGTAGGTAGGCCTATGTGTTTCCTACAACATGTTTTGCTATCAAAGTAAAAAACTAGCACAAACATATTTTTTCTTTTATCTATAAATGATTTATTGCTGATCAAAGATGAATGATAAGAATCAAAGTAAAAAATTGCATACCTAATAAATTATATCCAAAATAAGAAGTGATATTGCAATGATATGACACACTGGTTTGGCAAAAATAGTATTCTTTGACTTTTTTCTAATGAATTAAAGCGAGTAAAATGTAAAAAAATGGTATGTGGTACCAGATAAACACAACAAAATTAATTCATTTTATATCCAAATATAAAGTTTGGAAATTGTCTGTAAAGTTACATGGCAACTTGAATTTCTTTTATCTAAAGCTGGGCTACAAGCACTTATAGATTTTTATATCCAAATATTGGCATGCGAATATTGTTTTTGAAAGCAAAGTTACTTGGCAGCTTAATACTGGCCTATTCGAATTATTCAAATATCAATTACATATTTACAAGCAATATAGATTTTTGTATCCAAATATCGGCATGCGAATATTGTTTTTGCCCGCGTACATCACATATACTGTAGAACTACTCGGCAACTTGAATTTCTTTGTTAGAACTTACACAATGCTATTCTAATTATTTCAATACAGGCTCAACATTTACAACCACCAGACTCAAAAGTATCATCTTTCAGTTTACTGGTACAAACAACAAGGACATAGTAGCTTGTACAACACAAATAACAAATTGAACTATGCACCAAATAAGCATCTGCAAATGTTGTTAAGATATGTAAATGTCACATAAATCACACTCAGCAACAGCATGATCTTGCATCATGGGAACAGTCCTCTTTTAGCATGATCTTGCATCATGGGAACAGTCCTCTTTTAGCATGATCTTGCATCATGGGAACAGTCCTCTTTTAGCCAATGTTCCAGCTTTTCAACTAAGTATGTTCATGAGTTACTTCAATCAAAATATTGCCGCCATTGGTGGAAAATTCTTGCAGTTATGTGACTAGGAATTTCTGTTTGAAAATGGCACAATGGATGATTCAATTCCTATATTAATGTCAGTTGACAATTGTATGGGGTCTGGCTGTAGTTGGTGATTTATATATATTACTAATAGTTCATTTATTGTCTGGCATTCACTCGGATCAGCTCAATCTTGTTGCTTAATTGGCGATTATAGTTCTAATGGCGCCACAAGTACGATTTGCAATGGCTTTATTGTTGTTGTAAAAGAATGAATCAATAATTGACATTGATGAACTTAGATATACGTTCTTATTTCTTAATATTTTGTTCCATAACTTGAGCACCCACAGAGTGAATGTGATATATCCATGTGAGTACGAGTGTGTTCATTTTACTTTGACATGGAGACTTTTTCGACAACACTCTTGTACTCCAAATCGCTATAGTCGGATGCCTGAATTAACTGCTGTGATACTCCTTTAAGCTTCTTTACCAGCGCATCCTTACTTGAGGCGTATATCATTTTCTTCTTGACGTGAGCAGTATCAGGACACCTGCAAGTAGAACATAGTATATGTCTAATACTGGGTTTACATACGAGAGGGATACTGGTAGACTTACAATGTTCATACAATATACTCTGTTATACCATGGTCAAAGCAAATGTTTTTCCTAAATTCTCACTGCACGTTAGAGCGGGATAATATGAAACTTTAATATCGGATGATATCAATATTGATATCATCCTTGTGATATTCCCGATATCAAATTCCTCCTGGTGAATAACTTCTTTTTATTATGCACCTTATTTAGATACTGAAATCTGGTTGGATCTAAGCTGCTGGTAATTTGGTAAAACCAGACTTTTTTCTAAAATCTTTTAATTTTCAACCCTCTTATGTCAGGTATTTTTTCAACACCTGACAGGAGACTGTCCATTTTTTTTTTAAAACATGAAGAATCCTGCATGAAATAGATAAATAGTATTTATAAACCACAAAAATGTATATATATTGCAATCACCTTATCATTTACAAAACAGTCTTGTGTGCAATTCAACAGAGACATTTTATTAGAAAAAGGAAATCCCTTGAACAACCCTCTTTTGTACGATGTATACGAAAACAGAAGTTTAGTGCACTCAAAATGACCACACTCTACCACAAGTGTTATAAGACAGTGTGCCATGCTTATAGTATTCACATACCAAATATGAACAGAATCGCTCCACTACTTTTCGACTATCTTACTTCAAAAAATTCAAAAATCCACATGGTTTTTTCTTTTCCTGTTTGGTGTAAATTTTTTGGGGTCATTAACAGAACTTTCACAAAGTTACGAATTCGTAATTAGTAACTTTATGAAATTCTTAAACATTTAAAAAGTTACAAATGACTTACTTATTGTTCGTAAACGAATTTCAAATTGTGATGTCATCTTATATCATTGCGACCAGTTATTCAACATGTTCGTTATCAACTTTTCAAATTATTTCTGAACATATTATGAGCCTCTCGAGTAAGATTATATATGGTATCTTCGGTAGCCCAGTACATTACGAACAAAACTGAATGTAATCTCACTCGATATGCTCGTAATGTATTTGGTTTTGATAGGGGCCATGTTGAATTACTGGTAGATTAAATAAACGATTGAACTGTATATTAAAATTTGAGACAGCCGTGTCTTTTTTTGCCATTGAGAGAACGTGGTGGTGTTAAATCAATTGAGGTAAGAAATCTGTGCATGGCTAGCTCCAGTTTTTTTACTTTTGAAAAGTAATGTGTGCTTCTATGGATCAGCTGGAAGTCCAGAACAAAGAGTTACTATATTTGCACAAAGCCATCTTTAGATGCATATCTTGATAGTTCCAGCCCATGTTAAAGGTCTTTTACAAGAATGTAAGAAATCTTGGAAACATTTACCCTACTTCAATCTATGCATAACATTCTAAAGTATCGTTTTTCTTACCATATCGGGCTATCTGGAGTCGGGAGACAGTGTAATTGACGAAAAATGTATTTGGAACTTCCTGAAAAGCCATCTTGAAAAATTATCAACTCTTCAACATTTTTTGTCAATTACACTGTCTCCCGACTCCAGCTAGCCCGATTTGGTTAGAAAAACCATACTTTGGAATGTTATGCATCGATTGAAGTAGGTAAATGTTTCCAAGATTTCTTACATTTTTGTAAAAGACGTTTAACATGGGCTGGGAATATCAGGATATGCAAAGCTATCTCTTAGAAGATAGCTTTGTGCAAACTAAGTAAACAAAGAGGTGGTCTTGGTACGAGATAAAAAGATTGTACAGTCGCTCCCAGGGAAGGACAATCTAATTTTATTTTGTCAAAATCAACTACCCACTCTGCATGGGGGTCTCAGGTAAACCTTTGGATGGTATATTAATAAAAAACTCAATAAGAAAGTTGATTTCATCAATGCCAAATAATGAAAAAAAAATGTGTCTGATGAGAATCACTCAATCAGGAAGTAAAAAGAAATGACATATCACCTTGAAATGCCAATCGATCCGCGATATAAAAAATGTAGATAAAAGGTGGACCAAATAAATCTACATGACACCTATCAACACTAAGGTTAAAAGTGATAATGAGAAAATTATCATTTTAAATTTTCAGATATCGTTTGAGATATGAAAACTGGTAAAATCATTTTAGAAATGATGGGTGGAACATTGGCGGAGGAATATAATCTCCATCATGAAATATCAAACTTCCCCAGCATGCACTAAAGAAATATGTTATGTTTTCTGAATAAGGGATATCATTTGGAAAAATCTGTAAACTAGACAATAGATTGAAGACCTTACCACGCTATAAATACCAGTTTTTCTTGTTCTCGCCCGTCTTTCAGAGTATATCCCAAGTCGTAGACGGCATATCGACAGTCATCTTGGGGAAGGTCTGCAACAAATTCTTCGTACGACGTGCCTTCTTCGCCCTTCTTTGCATTTTTCATAACCTCTATGGCTCCATTATTTATACCCATCAATATAAAACTACTTGTATGACCCAGTTTCATCTCATCGAACTGCTTTTCAACATCTTTTCCTACTTTCACGCCGGACGCCATGTTTGAGATATTTTTAGAATGGAGGAAGTCAAGGTAGAAAGTAGTGCCCTAATCTCCCATATAAGTACATATGATCTGATTGGTCGATATTCGAAATTATCTCCCGTCAAAATATATTCACTGAAAATGTTTTAGCAGTAAACATTTTTGTCTACGATCCGAGGTTGTATTTTTAAACACAACGAAGTATAGAATCATCTAATGAAGTTTTCAAACGAATACCCCTGATATCCAATTTGAATCATAATTAAATAGGTAAACTTCATTCACAATTTCAGCTAACTCCCATATGGTCTAGTGGTTAGGATCCGGCGCTCTCACCGCCGTGGCCCGGGTTCGATTCCCGGTGTGGGAACTGCTATTTTTTATTTTTATAATCTGGTAGTAAGATCACATGATACTAAATTAATGCATGGTCCCTTGATTATTGGTTGATGGAATATATAAAAAAAGGAATAAATTCAATGACCTTCATTTTTGAACTTAAATTTCAGTTTTATTTACTTATGTCCAGAGAGTGGGGGGGGGATTATTTACACATTGCCTGTGTTATTCACCCTCATACGTTTCTCATGAACATGCATGTAAATGTACTCGATCATGCAAACCAACCATATTACATAAGATATTGAACAAATATTTCACTCTATTGAGGTGAATACCTGTACATCTTTCACAAGTGATATTCCCAGTCTCCGAGCCTTTCGTCCAGTGCCATCCGTACCTCCTGTGCCTTACCTCAGGTAGTGAAGGTACGCAACGAACGAAATGAATTTTGAGAATGTGATATTCCACGAAGCCCGAAGGGCAAGTGGAATATCACCTTGTGAAAGTGCTACAGGTATTCACCGAAAATAGAGTGAAATATTTGTTTTATTATATCACTGTCTAGCTAAACATCCCTAATATTATTAAGTCATAGGTTAACATTGAAATACATATATTTCTACTCTGTTTGTCTACCATTTTGACTTACACTGAACTAAATTATTTACACTGAACGAAAACAAATTCTTTGAAAATTCCCGGGAGCGTGGGATATCGCTAGATATCTCACGGTTGTCTTATTTGATTAGCATTGCCATTGAATATCGCCAGATATCCCACGACATGTGACCTGGTTTTGACCAATCATACTGTCGCTAGCTAGATAGTGATATAATAATACAAGATATTATTTAAAAATGTATATTGTAGGTCACAATACATGTAATATAAACAACTTTTGCTCAAAATAACTTTATTCATTTCTTCAGAGGATTTTTTTATTAGATCAAAGCTTTCGAATTGAACAAGACTTGAGGATACAAGTCGAAAAGCTTGATCTAATAAAAAATGTTGTCACTTTTGACACAATAGCTTCTAGATAACACAATGCAATGGGTTCTCTTCACATGTCACAATAAGGCCATAAGAAGTAGATTCTTTGTTTTGCGCCACATGCTTGAAATTTTGAGTGAATCAGATAAAACAAACACATCCAATGAAATAGCATTCACAGTGGCCTGAAAGTACCATCGTATTTTGTTCAATCAGAATCACACGAAATGGCGGATAATTCAAAATGTGTCATAATTGAGTGTTATTGATTACTTTGGCATACATTTTGTATTTTCTTATTTTTTACCATTGAATAATAGCTATGTTTAAATATATTGTATAAATTGTATAGATATGTGTTTGTAATCACTGCAAATTGGTATGTCATCCCATATTATCACGCCCGGTGATCGTGAATATGGGACGGAGGGGGGGAGCAGGCAATTTCTGCCAGGAAATTCAACAAATCTGGAAGATTTATTTTTTCAAGAAAAAGTTTACTATTGAATTGCTAAATGGATAGGCGCACGGTATGGTAGAATATGTTAGGTTTTCTGGGATTTTTTCTGAAACGATACGCATCTAAGGTATGAGATATATTAAAAAAGGCGCAAGGCCATCAACAGGCACAAATCAACGTTTTTGCTATAAATCAAGCAACAATGGTCTGGACGACCTGTAATAAATACTTGTAAGTGATGTTATCATAACTAAATTAATGTCATTGCTGAATTTATAAAATAAGTTTCCATATGTGAAATAAAAAATAATCGAAAATAATGAATTTGGGACGGAGGGGGGGAGGGGACGGAGGGGGGGAGCAATATGTATATAAGACATGATTAGAGATGATTCGCGACTTTAAGTCCTTTTACTCCGAATGTCCCCATTTTTCAGTCTCCAGGGGTATATCATCCAGTTTCTTACTAAGTTAATGAGTTCATTTTTCAAATGCAAGAATTCGTGTGAAGTTGTTTCACTTCATAGAATTATTACTCCCCCCCTCCGTCCCCTCCCCCCCTCCGTCCCATTTTAATTATTTTCGATTATTTTTTATTTTACGTATGGAAACTTATTTTATAAATTCAGCAATGACATTAACTTAGTTATGATAACATCACTTACAAGTATTTATTACAGGTCGTGTAGTCCATTGTTGCTTGATTTATAGCAAAAACTTTGACTTTTGCACGTTGGTTGCGTTGCGCCTTTTTTAATAGATCTTATATCTTAAAAGAGTATCGGTTGAAAAATAATCCTAGAATACCTAACATATTTTATCATACCGTGCGCTTATTCAATTTGCAATTCAATCGTAAACTCTGTCTTGAAAAAATAATTTTACCAGATTTGTTGAATTTTCTAGCGGAAATTGCCTGCTCCCCCCCTCCGTCCCATTTTCACGATCACCGGGCGTGATTATGCCCATAAAATGTATACATTTCTCAGCAAATAAGTTTGTGTTTTTTCTTGAGTTTGTGTTTGTTTTCCTTGTACCCTTGCATGATTAGGATTTTGCCAGGATGCAAAACAAAGAATCTACTTCTTATGGCCTAACTTGTATTTCAGTCACTATAGAGACATACCATAGGCTATATGCATGATGTGGGCATTTGTTTAATCTCAGTAGCTTGGACTTAAACAGTATTTTTGATTGTCTCATCAGAAAACCACTTTTATTAGACTTTGAAGTTCAGCCCATTTAAATTTTGGCTTTTATCAGAAAAATAAAACTGAAAAAATTCAACTCTTCCATCATTTATAAGATGTACTTAAAAAGTGTGCAGCTATCATCCAAGCCAAAGTTGACTGAATCCCTTAAAAGGACAAGGTGCAATTATTGGCAAATATCCCTATGGTCAAAATGAATCATTCGTAGGTGTAATATGAAGAATAAAATGTCATATAATACTTTGGAAAATATTAAAGTGCTCGGACACACATAAGCTGAGATAGGGATCATTTCGTTCAGTAAAGTTGTATTGACTTACATGGGGCTGTGTACCATTGACTAAACATGAGGATATCAGCAGATCCCAGTAGAGGCCATTGGTTTCCATTGATTATCACAGAAATACCAAAAATACACTATGACCTGAATCGATTGCAAACTTAATAATTTCACAATACGACACAAATGGTTTATCTCATCAAATGTGCAAATATGAAGTTTGCAATCGATTCAGGTCATACTTGAAATTAAAAGATTGTACATTTTTTCATCATTTTTCCCTACAAAATGGCTATAGAAAAATGCTCCAAAAACAATTTTTACACTTATCAAATATCATACAAGTTTGTAAAACCAAAGATTATACTATTATATTTCATTATGTAGTAACATATTTGGATAAGATGCAGGGATGCGTAGGATGTAAATGGATTTTGACAGACACAAAAATACTTCCTGGTTTGGAATATGCCTCTACACTTCATGATTGAATTATGACCCTAATAAGTGGCCTATACATCAATACAGTGCTGAATATAGGTCAACAAGATACTAGTGTGCATATAAATGTAATAATTGAAGCAGAATACTCATTTTGAAAAATCAGATGAATTATTTTTTTCCCATGGGGAGATCCCAATGGTGAATGGAGGGTGTATAAGGTCCTTTGTTTGATTGTTTTATTTTCCCTATTAATGCACTTTTGAGCTTAGCCAAAATGTAATTGTAATAATATTGTAACGACCCTTGGGCACGCTCATCGGGGAGCTGTATAGTGTACCGAGCCAGATACTAGACTCGAAAGAGAATGTGCTAAATTCAATGCTCCGTACGGAAATTGAACCCAGGACCTTCCGCTCTCAGAGTCAGACGCTCTACCCCTGAGCCATAAAGGCTAGCCACTACAGCTGAGAATGTAGTAGCGACTTGCTATCGAAGGTCATTACAATATCAATTTGTCAAATGAAATAAAATGTAAATAAAAAATAATAAAAAGAATTGTGACAGACTGCAAAACCCCTGTGGCTGCTATGAATGATAAACAACTTGTTAAAAATGAATGATTTGCTTTGTTTTCTTCATGGAAATGCAATGGCCCTTTTGATCTTAGCTTTCCATTTCGGAACACTTGTGATTCAACTTGAACATACAGAATAACATGGCTATATAAAAGATAAATTCATAAAAATGGTATAAATCTTAAATTTTGTAGTAGTATTGATTTATTTTCTTCCACATACTGCAATCTCTTATCTATTAGTGCTTAGCAACTGAAAATCCAGAGAAGCTATATCAGCTGGATGGCTCTTGCATTATTACCTACAGCTACAGCACACCAACCATATCCAATCAACACAAATTGATTATCATAATTTATTCCATTAGTACATTTTCTCATCTATAGAACATTGGCCAGCCATTTTATAAAGCTTGGGTTATTTTTATTAAATCTGATTTTTCACACCGTGATTTAGGCTACTTTGGATTATTGTTCATATACAGGCACTCTGGAACATATTGTAAACATCTACAATCTAGGAAACAGTGAATATATCAAATCTTGATCTACTTAAACCATGGAGAAAACATGAGATCGTAAAAGAGAGTAGTGCTTCTCTGAAATTATATAAATAATGGAACACTTTTACATGAAAATGATGAACATTTTGGACAACATATACTAGGGATAGGTTCACCAGAAATATGGAAAGGCAAATCATTCTTAAAATAGCTGTTGGTTTAGTGCTATTTCTCATTGCACTGCTCAGCAAATCAGGTACATATTAAAAGCAAGAGGCCATTGGACTCCTTTAATTTTTTGCTATAGAACTAAATATGTTTTGATTCCATCAGCCTTCAAGATAAGGTATTTGAGGGTCCTAAGGTAATGTTTAATAAACCTCCTATTTATTAGGGGAGGGGGCTCAGTTAGCAATATGTATTCGTAATACTGTTATGAGACTGATAACTTGTAGTATGGTTAAGTGGAACACCTGAGTGTGTAAGTGGAACACCTGAGTGTGTAAGTGGAACACCTGAGTGTGCAAGTGGAACACCTCCATTAGTGGAACACTCTTTAAAGGTACCAAAGGTGTTTCACTTCCAGAGGCTCTACATATGCAATCATAACTCCATTATCTACTTTGAATGTTACTTGGTAAACGTCTTAAATGTCTTATATCTATTTATTCACTGTTAACACACACAAGATAGATGTATCTGAAGTCCTATATCTGCTTATTATTGCAAGCAAAATCAATTATGCTGGCATTTACAATAACATTAAAGCTTCATTAACATGCACTATTGTATTCAATCATTAATAAATTGATTTCTGAATGTAAAACTATAACATGTAGACTGCCTTTATATTTGATCAAGCTCTATATATATTAAAATGCTTTAATACAGTATTTATCACAATGCTTTATACAATGCTTTGTTCCATAAACGTATATCACAATGCCTTAAAGCTGTATATATTTCTATGCTTTAATACCATATACTTAAAGCTGTATATATTTCTATGCTTTAATACCATATACTTAAAGCTGTATATATTTCTATGCTTTAATACCATATACATGTATATCACAATGCTACCATATGTATTACAATGTTCTATGCTTTAATACCATATCACAGTGCTTAATACATATATCACAATGCTTTAATTCCATAATATACATCACAATGCTTATATTAAATACCATACAATGAAACGCAAATAAATATGAAATATTTGCATCAATCGTACCAAATGAATTATTGGATAAGCCCTTCAAATAATGTACATTTTCATTTCCAGTTTTTACCGACCATTTGTTTGAATTCCTGATTTATTTAACAGCTTCTGATATATTTTTTTTCATAACAGCCATTGTATTCCATTCTTATAACAGAGCAAGAGGCTTAAGAGGCCAGAGCCAAATCAAACTAATTAGATACCTAATAAAACCTAACAGGACCTTAGCGTTTCAAATATGGTATACATCCTAAGGGAACAGACATTATATAAGCTAATAAGATGTACAGTAATTGGTTTAGCCTATTACATTATGCATATCTCCAGAGTCTTGAGAGATTGTAGCATACAAGATTGGGCTCCAAACAAATACTTTATCAAGTACAATTTTGATTTGTTTAGTTTGAAATCTCAGTCTGGCACAATAAAATTTAAAAAAAACAACACATAAATGACATTTAGAATTCTGCTGTGATTCAACACAATAGTCTATATCAAGCTTCAAGCCCTTCTGATGCCCCCCCCCCACTCCAACATGTGAGAAGTGTGTGAGACGGTGTTAAGTCAAGAAGAGGGGGTCAAATAGAGTGGAGGTGTGTAGCTAGACTACAACATAACAATGATGTATTATTAAACATAATTTTTTTCTTTTTAGTTGAAGGCATAGGCTGCTTTGTATGCACCTCAATCAATGGCAGTAACCCTGCATGTGAGGACACATTCAATAATTCAATGACCTTAGATGTCTACAAGCCAAACTGCAAAGCAGGAAGAAAAGCCAGAACTGGGCTCTTCCCAGCAACAGACTGTATAAAGCTTAAAGCTGTAATCGGTAATGATTTATTTATTTCATTTATCATAAAATTGCATACAAAACATGCAACATGTCACAATCTAAGACACCACAATGGCATAAAAACAAGAATTATTATAAGATACAGTACAACCTGTCTATGTGGAACACATATTGTACCTCTAAAAAGTGTTCCACGAACAGAGGCATCCACTTCTAGAGGTGGTCCACTTTACAGGTTTCATTGTTTTTCATATTCCATTTTTGTAGGTAATGAGATAGATAAATGTTTATTTTCTAATTTGAAAAACTTAGAACACAAAAAAACTAGCGATATTAACAATAATCATTGTGTGGTAAGGCACACCATCTCCATCTCTATCCTTCTGCACCTGCGATGCAACAGAGAGAGATGCTATGAGTATCAGAATCACAATAATAGTCACAAGCAGTTATTTAAGGATGTCTTACTTAACGTGAAAATGTTATTAATAATTTGATTGACATATACTTTATCCTAGAAGCAAATTCCTGAAACCAGTTCAACTTATCTATATTTCTGTTGATATGAGACCACAACCTTAAATGTTTTGATAAAACCTGATTTCAGATGACTCCAAAGTTGAGCATTTAATCCGAGCTTGTGTCACTGACGATGGCGGTATTAACTCTGAGACTGAAATTGGGAGAATTTCTCATTGTGGATTTATACGTCAAATAAAACTAGATGGCAAGGAAGCAACAGGGTGTATTCTAACGTGTAACACAGATGGATGTAACGGTGCAGTGCACTTATCATTACCCACATTTGGACTACTACTAACCATGTTTGTACTGCTAAGACAGTTAAAGATAATACATTTGTAGCCCATAATTAGAGCTAATTGGACATCTTGCGTCTTATCTAGGTGTATAGAACAGAACTGAAACAGTATACAGGAAAAATCAGGCTTTTCCCCAGAAAGCTACTACATCCCTGACCCTTTAACATATTTTTGATATTTACAAATGCTTTCAAATGACACACACACAGGTTGATCATACAGATGTTCATGTTCAGAAATGGGCAGAATATCTCACTGTGGATTTATTTGCCAATTACAACTGGATGATGTCAAAACGAAAAAAGGATGCATTGTCACAGGTGACACAAATGGAAGTAATGGATCAATTCAGACAAAAAAATCATTATTTGGAATATTGTTAACGTGGTAATTGGCTCTAAGAGGTTCACTGCAATGTCCAGAAGAAGCTCCAATATATAAATCACTTAAAAAACTTAGAAAAGTGTGTTCCACTAAAAGAGGAGTTTCACTTGCAGAGGTTTTCCAATTTACAAATTTAAATGTATTCATTGAAACAGCTCTCTAAAATGAAACATTGACAACAAATGAATTCCTCAAATAAATTTGTTGTTACCAACAATTTTAAATGATGAGATCTCACTCCCATCCCAAATTAAACAATAGCCCCTTGTAATGATGTAGCCTATTTGTTCCCTTTTATGTACATGTGATAATGAGATAGTGTAAACCAAACATGTACAATGTACATTATACAGTGTAAACCATACATGTACATTATACAGTGTAAACCATACATGTACATCATACAGTGCAAACCATACTTGTACAATGTACATTATACAGTGCAAACCATACTTGTACAATGTACATTATGCAGTGTAAACCATACATGCACATTATACAGTGTAAACCATACTTGTACAACTGTACATTATACAGTGTAAACCATACATGTACAATGTACATTATACAGTGTAAACCATATATGTACAATGTACATGATACAGTGTAAACCATACATGTACAATATACATTATACAGTGTAAACCATACATGTACAAAGTACATTATACAGTGTAAACCATACATGTACAATGTACATTATACAGTGTAAACCATACATGTACAATGTACATTATACAGTGTAAACCATACAAGTACAATGTACATTATACAGTGTAAACCATACATGTATGTACAATGTCTGAATGTACATTATACATTACATGATGATGTAATACAATGCACATGGTTGCAGTGACCATCCATTTAAATAATGCATAGTGGTCATTTTGGATTCACTGGATAGAATTTTCATGAATGTGAAAGAGATGTTACAATATATTTCCATCTTTACCTTAAAAACCTCCAATTTGCATTAAGGCATACATTGTAATTCAGTATTTGTATTCTACTTCTCAGCACCCAGAATGAACAGAAAATGTCCCATACTCATGCCCTGAGGGTGGGGCTGGGTTAGATAATGTGTTAAATAGATATATCTTACTTATCATAAATTCCTGCAGTCATAACTTGAACTTACACTTTCAAGAGGCGACCATTTCGAAAAAAATGTTTGCATACATCTTCTTACCATTATACATCTTTCCAACTAATATGAAGAAAATTGTCCAATGGTATGTGTTATCTATCTATGGTTTAGAAAATAGAATATGTACATGTAATTAAGTAAACATTTATGTACTGCTTAAAAGTGAAAAAAATGTTTACCATTTAAAACAATACACATTACATTACATGTATATATACCATTTTAAAGTATGTAGATGTAAATAGGATGCAAGAAGCATTTATTACTTTAGCATTTTAGGTCATACTTTACCCTTGTTCTCCATTTAGACAAACCAATATTTGGAGTAATAAAGTAAATATTTTGCAGTATTTTGTTACTGTGTAGATGAATGGAACAATTAATAAAATCAATTGAATATATGACATGCAGAAATGTCCAAATTCTATAAAATTGAAAAATGGTTATCTCTTCAGTATTGGATGTCAATTTTTCAAAATTATTGCCAAATACATTAAAAGTTTTTAGAAAACAGTCATGACAAAAAATAACACACAGAAAAAGGTATTGTCAAACATTTCATTAATTTCTATTTTTGTTGCCTCTTAAAAAACCCAGGTGAGTAAGGTGGGTCATGTTTACTGAAAGTTGGCTTTTGGCAAGCTAAAGCTGTACATAATGACTGAACGAGGACCAAAATTATAATGACATTTTTCTCGGCTGCTTTTAATCATTTTTTCAGGTATGACTGAATAAGTAATGAAATAATGTACATGTTTATACTTATATTTGTAGAAGAAGGATTCAGCTGCTTAACTATGTATATAAATAATTGATTTAAATTACAGGGTGTTCAAAAAAAAACGCAACCCAAAGAAATCGCTATATCTTGGAAAATACTAGTCCAATTGTGTTCATTTTTTCAGGAAAGAAAGAAGAGACTATGTGTGTATAGCTCCTGCTGTTAGTTAGTTGTAAAACATGATGCCTTGGACACCTTCTCAAAAGACATTAGTATTGGAAAGATACGAAAAACGCAACCAGAGGTGACTGCCAGAGCAATAAACCCTAATAACTTTCTAACCATGGTGTTTTGGCACTTCAGATTCACCACAAATTATCTTCATATAATGTGTAGTGAATTGGGGGAGTTTCATTAAAATCACTCCAGGGACTTTACAGTCATGGTCAAAATGCCTTCTTAAGTCTGGCTGAACCAGGGTGTTTGACTGGGTTTTGAAAGCATTTCGACCAAAACTGAAAAGTCCCTGGAGTGATTTTGATTTCACTCTACATATTAATCATACATTGAATGAAGATGATTTGTGCCAAATTTGAATAGCCAAAACACTATGGTTAGAAAGTTATTTGGTTTTATTGCTGTGGCAGTTGTCTCTGACTGCGTTTTTCGTATCTTTCCAATACTAATGTCTTTTGAGCATTTGTCCAAGGCATCATGTTTTACAACTAACTAACAACATGAGCTATACATACACAGTCTCTTCTTTCCTTCCTGAAAAAATGAACACAATTGGACTAGTATTTTCCAAGATATAGCGATTTCTTTGGGTTGCGTTTTTTTTGAACACCCTGTATAAGAAGAAATTGATGTTGTAATGCTATTTTCCTTCATGTAAATTATGCTTAAAATTGTTATCAATCAATTTGATTATTTAGTAACAAATATGGCAGTGCCATCTATGTGAGTCATGGAGATCATTTCAAAAGAGAAACTTGATGATGTAATGGAACTGGCTTTCAAAAGAGAAACTTGACGATGTAATGAAACTGGCTTAGATTTAGCCAGACTTTGTTTCAAGTACCTTACAGTAGAATAATTTTAATCTCAAATCCTTACTTAAATTGTAAATTTTTAATTTGGCACCAACTTCAATTTGGTGACACACAAATTCTGTACAAAGTCACTAATTTATATACAAAAACCTACTAAATTATATATACAGCTGCAATAGTTCAGAAAATGGCAAATTCACTTAGTTGAAATTAAGTACACTGTATTGCCAAATTAAAATTAACAGTAATGTTACTGAAGACATTGAGGTGGTCTATACAATTTACTGTTTTATTGTATATTGCTGTCCATGTAATTGAAACCTATTTATTGAGTTAACTGTACATAAAAGTAACATGTAGTGAATAAAGATATGCTTAGATAACATTTCGTATTTTGTAAATCATATCATCTTTAAATATGAAATCGAAGTGGAAGATGCTGGCCTATTTCTCAATGCGAATCAGCGAATTCAATCACTAGGAGAACTGTCCATAATTTTGCAAAACGAAACAACAATAGTGCCTGGACAGACACACTGGCAGATAAAGAAGCTAACAAAGGGGAGGGCCACATTTAAAATCAGAAAAAATGTACAAATTTTTTTTCAAGCTTCATGCCCCCCCCCCCCTGGATCTGCAAGTGCGTCAATAAAGAATCATGTTGTATCTCTAATTATCCTTTCTCAAATTAAGAAACTATGACTTATTTAAAAGCTAAGAGAATTTTCTTCATTTTTTCATAATATTATATAATATATATTTTTGAACCAATTGAAATATTGCAGTTTGTATCAAATTTTAATGTAAATTCCATATATTGTTCTTTGTATTTGTTAATTTTTGGTATCTCAAGTACAAATCTGCTCAATTTGAACATTTGGACATTTCATTTGAACAACTTTGACAGTGACTTCCGAAGAAATCAGTGGTGAAGGAGTAACCACATTTCTATACTGTCTTACAATGAATGCTTTTTGTAGCTACTCTGTACATTATCTGTTCCAATTCAGCTCTCAATCATATTCTGTGGTATCTACCAAATATGTATCCTGATATGAAATCAAGATGATATTTATATCGTTGAAAGAATATGTCTTTAGCATATTGATACAACTGAATGTCAAGTTTGTTCAGACCAATAATATCTTCAATTTGTGTCTCTGTTAAATTCCTTTTAAGGGCCAAAGCTTTAGAATTGTCTGCTCCAAACCTATGTGCAAAATGTAACCCTAACGAGTTCTCAAATAAATATTGACTTTCTATCATATATTCAGTTAATCCAAAAAAGCTAAATAACTTTAAGTTTTTCTTCGCAGTTCTTAACATGATTTCATCCTGTGATGGCCCACGTGGTAAATGTTTGTAGGCATCTTCATCCGAAAGCATTCGTGTTTGCCTGTTGTTCGCTGGATTATTGACACACTGCATAAACTCATCAATATCAAGTTCGGGAACTTTTGTCGTGTTATACCAGTCATCAGTACATTTCTTTTGATGATTCCACTCACTGATGTAGCGTAATACAGGATCACGCAATATAGTGATGTAAAAATAGGTCCGATTACGACGTGTATAATCCAATTTCTTCATTGTTTCATCGACACAATTACGATGAGCTGTTAAACTGGCATGAACCCCACAAGGCCAACCCACTGAATACGGACTGAACATCCAGGTATTTTTCTGATGGTTTTTACACTCGCAAGCCCCCCAGTTATTATCTGTGCAATTACACCTGGCATCATATAAATTGTTACACAGTTTGAAACCAAATTCAGTTCCACCACTTTTTGGAATGTGTACAAACACCAATACTGATCGTGCTTCTACGTTCATCCAAATGCTTCTAGATATCACCCAATCTTCGAAATATCTCTTATGAAGAACAAACCCCCTGTAATCATCAATTTCTGAGTGGCCTGGACACATGAGATAAATCAAAAGCATAATCATTAAGAGAGTAACAATTTTGCGAAACAGCGCATCTCGTCGTCTTTTGAAAATCATTATGTTAGTTACCATGTTGCGAAAGCAATGAAGGATATTTGCAATGATACTGCTTTTCTTGTTCAATTGACTCATAACTGCATGAATTTTTATGTTAATACTTAGTCTTAACTTGTCCTTTTTCTTCTATATACTTAGTTAACACCTTATATATATTAAATTTTTGAATCATATTGTGCTTTATGGCATGTATGATATATACTAGCCACTGTGTACAGGTGAAACATTAGAAACCATCCCTTGGGCTATTTACACTTGTAAATGTCTGTCTTGGTCTTAATAGCAATGATTTACAATACACTCCCTATTTCACAATACCCATACAAAAATAATTATTGTATCTTAAATATAACTCATTTGTTTATTCTTCAACAATATTTTGATCAGTTATAATATTACAGATCGAGACTTGAATTAACAAATATTATGTTGAATTAATCGATCAAATTTATTGCACCTTTTGGTGACTGAAACCAAGATGCAAACATATGTTCATGGAACATACATATATGTGATTAAACTTACACAATATACAAATCAATGTCTTGGAGTTTGGCTACAGAATAACAATGTAAAAACTACAAAAGTATGTGCTTACTTACATCTTTTATGTACATGTACATTTTAAACTTAATACATGGACTAAAAATAATATCTTGAATTTAAACTTCAACAAATCCATCACCCATTACAACATATTCAATTGTAAAAAATAAAATGCAAATTTACAGGACAGTCTCATGCTGTATACATTTGGCAGTCTATCATAATAAGAAAAACATTTAAATGGATTACATGAAAACCAATTCATCATTATTGTGTACTCATAAATCCCGTCATTATGATAACATTGAATAGTATTTTCAATTACTAGTATAAATCATATTTTCTCTTCAAAATCATATGAAGTACAATATCGTGTATGCACTCAATTTGTATTTCGAGATCATCATCTTTCATCTGTCTTGTTTAAGAAAATTAAATACTAACAGAATATTTTCATTTTGTCAAACCAACATTCTAAATTAGTACTCTAACTCCAAATACAAAGTAAAATTTGGATATTTTTACTTCATCCAATATACAGATCCCCAATCAGGTCTTCCTCCTTAGCAGATAATGTCATTATAAAAATGAGAACAGGAGGAAAATCTGGCAAAATATCTCATTTCAAATCTTTGTTACTCCTGTACCTCCTATCCCTATCTACTTGTGGATGTGAGGATTGTATGTGGAGGCCACAAGGGCTTGAAACAAGACTATTATGAAAAATAACACCAAAATTCATTAATTCAACTGACAAAGATCAGATTTTTATGCCCTCATGTATGAATTATGCACTCATATTATGAATTATGCACTCATGTATGAGGTATGCACTTGTGTATGAATTATGTACTCATGCACGAATTATGTACTCATATATGAATTATGTACTCATGTATGAACTATGCACTCATGTATGAATTATGCACTCATGTATGAATTATGCACCCATGTATGCCTTATGTACTCTTGTATGCATTATGCACTCATGTATGCGTTATGCACTCATGTATGCATTATGCACTCATGTATGCGTTATGCACTCATGTATGCATTATGCACGTATGTATGCATTATGCACTCATGTATGCCTTACGCACTCATGTATGAATCATGCGTCTCAAGGTGAATTATGCTTAATTCTATCAAATTGGAAGAGTTGAATGAAAGGGAGGGGACAGTGTTAAGGTGGAACACTCAATTTACAACAATACAACACATCATTCAGACATGATTGCCACTATCACTCAGAGTGATGTAAAATTACGATGAAATTACATGTGGAGTACATCAAATTATGGCACTATATTGTGTCATGATACTAATACCAAGCTAGTCCCATGGAACCATATTATCTTATAGTCACAATCAATTGGTCACATGGAATCATATTCAATCAATTTACATGTGAATCCTTTGGTTGTACAATATTGCGTTATGATCAATTTGTATGTGGGTCACATCAACACATGGTATAATTTTGTGTCATGATCAAAGTACATTTGAGTCATACAAAATCATTTTGCATCAAAATCAAAAAACGTTACGAGTCACATGATACAATTTTGTGTCATGGTTGAGATCTTAACTTTAACTTAAGCATGAATGCATTATAAAACATTAGAATCGTTCCTTATACAACATTTTGAAGGTGGTACATTCCAATTATAATTATATGACAGTCGTACTCTAACTTCATTTTCACACATCCTGGTCCCTTTACTTTCTTGTAAACGCTTGTGTTTAGCTTTCATATCAGCAATGCCTTGCTTATGGGTGACTATGTAGGCATTGAAACATCCCCTGGACATGTACTCTGTGTCAAATCTAGGGTCATGGACACGGTTGACCTCTACTGCACTTAACCATGCACCCATTGATATATCTTCACTGTTGAATTTCTTTAAGAATTTTGCACCTATTGATACGTAGTGAGCTAAATCAGATGATAGAAAATAACCACCTCCTCTAGCATGAGGCAGGTATGTGTCACATAGAACCCAAGATTTTTCTGCCCATTGACCAGTCTGTTTAACTTTAGCACGACCATCAAAGAAACCCCAGTACAGTCTTTTAGGCTCCTTTTCTCTAAGTTCGGGAACTATTACGTCCAAACGTGCAAATGTATCATCGTCGGCTTTCATAACAAACTTATAATCCACATGTTTATCAAGCCATACTATACTCTCTAACAGTTTACTGGTCAGGGCAAAATATGAATCATTTACGTTTCTCAAGAGTAAGAGATCATGTTCGTGATCATTTTCATGTGCGAGATGCTTTATCTGTTTTGGAGTGAGATTTCCCGATCCTATTACAAAGAACGGTTGTATGTCATCAGGATGCTCCGACAACCAAGTCTCTCTTATGGCATCACGTCGCTGTATACCATCTGGTGATGACATGACAAGAATAACGAGGAAAGCCTTCAACTTTCCTTGTGGTTTTGGGAAATCCCAAAGTGGCCAGTTGGCTTGTATTGCTTCATCATCTGCCTCACCAAGACGAGTCTCTTCTGCATCTAAAACGGCATCAGTGTCTTCACATGGCATCTTGCACAAAGACAAGTACAAGATCCCACTGAAAAATAGGAAAATCCCACAGATGAGGATCGTAGATGCATGTTTGTTTAACTTGCGGTTTATCCCTGCAGTTCCCCTGCGACTGCTATACATTGTGCCCGGACTATCCCATATACACTAACTAAAACTAACTATTAGTAGTAGCTATAATTCTAGCTCCTCTTAGATTCACAGTATACTGTACTCAATAACTCAATTCTTTACTCCTTGACTTTCTATCTACACATTCCTAAGAAAGTTCAGTGCAGATTTGTTGAAATGTCAGCTAGATACACACTGCAGTATGATTCAGATTGTTGAAGTGTCCCATGTACGAGTATGTTCCAAGTTGTGTAAATGTTTATCATTGATTTGTTAACATCCAAGTATATGGTTGATATGACCCTGGAAGAAAAAAAACATAACTTAAATAAATTAACACCAGTGCCAAGAATGTAACAATCACTACACCAATGTTATTCAAAAGGCAATATCAGTATATGTATATTAATGTACATATCTCCATCTAGGGGTAATAAATAGATACTATCTCATATGTGACTTGGTTTCAAAGCAGTTCATATGTTACTGATTAATCAATGAATGAAGTGTCTATTGTATGAAATTGAAATATTAAATTACACATGTATCCTGTGCATAACATAACACATAGTATACACATAAATGTACATCTAATCAAAACAATAAACTGAATAAAGAATATGTATAAATATTCATATGGCTTTGCATGTGAGGTTGACTAGTAAAATGTCCATTTGAGATTATTTTATCACCAAGAAAGCTCATAAATATTATTTGAGAAGTTAACAAGATAAAACAATTTATAAAACTTAATTAAGGCAAGTGAATGGAAAAATAGCTACAAGTAATTGTTTAGTATATCATATTCCTTCTATATTAATAGGGGTCATCTCAAGAAGGACTTGTACTGAATTCATAACTCCTTTTATTTAAATGCTAGACACTCCAACCATCCAATTGAAAATAGACTTTTGAAAATGTGATTTTTTTTGCAAAAACATTTTACACAAAATCTTAACTTTATACCCTGCAATTTACCAACCTATCGTTATAGAGGAAAATATTGTCTTGTATAAAAAGTGATGTTTTGACAAACAAATGAAAATAAATTATTGCAATATTGTTTAAATATTTTTGTATTTATTTCTCAATGTTAAGACTCATTATTAACAACTGATTTAAATTCTCACTTAAGTTAACTGCATTTAGTTTAAATGAATTTAGTATGAAATATGAGAAAAAACACATTTGAATTGCATGTACTCCATACAACAGGCATACTAATGAACAAATACATTCAAGATTTGTTGAACTTAACAAGGGCAACATAACTTGGCAACATACAGTCTGAGTTGAGTAAACAAAATGGAATAGAATGGGGTGATCTTGTTTTTGGTTGGTCCACCTGTTCTCTTTGGCTTGTTTCAATTATGAATTTCAGTGAAACTTTGATGAAATGATTGAAAGCACCAGAAGAATATGTTTTCTAGTCCTTTAACATGAGATATAAGTGTAAAGGTGAAACACATTTATATATCAGTGTTCAACTCGGAAATGGCAACTCCATGAAATAACAAATTCCACAAACAAAAATATTTTCCCAAATCAGGATGATGTATTATTTATTACAAGTAAACTCAAGAATACGACACGTGACCTATGACATCAAAGTTTTTAACCCGGTTTTGCAAACATTAGATTTGCCCAAAGAAGATTATCATTTGGTACAAAAAATGCAAAATTGAGAAAACTGAACTTGCTTAATAACTTAACAACATACATGCACAGCATACCATTTAATTTAAAAACCAAGTAGACACTCCAATGGTATATATCATGTTAGGTCCCCTAAATAGTAAATTATAAATTAAAAGGGATCAATTAAAAACTAGAAAACAGCAACTCCAGGGAGTAGCAAATCCCACCGAAATCCATTCTTTATCTTTAGGCATAAATATATAGAATTTGAATCAATTCAAATCCATCAAAGATTACATTTTTAATGAAAAATGGCAGCCATTTTTCAAGATAGGGTATATGTGTACAAAATATGAACAAAATCGGGCCAACGGTATTTGAGTTATTGCTCGGACAGACGGACGTATGTACGTACGTAAGTACGGACGGACCGATGGACGGAGGCATTCCCTATATCCCTCCGAACTTCGTTCGATGGGATAAAAAACTTGAACCATATCCATTCACTGGTGTTGGAGTTATCAAAGATTACATTTTTTATGAAAAATGGCAGCCATTTTGAATTTAATGACCATCTTGAAAATGTCTTATCTAGCAGAGCTCATTTTTATGAAAAATGGTGGCCATTTTGAACTGAGTCGCCTTAACGAAAATTCCTTCTCCAGCAGTGGTCCTACACCCATAAGGCTTAAGCCTATAGAATTCGAATCAAATGCTTAGAGGTGTTTTTGAGTAATCGCCAGGACACACGGATGAATGGACGGCTAAGGACTGATGAAAGGATTGATGGACGAACAGATTCTCTATATCCCTCTCGGACTTTGTTCGGTAGGATAAAAAATGGCCCTCTTATATTTGAATCTTAAGTGGAAAAACAGTCTATTTAAAATTTGGATTACAAAAGGCATAAATTCTTTATAAGAAACAAAGGGAAACATTGAAAAAGAGATGAAACTTTAGGCCTTAGTATTAACATAAGTTTTAACTTACTGGTTCTCCGGACGCACATCTTGGACACTGTACAGTCTTCATAGGACTTTGCTTCGTTTGAGGCACCTGGAGAATTTAGAAATATGATATAATTTGTATATACTAGAGAGAATGTATATCCTATTGAACACTGTTTTATGTTAGAAATCTTGTAAAATGTCTATACTTAAAATAACACCAATAAATCTTGCAAAGAACAACTGAATTGAGGAATTTGGTGGTACAATGACAAGAACAAGAGATCTGAGGAGTGAAGAATTATCCACTTTATGGACATGCAGTATGTTTATTTTAGTACAGTAATTGTTTTCTACTCTGAAAAATGTTTATTTTCATATTGACTACTGACAAAGTCCTCAATTTGTATTTCCTTTCCTAAAACATAATTACATGAGACATTTATGATATCAAACAGTTTTCAACAAGATTTGAATTTTAAAAAGTTGTACTTTGCATTCATAGCCACTGTACTGGTTTTTCTTCTATCTAACATATTTATAGAGATATTTAGAACATTATTTTGTATGTATTCATAATTATTAAAGTGTGTTGGTGCACATTTGGAACCAATCTAAAAATTCATATTCAAATAACCATGAATGCATTTCTTAAAGCATTCTTAAAATAAAATAAGGAATATGTAAATCTATTGTTATGTGACGCCATAATCTCCATGGTAACAGTGATTAATAAATATTCATTGCTAAGAATGTTACAAGATGATTGGTTACACAATATTATTACCTTAAGGCGAACACCCCCTGATATACGTGCATGTCATTTTATAAACAAAAAAATGAAGTACCTGGATATCAATTTCCATTTCAGAATGGTTTCGCTCTGACTGATTCACTGTTACATCTGGTTGTGTAAAATTAGAATGTGAAATCCCCGTCACTGATCCAGTAGTTTGGTTATTTTGAGCTCCAGTTGCTGAAATTCAATTAAGGACATCTTATTAGATTTTACTCCCAAGGTAGTTCATTGATATCAATTTTAACAATGTCAGAGTGCAGATTATTTTGATTTGCAATCTACTTAATTATTTAGAAAAAGATACTACATGTTTATATAACAGTACATAGTACTTTAGACATACCCAGTGCGTACATTCACACTCCTTGTGTGTAAGTGGATACTTGGATTAGATTACAACATTCCATGCACCCAAGCACAAACAATATCTAAAACAGTTCTATGATATAATTCATCAATTTCAGATTTTGGTGAGAATTTTAAACATGTTTAATGCTTGTTAAACTATAATTAGTTTATAACGATAGAACAAAATCATTTCAGATTTGGGTGGGGAATTATAAACAAAAATATTTTGAATTATAAAAGCTAACAAAGTGCAACTGTCAACATCTTGATGCATTTAACCCTGCAAGGCTTTCACAAGCAAATAGTGAAGCAGACTAACTCATTCTGATCATACACATCGCCTCTTTCCTTTTCACTGATCTCATTGCTGAGGAGAGTTGAGATGTCATGGTTAATCATGATATACTTCTTTTCATTCTAAAGCTCAAGGTGTTAGACAATACAGGGTGACACACAAATTGCAATTGATCTTGTCAAAAATAGAGGATTTTTCTGGCAAGCTCTTGCATCAAAAATATGACTCGATTAGGTTGATTCAACTTTTTTTATCATTGTTTTGCCAAATAAGGAAGTCATTTCTGAATTGATCTGACCTCTTTGCTGAGGAGAGTTGAGATGTCATGGTTAATTATGATATATTTCTTTTCATTTCAAAGCTCAAGGTGTTAAACAATACAGAGTGACACAAAAATTGTGATTGACCTTGTCAAAAATAGAGGAATCTTCTTAATTTTGCTTGTAGGCTCAATGCAGGAAATACTAATAGCGATCTACTCATATGGTATTTAAATGGTATTTAGGACTTTGGGATTGAACGCATTTTTCCGGCAAGCTCTTGCATCAAAAATGTGACTCGATTAGGTTGATTCAACTTTTTTTATCATTGTTTTGCCAAATAAGGAAGTCATTTCTGAATTGCTCTCATACACTTTATCGGATTATAAAGTGTCTAATTATAACCCAAATGAAATATATATTAAATGTGTGATATATTAGTGATACAAACAATTTTGTCCAATGGCTGCGACCTTATCTTAACCACAATTTGTGAGATGTGGTGCATATATGTGGGCATATTATTTGTGTCTATTCATTTAGACAGTTACATGATATACAATGACACTGATGGTGTAGATTGTTTTGAAATAAGTGTAATAGATTTCAACATGTATATTTGTAACTTGCCAGTCTCAGTGGGTTAAGAATAAGTTTACTTCATAAAGCTCTGATTATGTGAACCAGACATTTTTATTGTCGCTCTGTAGATTCTGTTCAAGATCAGACGAGTTATTTGATTCTTTTGTTTCTAAATGTTTTGTTGACTGGTAAAGGAGAACTATAACCAGATTTAATGTACATGATTAATCACTATAATAATCTACGTGAATTAATACTTACTGGGTTGAAATCCAGCAAGGGGTACTTTAGTCAATGCTTCTAGTCCACAACAGAGACGCTTCTGAAATCAAATATGTACATTTAAAACAATGGTTTAAAATATGCTACAAGAGAACCAATGTACATTGTATTGAGGTATTTGTTTGTGAATTTATAGAATTTATCAACTGCCTCTGTTCCTTTCAAGACTTCTTTCTAAAGTGACGCTCGACTCTCCGGAGATTTCTGAAGGTTCAGTCATTTGCTTTAGCAAACTCCTAGCATTTCGTTCAGAGTATGTGAACCCTCCTTCAGAAATCCTCAGAGATTTTGAATGGTACTTAGTGAATTTCCATCAAAATCACCATTTTGGTTTCTCAGTACTGTATTGTAGGAAACTTTTGATGATATAAAGTAAGCAGCTGAATTCAGTTTTTCACTTTCATCTGTCACTATTCTGAAGCGGGTGACAGGGGCGTGTAAAGGCTGTTCTAACAAATCAGCCAGCCTTTGAAAGAGGTAAGTAATTATAATACAGATGGGAACATTTCAGAGCTCCTAAAATGACAAATTAAAAGATAAGATAAATATCCTTTGAATATGATTGCAGTCAATGCTTTAAAATATGCTACAAGATAATCAATGCATTGAGGTATTGTCCATGTCAATTTATTTTTGGAACAAGATTTCCTTGGCCAAAATTGTCAAATGTAAACTCTCCCAGGAAAAGTGACTCCCCTCCCCCATTGGTAAAAGCTGGCTATGGCCCTGTGGAAGGAATGACACATGATGCTGCTTCATTAAATACATTACTTATTCCACATATCTCTTATCCTAGACAGAAAGTGTCAAAGACAGAAAATGCAAATTGAGAGAGCGATAGGGTTGATTTTAAGTACAAGAGTTTCCATGGCACAGAACTATAAAATAAAACAAGGCCACATCTGTACAGCGGGTCCCCTCCCTACCATTAGGTGTTGCGCAGCTACTATCCAGGAGGCCGTTTCTCGAAACTTATTGTTATTAACGAATGGTTAATCGTGGATTCGTTTCTATGGACACCGCATCGTGAATGGAATAATGAGACCGCTATTTGTACTTGTAAAATCAATCATGGATAACGAATAAATCGTTAAAAATCATGACATCAGTGACCTTTTTCAAGACTATTTTAACTTCAATCCGAGTAGCAATATACAGTGTATAATTGTGCATTGTGTATGGGTTGTAGCTACTTGACTCACTGTGGGAATTTCCTTGTATTTTACCTATCAACATGTCAAATACATTGGTGTGTATATAACATTCACGATCTTATCAATATTGCTTTACTTGATTCCATATTTATGGAACGGATTGATTTACCAAGCTTTTAAGAAATGAAGGGATATAGAATGGTAACACTAAACACGAAATAAGTTTGTGAAACTGTAAAAGTTATCAACTGCCTCTATGCCTATCAACCTTCTTTCTGAAGTGCCACTCTACTCTCCAAAGATATCCAAATGAGGTTCAGTCATTTGAGCATTTCGTTGAGAGCATGTGAACCCTCATTTGAAAATCTTCAGAGATTTTGAACGTTACTTATTGAATTTCCATCAAAATCACCATATTAGTTTCTCGGTAGAGGACAGTGATGTAGGAAACATTTGTCGACACAAATTAAGCAGCTGAATTCACTTTTTCGCTTTCATCTGTCACGATTCAGAGGTGGGCGAAAGGGGCGTGTAAAGTGGGGGACAAAAATAAATCTCAACCCTCAAAAGTTGTTACAATGAGCTAAATTCTAAGTTTCGTGTCGCAAACTCTCCCAAGGGGTAAAAAAATAATTCCCATTCACTTTAAGTAGCACAATAAATGATTCCAAAGCTTCATATCTGCAAATAATGGATAAATCCCTACCAAATCGAACGAATGTTTTCATGAATCGCCATGTTTGTGATCCAAGAAGGATTGACTCCCAGAATGCAACATCGGGTAACCTTGTTTACTCGTGACAGATTTCAAAATGGCAGAACAGCATTTTGAAAGCTGACATGTGTCATGTTGCATTCTGGAAGCCAATCCACATTGCGGCGTAATCGGGCTCCAAAATCACCTCAAAATTTGAAGAGTCTGCATTACATGTGAATCCCACTTCAAATTTTTAAGTTCTTATTTGTCATTATGGACACAAATTCCACTATATCTGGACTTACTAAGATGGAGAAAATAGAGCACTGAATACACTGGGGTAAGAATTTATTACATATGCGACAGCATGTACAGTATTTCCATAGCTTTTGTAATTTATGTCCGCCACTGTAAATGCTGTTCAAACAAATTAGCCAATCTTTGAACGAGGTAAGTAATAACATAATACAGACGGGAACACTTCAGAGCTCATGAAATAACAAATTAAAAGATAAATAAATAAATACCCGCTGAATATGATTGCAGTCATCATCAATAGATCTCGGAGTCTGTGAAAAATTCTCAAAATGCCAAGAATCGTCCCCAAAACTGAAACACTCTTTTCTCTTCCCGTTTGGCATTTTCAGAATATAATGGCATTCGAAATATGTCCTGCATAAAACATATCCTTATCTATGGCGTAATTTGACTGTCTTTTGCATAAAATGTGGAAATAAAATATTTGAAAATTTTACCGGAAGTAGCAGGTGCTCTTTGAGCATGCGCATTGTAACTACTTAGATTGAAAGGGTAAATGAAAATACCCAATTACAATATTTACACTTTATCATATTATTTACCATTATTTCGAGACTGTACCTTTCTTGACTGTTTATTTTTGTAAACGAATTGCACTTTCGCCTTAAACAATGTATATTTTTTTACTCTTCCTGTAAGAATCACGAGCACCAATTAATCTCAGTTCCGACAACCCTTTATGGATTGTTTATGGAGATAACATGGCAGCCATAGGATATTTGATCAATTTATGAAATTCTAGCATTTTTAGTGAAGTATATGGCATTCTGATGTCATAAAAATGCCAGTAATACATTCAATTTGGAGAAAATAAAATGTCACACCAGGGAAGAGGGTAAGTTATGTCTTTATTTATATCCAAGTACTTGTTCTTGGCTACTGAATTCAAGTGAATATTTTTTCTCCAATTTTTCTAGATCTAACTTTCAGTTTCATTCAAGAGGAAGGAAAGTCCCAGAGCTTTAAAGATAACAGACATTAATTATGTCTCTTGCTTACCACATTCGTTTGTTCGAATTTTCACCGGCTAGTTTCCAAATACTACACTTCAAAGGCACAGTATCACCAAACCAGCATATTCTGTAAAGTGGTGAACATATATAATTACTAACGCTATGAAAAAGACATTCTGTCACATATATCATGAATTCTTACCTCAGTGAATTCTAGTGCTTTATTTTTTCTGTCCCATGACACGTGCCAGCTTTCAAAATGCCTTCCGCCATTTTAAACCTGTCACGAGTAAATAAGGTTAACTGATGTTGCATTCTTGGAGTCAATCCTCCTTGGATCACAAAAATGGCCATTCCTGAAAACATTGATTCGATTTGGTAGGAATTTATCCATCATTTGCAGGAATGAAGCTTTGGATTAATTTATTGTGCTACTTAGAGAGAACGGGAATTCTTTTTCTACCACTTGGGAGAGTTTGAGACATGAAACTTAGAATTTAGCTCAGTGTGACAACTTTTGATGGTTGAGGTTTATTAATGTCTCCGACTGTACACCTTTCTTTATCTTGATATGAAACAACGATGCGCCAGAAATGAACATAATATTATTCGAAGCATATTTCGAAAATTTTAAGGCTACTATTTTAACCAATCAGAGAAGTTTGTAATCTCAATACAGGTTTATATTATAGGGTAGGTCATTTTTGAACTCTGGGGTTAACCCCCCCCCCCCCTGGTTTCACTCAGTTCAGTATATTTACAAATAATTTTAAAGCATCTAAACAGGTCAAGTGTCACATTAAATCTGTGACAATTATTGTCAAACCTAAAATCTCGTTCAACTACTTGCTAATATCATATCAAATATCCTGCAAAGTTTACATCCATGTGTCCTTACAAGTTGACAAGGTACAGTATGATACGGAACACACGTACAGTTTTGATAATTCGATCTATAGATGACCAAGCTAACTTACAACCACAGGGTCTTTATGATAGGCTTACATACATAGCAGACAAAATCTAACAAAATGAATATTGATGAACTCAAATTTTAATTTCAGACCTGGGAAACTGGGGAATCAAGTCTTCCCTGCTCCCAGTGATTCAGTTGTTATGGACTCCTTTACCCCCCGGAGTACAAGCCGCAGTTTGAGTGGTGGGAGTAGGAATGGGAGTCCTACAACCCCACGACGTAGAACACGGTCTCGTTCTCCCAATCATGAAGATAACCGTACTTTGGAAGATGCTAGATGGATTGGACACAGAAGAAAAATTGGATTGTCACAAACAAAGAAACACAAGAGTGGAACTATTCAAATTATTATCACTGATGAGGTATGTCATATTTGTAGTGTTCTTTAGAGAAGGTTTTGTGCTTCTTATCATGAAGAAGTATATCATATTTGTAGTGTTCTTTATAGAAGGTTTTGTGCTTCTTATCATGAAGAAGTATGTCATATTTGTAGTGTCCTTTATAGAAGGGTTTGTGCTTCTTATCATGATGAAGTATGTCATATTTGTAGTGTTCTTTATAGAAGGTTTTGTGCTTCTTATCATATGATGAGGGATGTCATATTTGTAGTGTTCTTTATAGAAGGTTTTGTGCTTCTTATCATATGACGAGGGATGTCATATTTGTAGTGTTCTTTATAGAAGGTTTTGTGCTTCTTATCATATGATGAGGGATGTCATATTTGTAGTGTTCTTTATAGAAGGTTTTGTGCTTCTTATCATATGATGAGGGATGTCATATTTGTAGTGTTCTTTAAAGAAGGTTTTGTGCTTCTTATATGGTGAGGTATGTCATATTTGTAGTGTTCTTTATAGAAGGTTTTGTGCTTCTTATCATGAAGAAGTATGTCATATTTGTAGTGTCCTTTATAGAAGCGTTTGTGCTTCTTATCATGATGAAGTATGTCATATTTGTAGTGTTCTTTAAAGAAGGTTTTGTTCTTCTTATCACGATGAAGTATGTCATATTTGTAGTGTTCTTTATAGAAGGGTTTGTGCTTCTTATTATTTGATGAAGTATGTCATATTTGTAGTGCTCTTTATAGAAGGTTTTGAGCTTCTTATCATATGATGAAGTATTTCATATTTGTAGTGTTCTTAATAGAAGGTTTTGTTCTTCTTATCACGATGAAGTATGTCATATTTGTAGTGCTCTTTATAGAAGGTTTTGTGCTTCTTATCATACGATGAAGTATTTCATATTTGTAGTGCTCTTTATAGAAGGTTTTGTTCTTCTTATCACGATGAAGTATGTCATATTTGTAGTGTTCTTTATAGAAGGTTTTGTGCTTTTTATCATATGATGAAGTATGTCATATTTTTAGTGTTCTTTAAAGAAGGTTTTGTGCTTCTTATCTTATGATGAGGGATGTCATATTTGTAGTGTTCTTTATAGAAGGTTTTGTGCTTCTTATATCACGATGAAGTATGTCATATTTGTAGTGTTCTTTAGAGAAGGTTTTGTGCTTCTTATCAGGATGAAGTATGTCATATTTGTAGTGTTCTTTAAAGAAGGTTTTGTGCTTCTTATCTTATGATGAAGTATGTCATATTTGTAGTGTTCTTTAGAGAAGGTTTTGTGCTTCTTATCACGATGAAGTATGTCATATTTGTAGTGTTCTTTAAAGAAGGTTTTGTGCTTCTTATTGTATGAAGAAGTATGTCATATTTGTAGTGTTCTTTAGAGAAGGTTTTGTGCTTCTTATCATATGATGAAGTATGTCATATTTGTAGTGTTCTTTAGAGAAGGTTTTGTGCTTCTTATTGTATGAAGAAGTATGTCATATTTGTAGTGTTCTTTAGAGAAGGTTTTGTGCTTCTTATCATATGATGAAGTATGTCATATTTGTAGTGTTCTTTAGAGAAGGTTTTGCGCTTCTTATTGTATGAAGAAGTATGTCATATTTGTAGTGTTCTTTAGAGAAGGTTTTGTGCTTCTTATCATATGATGAAGTATGTCATATTTGTAGTGTTCTTTAGAGAAGGTTTTGTGCTTCTTATTGTATGAAGTATGTCATATTTGTAGTGTTCTTTATAGAAGGTTTTGCGCTTCTTATCATATGATGAAGGATTTTATATTTGTAGTGTTCTTTATAGAAGGTTTTGCGCTTCTTATCATATGATGAAGGATTTTATATTTGCAGTGTTCTTTATAGAAGGTTTTGTGCTTCTTATCATATGATGAAGTATGTCATATTTGTAGTTTCCTTTATGGAAGGTTTTGTGCTTCTTATCATATGATGAAGTATGTCATATTTTTAGTGTTCTTTAGAGAAGGTTTTGTGCTTCTTATCATATGATGAAGTATGTCATATTTGTAGTGTTCTTTATAGAAGGTTTTGTTCTTCTTATCACAATGAAGTATGTCATATTTGTAGTGCTCTTTATAGAAGGTTTTGTGCTTCTTATCACGATGAAGTATGTCATATTTGTAGTGTTCTTTAGAGAAGGTTTTGTGCTTCTTATTGTATGAAGTATGTCATATTTGTAGTGTTCTTTATAGAAGGTTTTGCGCTTCTTATCATATGATGAAGGATTTTATATTTGTAGTGTTCTTTATAGAAGGTTTTGCGCTTCTTATCATATGATGAAGGATTTTATATTTGTAGTGTTCTTTATAGAAGGTTTTGTGCTTCTTATCATATGATGAAGTATGTCATATTTGTAGTGTTCTTTATAGAAGGTTTTGTGCTTCTTATCATATGATGAAGTATGTCATATTTGTAGTTTTCTTTAGAGAAGGTTTTGTGCTTCTTAGCATATGATGAAGTATGTCATAGTGTTCTTTATAGAAGGTTTTGTGCTTCTTAGCATATGATGATATTTGAAGTGTTCTTTGGAGAACGTTCTAGCATCTTATCATAAAAAATATCATATGACAACTTGGCTAGATACTGTAAAATTCTATTTTATGGTCTGAAATAAACTCTCCCTACTTTATCTAATGAGGTGTTCTTTACTCATATGAAGAGTAAATATTCATATTTGATTTTCATTAGATGAATTAGAAATTTAAAGGGGATAATGTCATTCATGTTATACATCCTAAAATATCAAAAACTTCATTCTTGCAAAATTGGGTCAAACATGTCTATTTTGTACCATCTCTTTTAATCTAATTACCTTTCTAGTTTTTTGAAGAAAGAAAAGTATCTCTGACTTTTGACAAATAAGACAAATATATTAATAGTAGATTTTCTTAAGTATTCTCAAGGTGCGGAAATCTTAATATCATATGTACACACAGACCAAGATATTTCTTATATCTATCCATCATTGCATAAACATATGAGAGCTATATTGTTTATTTTATACTTAATAATTGCTTAATCTGTGAGATCAACGCAAAGATGATATATTAGATAAATATATGTAGCTGCCCAAAACAAATAGATGATATTTCATGAAGACTGTAATAATGAAGACCTGTTAATGTCAAGTAAAGAGTTACTACATAAGTATATTATATGTAAAATGACATCTAAAATTAAAGAATATTGAATTGAGTATTTGATGAAGAGAAACACTCTGAAGTCAGAAATGCCTTGAGATTAAAAAAGCACACGAAGCTTAAAATGGTATACTTAGTTGGAGTGATGAATACTGCTATAGATATAGAGAATCGTGTTAGAAACATGGAGCCAAAAGATGTTGTCAAGGATATGGTAAGAGATTGCCATGATTATATAACTTCCAATAAGGGTTCTGAACCCAGGCAGGCCCGTAACCAGGGGGGTTCCCTTTTTGGAAAATTCCAGGGGGGGGGTTCACTTATGACGATTTTGGTCCAAAAATGAACCCCCCCTGGCTACAGGCCTGCCAGGGTTGTGGATAATTTTGATGCTGGTATGCTGATTTACTCTGATTTTTGTTTTGTTTGCAAATAAGACAAGTCTGAGAAGCTTGTTAGAATATATTATATTAATAATCTCATCATTTATTCCAGCAAAGGCAGGAGGAAATGACAGCATTCATGAATGACAAAATCAAGATGAAAGAGTGCACTCGTTATGTACATGACCCTAAAAATAAAGATACACCAAAGTAAGTAACCCATTCCCTCTTGTCTTACAAGGAGAGATCAATTAATTAATGGTTCCGCATTTAATCATTCATTGCATCGGGTACGAAGTATCTCATTTTGTCAAAATCTCTTTGTTTAATTGTCAAACCTAGTATAGATTTCCAGGGAAACTCAAAACTTAGGCAGTTTTTTGTCTCATGTCATTCTATGCCTCTTTTCTAAGAATAATGTTAATGCTCCTCCCTCCCATTAATTTTCATATGTTCATTTTTTTTATTTCATTGTCAGATGCAAGTGTGGACAGTTAGAGGATAAACACATCCACAGCATGAACAACTATATGGCAGCCATGTTACAACAACAGCAGGCAGGAACATTGACACATGGTATACAACCTTTCATACCAATTTTATGGGTGGTTCAATCAATCAATGATGTATACAACCTTTCATACCAATGTTATGGATGGTTCAATCAATCAATGATGTACACAACCTTTCACATCAATTTTATGGGATGGTTCAATCAATCAATGATGTATACAACCTTTCATATCAATTTTATGGGATGGTTCAATCAATCAATGATGTATACAACCTTTCATACCAATATTATAGGATGGTTCAATCAATCAATGATGTATACAACCTTTCATATCAATTTTATGGGATGGTTCAATCAATCAATGATGTATACAACCTTTCATACCAATTTTATGGGTGGTTCAATCAATCAATGATGTATACTACCTTTCATACCAATTTTATGGGTGGTTCAATCAATCAATGATGTATACAACCTTTCATACCAATATTATAGGATGGTTCAATCAATCAATGATGTATACAACCTTTCATATCAATTTTATGGGATGGTTCAATCAATCAATGATGTATACAACCTTTCATACCAATTTTATGGGTGGTTCAATCAATCAATGATGTATACAACCTTTCATACCAATATTGTAGGATGGTTCAATCAATCAATGATGTATACAACCTTTCATAACAATATTATGGATGGTTCAATCAATGATGTATGCAACCTTTCATACCAATTTTATGGGATGGTTCAATCAATCAATCAATTAACACATGTTATACAACCTTTCCTACCAATGTTATGGGATGTTTCAATCTATCAGTGATCACTGATGTATGCAACCTTTCATACCAATTTTATGGGATGGTTCAATCAATCAACTGACACATGGTATACAACCTTTCCTACCAATATTATGGGATGGTTCAATCAATCAAACATGTTTTTGGAACTCCCTTGTTATTTCCCCTATACAATAGTTATAATGAAAGGTTTGGATCCTTTTTCTCGCTACCAGCACATTCTTATAATGTGAACACTTTGTTCCTCAGTTTAAAATTGTTCCAAATATCTTTGACTTTCTTACATTTGATAAAACATGCATTACAAAATATACCAGGTTACTGAATAGATGACCCATTTTTACAGATATGAATAGAATGAACATTATGGAGAGCTTTCAAACAAGGCACACAAAACAAAGTGGTGATGAACCTGATCCATGGACAGAAGATGACATTGCTGAATTCCCAACTAATGCTTTCGGCCAAATTGACTTTATACATGAAGATCTTGGGGGAAGGAAACCTGCTAAGGTATTTACCCTTTCTATCTGGCTAGTGTGAATTTTCATGACCAGGTTGCAAATATGATAGCCAAAATATATTAGGGGTCCAGAGTCTTGAAGCAAGATTAGCCAAAATACATCTTTTGGAGAACTCTCTAGATTTTAGCTCGTTTGATATTCCCTTCATGTACTCGTATATCATGAAATATTTCTGGGGTTAATGTTTTTATATTTTATTTCAGTTTATACGCTTATCTGATAAAACCCCAATGGAAGACGTGATCACACTCCTGGAGAAACACTGGCATATGTTAAACCCAGAGCCTCCTAACCTTGTCGTGTCTGTAGTTGGCGGGGCCAAGAACTTTAAACTAGATGGGCGCAAGAAAGAAGTGTTTAACCGAGGTCTTGTGAAGGTATGTCATATTCAAGCGACTAAGGCATGGATTCAGGGAGTGTTATGACTTTGAATTCACAGCTTAGTGAATCATGGCCTGGTTATCATGTCATTTTCCAAAATTACCTAATGGGTTTCTGTTTTTACTCTGGAACTTTTATTGATCGTAGACCACCATACAAATGGTTATGAAGCAAATTGCTTTGACATCTATGACTGCATACAATGATAATTATTAGATTTATGTCACCATATAAATGTATATTGGAACCAAAACAATTGCACAATAATATAACTAGCTGTACTAAAGCTACTCTATAAATGACTTGTTTTATCCTGTCTTCTGTGAATTAAAATAATCCAAATAGCGAGTAAATCCTTCTTTATTTGACATTTCAGGCTGTTCAGAGTACGCATGGGTGGGTGATTACATCAGGTTGCAACATGGGTATTATGAAAGCTGTTGGAACAGCCATCCAGGAAGGCCAGAGTTTTACATGGGGAAAGAAAATGACACGTGTGCTTCGTTGCATTGGTATCGCCCCCTGGGGATACATTGAGAGGAAAGAGAAGCTAATCAGCCAAGATGGAAATGTAAGTACAAGTAGTATTCTGTTTTCAACAGTGCTGTTGTGATAATGTTATACTGACTCTTGTTCTATATATGCCAGCATTCAAATTTTGTAGGACACTCGCTGCCAAGTAAAATACCTCATTTTCCAAATAAGGCTCATTTTCTTAAAGATGAAAAGAGAAAATGAAGCCCATTTTTATACCCAAATGCGATATTTTATCTTATAAAGTACAGTATTATAATCTATAGCTAAGAGTCCTCACACTCTGTATTTTAGGGCAAGTTCCCTGCCAGTTACAAGGTGAACAACAGTATTCGCAAAGGATGTCCTGTACCACTAAACCAAAACCACACTCACTTCCTACTGGTGGATGATGGGAAAAGAGGCACCTACAGTGGTGTTGCAAGTTTCCGAGCATCTCTAGAGAAAAAGATTTCTCTGCCTGTTGTACCAAAGGCAGGTGGAGGTGCGTCACATTTTACATTCTATTGCATTGATTGTATTATGTAAAAGACATATTAAATCAAACGGTTAATTTTACAACATTCAATCGGAGAAAATTGCCTTTTCCCCCACCGATTATGAAATCACTATCTTGTGCTCAATGACAAAATCTCTATTTTTTCTTCTTTGCAGAATGTGGCCTAGGAATACCCGTTGTCATGGTAGTAGTTGAGGGAGGGACTGATGCAATAACTGACGCATGTCAGTCACTCTCTGAAGGTATCCCAGTTGTCATCTGTGTTCCCACAGGACGTGCGGCTGACATCCTCGCTTATGCGTTCAAACATACCAAGACTACAAAGTAAGGGTTAAGCTTTACGGCAGAGTATAAGTATAAATATTAGAAAATATCTGATGTCAAAGTGATTTACCAAAATATTTGTACACAACAATCAAATAAGGGTTAAAGGAAACCAATCCCCACTGCAAAATCAGAAGCCGTGTGGCACATTGTACTCCTCAACTAAAATTCAAATGGTTTAAGAGTGTGTTTATATAAAGTCTTCAGTTGTCGCATAAATGGCATCCCAAAAGCTTGACTCATTTTTATAAAATGTGACAATTTGGATTGCACTCATGTAATCCTATTCCAAAATAAAAAGTATGAAAAAAGTTTTTTTTTTTTTTTTAAAAATATTGACCTACAAAAATGTCTTTACTTAATTAAAATTGAATTTTCAAAATGCATGCATGAACAAATTGAAATGTATTGCAGTAAGAAGCGTGTAATCAAGGACATCCACAGAGAAAGGCTAGAGGAGAAGATAGAGGAAGCCTACAAAAGTGGATGGAAAGGTGGGGAGAAGGAACATAAGGAAAAGTTGAACAAACTCATGACAACAGTACTCAAATGTTGCGAAAATGAAAATTTGGTATGTATTAATATTGCAAAGAAAAAACTGTTCTTCCTATTTTGTTATCAAAGAGTAAGATAGATATTTCATGTAGGGGAATGTGTATATTTCCCTCGAATGTACAGTGAAACTTTTCCACTGTAACTCCTTTTTGTAGGCTGTATGCAAAAGAACAAGTCCAACTGACTTACATGTTAATGACCCTCTCTGTAAGGAACCCTCTCTATATGGAACAGTTTTCAAAAGAACAAGTCCCACTGACTTACATGTTAATGACCCTCTCTGTAAGGAACCCTCTCTATATGGAACAGTTTTCAAAAGAACAAGTCCCATTGACTTACATGTTAATGACCCTCTCTGTAAGGAACCCTCTCTGTTTGGAACAGTTTTCAAAAGAACAAGTCCCACTGACTTACATGTTAATGACCCTCTCCATAAGGAACCCTCTCTATATGGAACAGTTTTTAAAAGAACAAGTCCCACTGACTTACATGTTAATGACCCTCTCTGTAAGGAACCCTGTCTACATGGAACAGTTTTCAAAACACCCAAGTCCCATTGACTTACGTGTTAATGACCCTCTCTGTAAGGAACCCTCTCTATTTGGAACAGTTTTCAATAGAACAAGTCCCACTGACTTACATGTTAATGACCCTCTCTGTAAGGAACCCTGTCTACATGGAACAGTTTTCAAAACACCCAAGTCCCATTGACTTACGTGTTAATGACCCTCTCTGTAAGGAACCCTCTCCACGGGATACCAGAGTATCCGCGTATATTGAGTATGACCGGTTCTTAGGCTACGAATATGACCGTATTTCTGTTCCAATAAACAGACGAGGTGAGTACTTGCTTTTTATGAACACTTTCGAACGTTTTCTTTTTATCCTACTTGGTCAATGAATGATACTTGGTATACTTATAATGCCAGGCATATCACAAGGGGCCTTAATCAACAGAAAACGTATTAATATTAGATTGAAGCCGTAAAATCCTAGTTTCCAGCATCTTTGATCAGTTTTTGTGTAACACAACGCAACTCCGAAGAGGATGACACATCTTATGTATAATATGTAGCTAGATCTACGAATTAGTCATGAATATTTTAAATAACTTAGCCTACTCTGTCCAAATATGATACATCTTTGAATTTTTGAGAATACGAATGTCACTGGTGCCCCATTATTGGAGAATACGGTTGTGAAATGTCTTGGATCGGCATTTAACCGGTGTTTGGATACGACTTTTAGCGGTGACAGATGCAAAAGGTAATTCGAAATACCAGAATGTTGAGGCTCTTCAGACGCTTGCAGTAGGTCTCCAATATAAAGTGGGAAGAACTAAATAAGAGTAGATGACTTATAGTGTCAAGAGCCTATTTTTTCCAAAAGAATTCAGTTAAACGTAGACCGAAAACAATAGCCTTGTTTGATTATAATTATGTTGTCCCATTTCAGACCTTTTGTAGATTTGTGGTTAAATCAGTTGACCCGATTTCAGAATGTTGGCGAAAGTAATGGCAAAATATGCTTTTAGAACATTTCTTATCGAATTTCAGTAATATATTAAGACAGGTTTTATACCAATACATTACAATGTATGGAAAGAAAAGTTTATCATGTATTTGAAGATATAAACATATTACTCTGTAACCAAATTGCTGAAACTACACATTTAACTTAAAATACAACATTTTTCAGATGGCAGCATCAGTAACACCTCTTATTGAGGAGCTTGACCTCAGTGTCATCAGTGTTGGCGCAGAAGAGGAAATGCATGTTATGTACCTGGATGAAAACAGAAATGAACTGGATAAAGTTTGTCAGTCTACCCCTAAAGGTGTTCAGCAGCTGATTGGTACTAGCGATCCCGATGCCACAAAACGCAAGATACTGTTATGCGCGTTGTGTGAATTTAACACCACACACAAAAATAGTCTTACAAGGCATATGTCCAGAAAGCACACCTCTGTTTATGATGTTTTTGAATGCGATCAGTGTGGCAAGATTTATAAAAGCAAGGACACCTTGAACGATCACGTTCGAGGGTACCATAATGGAGAGTTTAAGTGCTCTCAATGCTTGAAAAAACTCTCCACCAGAGGAAGCCTCAGAAAGCATGAATCTCAAGTACATGGAAATAAGGAAGGTCTAAAAATTGAGTGTGATTTATGTGAGGATAGATTCCGTTCGCAAGAGCATTTGGAGGGACACTTGAATATGCAACATCGCAGATACGCTCCATTTAAGTGCAACACGTGCAAGAAATCGTTCCACTACAGACACTCATTAACCAATCATCAGGTATAACAATTTCTAAGTTAGATTTAAGGACATCTTTCATCAAGTAATGCCACTATAACACTGCTCCTATTACATTTTAACTAACTCAAGTTGCTATTGAATTAAGCTCTCCTAAACTCAAAGTTATTCATTAAAACACAAAATCTCTATTGTTATGGTGATTTGTTATTTTATTTAATTGTAATACAGTATACACTTTTCTCGTTTCAGGTGACATGCAAAGGGGGTCAAGTAAAGTGCCGAGAGTGTGGAGCTACATTTACGTCCATGTCAGGAAGAATAGATCATTATAATGCCAAACATGGAGATACCGTATACAAATGCAAGGCATGTGACAAAACATACCCTTACAGAGCATCACTGAGCAAACATATGAAGAAAGCTGGTCATTAAACACACTACAGTACTTTAGTACTTTATGGAGAAAATATTGAATGACCATGCCTATGGCAATGGTTACAATTTGAGTACTTTTATTTTTTACTTTTGAATAGCAGACAAAAATATTTATTTTTACCTACAAATGAACAGTTCAATTGTATTCTTGTGTGGATATTAAAGTAGTGCCATGTGTGATACGAGAATGATAAAAACAGTTGAATAAAATGTCCGATCAGAGCATAACAACATAATATAGAAAAACAGAAACAGACAAACTATGATTGGGCACTTTTAATTTGACATATAGCCATAACGATATGATTATGTACAGTATATGTACATCAAGTTTTATTTCAACTAGTTTTAGTTTTTATTTACTAGTGCTAGAGTCACTGGTCAGAATCAAGATGCGGTAACGACCGTTACCTTCTCATCTAAGATGGCGGACGAAAATGTCGATTTCGATATTTTTGTTTTCATCTAATTAAACTACTATATAATTACGTAATGCTTTGATATTTGAACTTGATAAATCTTAGATACCGTGGAAACTTTGGAGAATGACCATTTATCCTTAAATCATACGTGGACGCCATAATTCAACAATATGTTACACCGCATACGGGAAGGTAACTGGAAGTGCATTTTGCAAAATCAAAATCTCAATTACCTTCCCTTAAGTGTTGTAACATATGTTTGAATTATGGCGCCCATGTATGATATAAGAAAAAATGGTCATACTCTGAAGCTTCCATGATATATAAGGCTTATCAAGTTCAAATATCAAAGCATAACGTCAATTATAAAGTAGTTTAATTCTATGAAAACAAAAAATATCGTCCGCCATCTTAGATGAGAAGGTAACGGCCGTTACCGCATTTTGATTCTGACCAGTGAGAGTAAAAATGTTTCTTTACATCTGCATACAAATTAACATTTTATTTCTATTCAGGTGTGAATACTGAAGTAGTGCAATAATTTACATACACGAAAAATGAAAAGTCAATACAGATGTAAAAATTGTCAAATGAGAGCATGACTACGTTTATAAGGAGAACAGTCACATATTTGACACAAATTTTGCCTTTGACATAACAATACGTAATCATTTATTGTATCAAGTTTTGGGTTCAACTAGTTTTAGTTGTTTTTTTACTTTATTTACTTTAAAATGCCAGAGTGAAACTGCTTCAATATATATACGCACAAATGAACATTTTAATTATTCTCAGGTGTAAATATTGAAGTAGTGCAATAATTGGTATAGGAGATGGAAAAGATAAACACAGCTGTAGAAATTGTCCACAGTTGTAGAAATTGTACTTAAATGTGTAATATAACAAAGACAGACACTGATTTGGTACTTTAATCTTGCCTTAAAGCCCTCCTCACATATGAACGAATCCATTTTTTAAGTTTGTGTTTTTCAATTAATTAGCAAGGTAAGAAAACCACACTCTTCTTTTTTCTGATAATGAGCATTAGTAGTATTCATTAGACTTGCTAATTGAAAATGTTCAACATATACTAACTTTAAAACATATTAACGAGTGTTACTGTTCACGAGAGCACAACGCCTTTTAAGTTTATTTGTAATGCATTGAAGAAACCGAAGACCTAAATTAATAGAGCTACTGGTCAGTTTCTGATATAGTACTGGTTCATTTCATTTTATATATATTGTTTTTTTCCAAAGCATGTACTGAAACAACCATTTGGGCATTTGTTCAAGTCAATGAATGGGTAGAAAAACTGTTCGTTATTGTTCGTTCATATACATGTTAGAAATGGTTAGTTATTAATTAATTATTATTATTGTTAGATTCTTAGCTTTCACTCCACTATTGTGTTTATAATGCAAGTTCTGTTGCAATAAAGATTTGCATGCAAATACAATGTTTTCGGTTATTTTAAACCTCTCCTTTGTGAAAAACGTCATCCTCATGCATACGATTCTTATTCGTCAAAATTATATCCAGCCCTCTTGTGGTATAAAATCTTCTCCTCGTTTCTCCTGTGGAATTCGCGTATACCTTTAACTCCTCTTGCAGAGTCATCTGGTCGTGTCACGAAACCAGCAGCCTTTTTATTTCTTTGCGATTGAAGACGATCAAATATGTGATCCCTGAAAATAGAGTAACAGTTTTGTATTTCGTATGGACTTGACATTTTTTCAGTTGTTATAGAAATAAGAAGAAACTCGAAACACCATTGACCAATGAGGAGTTACGTCAAGAAACAAACTAGAAAACAGCAACTCCAAGGAAAAGCAAATCCCACTGAACAAAACAGTTTTGATAAATATCGGCCATCTTCATGATCTTGAGCTAGGCATCAGCATATAAAATTAGAACCAAATCCATTCATTGGTATTTGAGTTATCAAAGATTACATTTTGGAATTCAGCTGCAATCTTGAAAATTTCTCATGAAGCAGAGCTCTTTTGTGCTTAGGTATCAGCACATAAAATTTGAACGAAATCCGTCACCTGATAATTCATTTAATTGAGATATCAAAGATTGGAAGTGAGATATCTATGACACTCTGTAAAAATGAAGTCAATGTAAACACTAGATACTTCTTTAGTTATTGTTGCAAGTTGTAAAAATGTGCTACAGATTTCGACATGTTCGAGACCGATTACCAAACACCATCCACAAAATTTTTTGTAGGTGATGACACACTATCTAGGAAAATGCTATCTACCTTGCGAGCACGACCGATTCATTTTCTCCCAATCGTTCGCTTTCCTCAAATGACATATCAGCGATTCGGGGAATGATACTAGCATCCATATCTTCTGGTACGCTGCTCAATTGTCTCTCTTTATAAACAGTAGTTCTTCTAGTCGTGTTGAAACAAAAGCTTCTGAAAAATACCACCAACATGTGTTTAAGCGTACTTAGATTATTAACAGAGTATTATTTATTCTTCAGCATATATAAATAACTTAAAATTTGAGTGATCTTCTTTACAAAACTGCAAAAAAATCTCATCATGCGGAACTGCCTTAAGATAATTGTATAAAATGCTGTGCTTAAGATGTATTTCATTGTCATCAACAAACGGGGGGACACATTTAGCTATACCTAATTTAACCACTATATGAACCATAATCATCAACAAACCTGTTTGGATCAAGGCGAATATCTAGTAGTTGACATGATGTCCCCATTGCTTTTGGAAGTTCTTTAGGTTTTAGAACTCCCTCGCTGCGAGGATCAAGGTCCCTGTAACTGCCAAAAAACGTCTCGCTCATTTGAGATCCCACGGCTCTCACATTGAATGCAGAATCATTGGTAAAGTGATACATTTGTATCAGTCTTTCGGTACTAAGAATGAAGCCCTCAAACGATACTATGGGTATATCATTCACTTTGTTTGTTGGGGGTGGGAATATTTTCAAATGTGGGATTAATTGGGACAGGAACCAGTCACGGACAGATAGGACCATTTTCACTCGTTCAAAAGCTGGTATCCCCCTTTCATCTACTGCCCTGTACCACTTTCCTATGTTTCCTGTTAATTCTGCTTCAGCATAATCTCCATTTTTCTCCATTTCTGCTTTAACCTCTTCACTGAAAAATATAGTTGCAACTTCATTACTTTGTGGGTCAACGACATCATCAACAAAGGCGATATTCAGACCAGTCCCGTTCTCCTTCTCCTGTCTAGCAACCTTAACCCAGGCTTCTCTGTGAATACCAGCTTTTTTGTAGCCATGCCTTGCGATGTGGCATCGAGTATTTGTTAAGAGGTGGTGAAAATCGAGGAAACAGAAAAGTGGATTCCCTTCTTCATCTTGATCTGGTTTGGTAACCCAAAATACTTCCTGCGTTTTTTGTGTGCGAGTTTCATTCATTATGGTTGATGATTTAATCTTGGAAGTTCTTTGGAACTGTGCTATCTCGCTTGGCCACTCTAGCATACATGTCAAAATACACAAGGTAACTTTTCGTAGATTGTTCAGCAGGGATTTTATATGTATTTTTTTCGGCTTGGCTTTTCTAATCATTGGTTCAGCTGGTATGTCGACTGTTGATTTGTCTCCGATAGTCTCAGATATTTTGTTTACATATTGGGCTTTTCTTTTAAGTAAATTCAGATCACCCTCTTTCAAAAGGTGTGCCTTTGCAAGAATTTTGACGACAATCTTTAATTCATCAAGCAAAAAAACCTTTTGTATTTTTTGTCCAGTGGTAAAGTTCTTACCAAAAGAACTCTTGCTCACGTTACCCCAGCGATTTCTTGATTTTTCTGATGATGTTTTGAGACTTTCAAGAATCTGCTCAAGTACTGTATCATCAACTGTAAGAATAAAAGTAATTCAAAAATTAACTAGAGAAACAGCAAACGACTCGAAGAAGTAGCGAATCCAACCTAACAAACTACATTTTATAAAATCACACTTATGGCCATACTTCATCAATGCACTAAATGAAAATTATATAACAAAGGCTCTGTTTAATGCCATTTTTAATAGTAAATCAGACAAGCGGTATATTAGTTATTGTCAAGACAGACGAAAGGACCGACAGACGGACAAATAGCTTCCCTTAATCCCTACCGAACTGAACTTCAATGGGATAATTACGCTGATCTGCTAAATATACTACTAATGCAGTATTACCTAACTAGTTCATCACATATGTTATAAATATATTTGAACCATATTTATAGATCATAACGAATACAATGTCTCAATCTTTTGATATTTTCAATATTTGTGAAACGTTCAAAACATACCTCTGGAAATCGAGTCAACTGTATTCTCCCCTGCATGTTCAGCATCAATGTTGGTGCTTGAATCTGCACTGCTGGAGGCTACTACAAAGAGTGAATCCACATCAGGGTCGTCGTTTTCATATTTTGCGACTTGGTCCAAATCTATATCTGCGATAAGATCAATGTCTTCCACTACAAATTTGTCCAAATTTTCATCTCTGTCTTCATCCGATATTTCATCCACTTCCATTTCATCATCATTTGGATCATTGGTAACGTTGTCATCTGCACATGCCTTAGGGGGATTTGCAGGAATGTTTGAACGTTGTTTATGTGAGTCTGGGGTTGAAGTTACAAGTAAAAACTTTTGAAGGTCAGTTTTTATCATTTCATTCAACAATTTGACTGGCTCTACGCGTGCCTTCTCGGTTGTCTGTTCTGGATGAGACATACGGTAAAATCTATCAGTTTCGCACACAGTCTGCTCAATGGCAGATACAAGAGATAGATCCAAATTCTGCATTTGTTTTCTGAGTTGGTCCCCATAGACCTCATCCTTTAACATTGGAAAAATCTTTGGGGTGAACTCATCACAGACTATATTAGACGATTCTTCAACATATTTTTCAAATTCACTCACCAACTCTTGCTTTGATTTCTTCGTGGTTTTGTTCCACAGACATTTTTGTGCTTGTAACAATGTCAATGGAGTGTCCTTTTCGTCCATAACTGCTATTTTATAGAATTGGCCATCAAATCCTATCGAGAGAATTTTTAGATTCCGTTCTTTTAGCTGTTGTCTTATGAATGTCAATATTTTTCGAACTACATGCACTGGTAGACTTTTACCTGCCAAACCCCAAAACACTGGAACTGATAAGACATTTGAGTCCGTTTTCTTTACTCTATCAAGATCAGAAAGTATAGCTACAAGAACATCTGAAGCAAGGGGTAAAGTCAGTAGAAAACTCTCTTCTACATTGAGTGCAATACCTGCACACAAATTCTTCAATTCTTGGCATATGGATTGACTTTGATATGTGGGTTGAGTAATTTGACTGGGGCTCGAGTGAGAATGATACGGTTCATTTTGCAATTCCCGGGACAAAGAGCTACCTGTGCCTTTCGCGTTGCTGGCTATTTCGTCATCATGTGCAATATTCTTGTGATCACATTCTATCCCCATTGCTGAAGGTACTTCACAGAGCAGTTCAACATTATTTGTTGCAAATTCTTTCAGAGCTTCGATCAGTTCTAACGACACCTTACTTTTCTTCTTAGGCACAATTGGTTTATCAGTATTGTATATATTGCCCAATTCTTCCATTAATCGCTGCCATAGATCAACATCGTTTCGTATGTGGAAAACTGTCGACGTTTTGGAAGACCAACAGAGCAAAACTGAATGATCTACTCGTTTTCCACTTTTCCGAAATTCTGCCCCGTTCATATGGCTAAGTACTTGAGTCAAGTAATATATGGGAGGCTGGTTGAATACAGGCTGCTTGAATATATTGGTTTCATCTGGGTATGGGCATTTCAGTTCAATAGTGAGGTCAAGGCTATCAACCTCCGCATTGAGATCCCACCCTTCTCCGTCTGGGGAAGTTACCATAAAAACTTTTTCATCCTGTTTGATGACGTAACACCCAGCTTCTTTAACAGTGATGTTAGGGTAGAATATCGGCAAAACTTTTCCCACGACCGTTGAAAGTGCATGTATTTCGCAATCAGTACCGTGTTGAAGTATTTTTGTCACCTCTGGGGAAAAACTTTTACTTTCATGGGTTATGAAAACTCTTGTGAAGTGTTCTTTCTGTGCTTTCAAAGTTCGTAAGCCAGCGGCATCAAACATGGTACTCCCTAAAAATTAATTTCAAATGAAACATAAACCTTCTTTATAGATTCATCTGGTTAGTCCTATTTTGATCAAATATTATATTTTCTTTTTGTCTTAACCAATACCTTGTTTTTTACTGTGTCACGTTTCGTCTAGCCTGTTCGCTGGACTTTCTCAAACTGCTTGCTGTAGCTTGATCTTGAGGCTTATAGTAATTTTTCCACACATTTGATAATTGGTGATTGCCTGAGTCTCTATTCATGCACTATTTTTTTTACAATTAAAAAACAAGGTATCGGTCAAGACAAAAAAAGAAAATATAATATTTGATTGAAACATAAACCTTTAACTATATAGGCAGATATAGAGTTACTTTAAGATGATTTATTCTATACTGTTCCACAGCTGGATGACTCCAACTGCAGCTAGCTTCATTCAAGATGGTTGCCAAAAATCTTTCGTTTTCGATAAACCTTCGTTTTCAGTTAAACTAAGTTGAACCTGGATTCGAAATGTTTCGTCATGAAAACTAATTGTAAACAACCACAAATAAAAGCTCAAACACCCGCAATATTTGAGGATTTTAAAGAAAATGGCTTCACTTAGAATGATTCTAACTGAAGTTGATGATGACGTAGGAATGACGCTATTTAAACGGGGAATGACGCTATGGGATGAATACATGCACGTCCATCTGTCTGCGGTTTTAAGAAATCTAATTGGTTATTGGCTGCTTTTATTAGTTCATATCATTTGTATTTTGAAATGGACCTAGTTTCTATTTAATTTTAGCACCATCGCACGGACAATGGGGTATAGAGAATTATATTCATCACAAAGACGCTCAACTTACTTTCATTATATTTATTCCGAGTCTTTTACAGTGAGAAGTGATTATTTTACACTTTCCTTTTTATCACATGAGATCCCATTTATGACATTTATGATAAAGATGTTCTTTGGCATTCAAAAAACCCATTTGTCAACTGTAGTCGTTGCTGTCTGGATTTCAGGGATCTCCTTTCTTTACATAACCGAAAACTAGAGATATACATTCTTTTTCTCTAAAAGTTAAGTAGCTTATCAATTCTAAAAGATTTGGCTGCATTTGAATGAATAAAAGTAGTCGTGTCAATGATTATGATTTTTAAAAATTTCATTTTGATTACTTGACGTATACAGGTATTCACTGCAATATGTATATTCCCTTTATTTCTCTCCATATTGCTTTCATCCTTTCCATATTATGGCTTGAGACTATGCAAGACGAGTTTTTAACCTAAGTGGGTGCAGGTTTCAACTGCTGGTGCTAGTTCTTCAGCTACTGCTGATGGTTTGTCAACTGCTGGTGCTGGTTCTTCAACTGCTGGTGCTGGTTCTTCAACTGCTGGTGCTGGTTCTTCAAATGTTGGCTCTGATTCTTCGGCTGCTGGTGCATGTTCTTCAGCTGCTGGTTCACTAACTCTTGGTGCTATTTCTGATTCAACTGATATAGAAATTTCTATAGCCCAGTCTGGGCGTTAATACTTTGCAAGGCGAAATTTTTGGGATCCAGATTCAACTTAGTTTAGCTGAAATCGATAACAAAAGAATTTCGGCAACCATCTTGAATGAAGCTAACTGCAGTTAGAGTCATCCAGCTGTGGAACAGTGACTTGATTCATTTTTTCATTCATTGTCTTGAGGCTAATTCTGAACCATTACCTGTAACTTTTGCTGATTTTCTAAGGTTAAACCACACTTTCGAGCGCTGAGTTAGAACATGACTGCACTCCTGGAGACTACAAGGGTTACTTTGCTCAAAAGCATCATCAGCCAAGCCTGTCAGGCAGACGTAGTTAGCTTGCTCCTGAAATTCAAAGCAGGATCACAATTTATTTTCCCTTAATGATTTTGATTGATTATTCTTGATTGACGTTCTGATTGTGAGTTCCGATTATGAAATTCTGATTAACCCCTAATTGCTATTGTTAAGAATAGAAAAGCACCTGCAATTTCACTTGGTTGCCAATCTTGTAATGCTTTGAAGACTGCAATATGGAACAAATTTCACCGCATCTGTCAATGTTCTGTAGCATATGTGTGACGCATTCCTTGGTTTGAAGTATTGTTGTCTTTGTTACACTGATAGCTTGAGCGTACTTTGTTTTTGTCCAGTCACCTTTACTATGTTCATCGTCTAATGCTTGTTTCATAAGTTTTTTCAGTGTAAATTGTTTGGCAGATGTAAGATTTCTGAGCTTTTTCAGTTTATCAGCTTGAACTAGCAGTATTCCCTTTATCTCTTTTATAATATTTTCTACTAGCACTCTGTTGTCTCCCTTGATTAAATCATACGCGTTAGAATCCTCAGCAATGAGACGTAGTTTGTCTGCATTTATCCCAAGATCTGTAACAAAATTTAAAAGTCCTTCAGTTGTCACCCAAAATCAAAAAGCCACTTACACTATTTATGTGCAAGTACTGGAGTACCAAAAGGAAAACAACCAAACATGTTGTAAATTGTTACAGAAATAGCAAGCAAAATTAACAGCTATTAAACACACGAACTTAAACCATAGGTAAAGATGAACATTTTTCAAATAGTGATGTACGATTTAATGTACAGTAATATGCATAGCATGATCAAAAAAGCTATTGGATGATGATTCCCTAAAATAACTGGTAAGTGAAACATCCTATGGAGCACTTTCAGGAACAATTGTATTTTAATACATATATATACCTTTGATTTGTGTTAGGTCAGCCTCAAGACTAGTGAAAAGTTCAGTTTTAGTCGGTGCTGGTTCAAACCCATGCAAATCTATGCTCCCATCTTTTGACCTTGTGGTGATAATCTTCTTTAAATCCACTGACAAATTGTGGTACTTGACGTTGGCATCTAAAACGATGATTGATATGCATTATTTTCGGACGTGAGAAATAAAGGAAGGCGTACAAAAATAAAGACAAATATTACTATTACATTAACGTTACAATATACTTATGTACCACAAACATCTCACCCTGAAAATGTTACAAGATCTGGACTTTACTCAGCTTTTTAACAATGATACTATATTTCGAGTTAAATGCCATCTTAACGAGGTCAAACTAGAAAAACAGCAACTCCACGGAGCAGCAAATCCCGCCGAACAAAACAAATTTTCATTGTAAGTGGCCATCTTGAAAATTCCTTCTTGAGCAAAGCTTGTTTGTCCCTAAACATCAACATATAAAATGTGAGCTAGATCCGTCAATTAGCATTTGAGTTATCAAAGCTTATATTTTTTAATGAAAAATGGCAGCCATTTTGAAATTCAGCAGCCATTTTAAAAATTATTTCTCGAACAGAGCAACTGTGTACCTGGGCATCAGCATATAAAATTTGAACCAAATCCGTTCACTGGTATTTGAGTTATCAGAAATTACGTTTTTTACGAAAAATGGCTGCCATTTTGAAATTTAGCCGCCATCTTGAAAATTCTTACTCGAACAGATCTACTGTGTCCCTAGGCATCATCACATACAATTTGAACCAAATTTGTTCACTGGTATTTGAGTTATCAAAGATTACGTTTTTTACGAAAAACGGCCACCATTTTGAAATTCAGGCGCCATCTTGAAAATTATTACTCGAACAGATCTACTGTGTCCCTAGGCATCAGCATATAAAATTTGAAACAAATCTGCATACCTGCCAACCTAAGACCAAAATTTTGCGGTAGATTTTTTTAAAATTGCTGTATTTTTGCGGTAGATTTTTTCAAAATACGGTAGTTTTTGCGGTATTTTTCAACAAAATTGCGGTAGTTTTTGCGGTAGATTTTAGAAAAAAACGGTAGTTTTTGCGGTAGATTTAAAAAAACGGTAGTTTTTGCGGTAGATTTAAAAAATACGGTAGTTTTTGCGGTAGATTTTAAAAAAATACTGTAGTTTCAGAGGTTTGGGGTAGATTTTTGAAAAAAGTGTAATTTTGCGGTAGAAATTTGAAAAAAGCGGTAGTTTTGCGGAAGATTTAGAAAAAATGCGGTCGTTTTACGGTAGATTTTTAAAAATGCGGTAGTTTTTACGGTAGTTTTTTGAAAAAACGGTAGTTTTGCGAAAGATTCTGAAAAAATGCAGTAGTTTTACGGTAGATTTTGAAAAAATGCGGTAGTTTTTACGGAAGTTTTTTGAAAAACCGGTAGTTTTGCTGAAAGTTTTGAAAAAATGCGGTAGTTTTACGGTAGATTTTGAAAATTGCGGTAGTTTTTACGGTAATTTTTTGAAAAACTGGTACTTTTGTGGAAGATTTGCCAAAATGCGGTAGTTTTACGGTAGATTTTGAAAATTGCAGTAGTTAAACCTTTATACAATGCGGTTTTCTATATCAATACAATGTTTACGTGGTCATATTGTTGTTGTTATTGTGAATACATATTTTACTGCAAGAGTGATTTTGATAATTACAGTTTGTAAAGCAGAACTACCACCTGAGAATTATACGAAACTATTATTTTCAAGAAAAAATAGATATACTATTTTCAAGAATAAATAGAGACTAAACACTTTTTATTCTTCATTTACCATGCCTACAATGGACTGACAGCAACTTTGGATTTTAATGTTTCAGCAAAATGTACATATACAACTTTTTTACAATAAATCTAGATTGATTCAAAATACGAACACAATATTCATATCTCCACTTTTATTCACCTTCTAACCAGTTTTTTTAGATATCAGGATGTTTGGAAATACCATGAATGAAACATTTACTGAAATACAAAATATGGATTTTACACGTTTTTACTCACCATCTTAGATAATCTATCATTTTAACGAATTGAAATGACAGACATAATGTTCATATAACATTGGAATCATATGGTATTAAATATTGATTTGTTCACTCGCAAGTCTCTAATGATATCAATGTGTTTGTCTGGCACAAATAGAAAATAAGTACAGATCAATTGTCTTTCAAAAATAATTTGTTATGAGCATTTGCCGAAACCTTTCCCCTGAGACATCGTTCAGATTCGGATATCACAATACTTTTATAATAAACCAGAACTCAATGCTTTATTTTTTAATTAAGTATTTGTTACTGATAATGTGTTCTGATGAAAAATACAACATTTTATCGTTCTGTGAACAAATTGATTAAACTATGTATAATGTATATGTGTCGTTCATTACTGATCATAACAAATCAAACTACGCATATTTCATACGCTAAATATGCATACGCATTTCCACTCATTTATTTAGATGAAGCGCAACTAAAATCATATTTTTGTTGCATTCGGAATAAAGATCCGTGTACAAAAGGGTTTGGTTAACTACAAAAATCATGGCAGAAAGAATTCTTTCTAGCTAGTGGTAGTTGGTGTTTGGACTGATTACACGCAAGCTTACTTAGATAAATGCGCAATAACCTGATAACCACAGACCTGCCGATACCGGGTTGGTGAAGGAATATTACAGGGACAGTACAGGAAGACTTCAATTTTTCAGCATTTCCCAATAACAATAACGGGAAATTTTACGGTAGTTTGAACAAAAATACTGTTGATTTTAGCAGAAATACGGTAGATTTTCGAAAATTTACGGTAGATTTTCAAAAATTTACGGTAGATTTTCAAAAATTTAGGGTAGATTTTACGGCCGTTCTCATGGAATAAACGAGTTTTTTACAAAGAAAAGTTACGGTAGATTACGAAAAAAATACGGTAGATTTTTTTACGGGCGTTTTTACGGGAAAAAATGGTATTTTTTTTACGGTAGTTTGTCATTTTTTTACGGAAAAACGAAAAATTTACGGTAGATTCCCGTAAAAATACGGTAGGTTGGCAGGTATGAATCTGTTCACTGGTATCTGAGTTATCAAAGATTATGTTTTTTCTAAGAAAAATGGCCGCCATTTTGACATTCAGTTGCCATCTTAAAAATCTCATCTTGAGGAAAGTTCTTTTGTCCCTAGGCATCAGCATATAAAATTTGAATCAAATCCGTCAACTAGTATTTAAGTTATTAAAGATGACATGTTTTACGAAAAATGGTGGCCATTTTGAATTGAGCAGCCATATTGAAAATTCCTTCTCAAGCAGAGGTCCAACACCCATAAGGCATAAGCCTATAAAATTTGAATCAAATCTGTCAATCGGTATTTGAGTTATCGCCCGGACACACGAACGGACGGATGGCTTTCCTATATCCCCCTCGGACTTCGCTCGTAGGGATAACAAGCATATATCAGAGCAGAGCAAATCACATCGAATGGCACAACAGTCTTTTAGACGATAGTCGTACCCCAAATAGCAACAAATTACGGACATAAAGACTGTTTAAAACACATTCCATGCAGCCCGCCCATTATACTTGTATCAACAAGTCAAGGAGTGGACGCAGAGCTATTGCCCAACTTAGAGGTAGAACACTCCCATTGAAGATCGAAACTGGACGATATAACAATACCCCACTCCAGGATCGCAGATGTCACTGTGATAATTAAACTGTTGAGGACGAGTTTCATTTTCTTTTACAGTGCATATACTTATGAAGAAATGAGAACTCCATTGTGTTTAGATTGTGTTAAGGAAATTCCTGACTTTCACCATCTTAACCAAATTTAACAATTTCGCAATATTATGTCAATATAGCAATATCATGTCAACACAGAGCTTACAAAGGTACGCCCGGTGATCGTGCAAAATGAACGGATGGGGAGTAGGCGTTTTCTGTAAGAAGGTTCAACAAATCTGGAAGATCTATCTTTTCAAGAGAAGGTTTACTACTGAATTGCGAAATAAGTAGGCGCAGTACATGGCAAAATATGTTAGGTCTTGACTTTATTCATATAACTCCAAATTTCTTAATTTTTTCATTCTTCAGAGATATTCTCTAGTTTCTTACTGAGGTACTGAGTTTATTTTTTTATTTTTTCCATCTTAAAGACATATGACTCCCCTTGCGTTCAGCCCCCCCCCCCAACTCCGTTCAATTTTGAAAAAGCAACCAATGGCATTAGTTTTGTAATAATAGCGTCCCTTAAACCTATTCTTGCCTGATTTATAGCAAAAACATTGACTTTTGCACGTTAGTAACGATGCGCCTTTTTGAATAAATCTCATATCTTAGAAGCGCATCGGTTCAAAAAAAATCTCAAAAGACCTAACATATTTTGCCATGAACTGCGCCTATTCATTAACAATTCAATGGTTAACTTTCTCTTGAAAAATAAATCTTCCAGATTTGTTGGACCTTCTTACAGAAATCAATAAAATTTAATAATACATTCTACCTGTTACATTTTTGGAGTATACATCCACTATACTATCTAAAAATCCTGGTTGAACCTCATTGGGTATTTCGGAGTTAATTTGGGTGTTTTTTGGAACTGCGAAGTTAATGGCACCTTCGTTACTTTCGACATCGCCTTCGTCACCATGAGACCTGCCACCTTTCATAAATGCTAGAAACTTTCCGTGGAACATTTTGTATCCAGCAAACCAAAATGTTTTTACAGAATCCGAGTATCTCATTTTTGATTTGTTACCAATAGTGTACCATTGGATTACATCTAGAAATAGCCTGTAACATATGTTGTCATATGGGAATGTATCATCCTCTACTAGCTCAAGGAACTGTAGAAATCTTTCATGGTGAATTGACCCCTTTTGCCTGAGTTTATTGAGAATCATCTCCAGTTTATTATTTGGTTCCTCTTCAATCTTATTCGGGGGTATTTCTATGGCGGGCTCTTCCTGAATCATACAAATATACAAATTCATGACAATAACAGTATAATTACTAGGTAATAATAATAATATAAAACAAAATTTGATAAAAATAAACTTAGTTAATGTTTAGTTTTCAGAAAAAAGCTTTGACCATTAACTTATCAGTGAACTGTATTCTTGTCATTTCATATTTGGCCCACTGTGAAAGCAGATATTCATTAATTATAATCACCAATATACCTGGTCGGTAACTGTAAACAGTTCCTTTGGAATTAATGCAGCAGCTTCAAATCTAGTCCTTTTGGACAATGGACTTCTGATATCATCATTCTTAATACGTAAATCCTGTCCATGAAATGACAAATCACTCAATTTGTGATTTATTAAGGAAAGTTCATAGTTAAGTTCATTATATTTCCACTTTCCTTGTTTCTGAACAGGCATATGAATAATAATGTTTGCAAATGGGTGTTCATCATTGAAATGCCTCAGGAAGTCATTTAGGTAATGTGATTTAAAAGTGCATATTCCACATTTCTTCCTCGGATCTGGAACAAAAATGAACATATGGTTTAAACTTCACTTAATGCCAAAACGATCACAGTGGATAAACTTTGGAGAATTGTTGGGTATGCTGTAATCCTGTACCGGATAAATTCGTCTCATGCACCGCATACACTCGTATTCTACACCGCTCACATTCGGATAAATTCCTATCATGCACCGCATACACTCGTATTCTACACCGGTAACATTCCGATCACATCAATCAGTGGGCCGTGTTACACTCGTTTCCATGACATTTCACAAGCGTATCCTCTGGGAAAAGATAAATCCTTCTCTTGCTCACTCTACGGGGGATCATATAAACTGAGATTTGGAGATCTTGTTCAGGTTAGCCATAAAAAGGTTTGGGATTTGTTTTTTTCTACTGTGATATTAATGATTTGGCTCTAAGGCGAGAAATCTGTACTTTCTGATTGATATTCCATTATGAACAGTTACATTGCTAAAATAGCTCATGTTTAACATTTTTTTGTTACATTACTATTAAATACAGCATAAACTATATTCAACAAACACAATTTCAAAAAGGATAATATAGAAGTTAACCTTTATTTTCCATTTTTAAGCAGCTGTGCCTCTCATGACTTTCCAAAACAGGTCATATTCGTAGCCTAAGAACCGGTCATACTCAATATACGCGGATACTCTGGTATCCCGTGCTCTCTGTTTGGAACAGTTTTCAAAAGAACAAGTCCCACTGACTTACATGTTAATGACCCTCTCCATAAGGAACCCTCTCTATATGGAACAGTTTTCAAAAGAACAAGTCCCATTGACTTACGTGTTAATGACCCTCTCTGTAAGGAACCCTCTCTATTTGGAACAGTATTCAATAGAACAAGTCCCACTGACTTACATGTTAATGACCCTCTCTGTAAGGAACCCTGTTTATATGGAACAGTTTTCAAAAGAACCAAGTCCCACTGACTTACATGTTAATGACCCTCTCTGTAAGGAACCCTGTCTATATGGAACAGTTTTCAAATGAACAAGTCCCACTGACTTACTTGGTAATGAGCCTTCTCAGTGTTTAATATACTCAGTCTTATTACACGTTAAATCTACAGTAAACCTTTTTGGAGCACCTTTTGTTATCTCAAAAGTGTGTTCCACTGAGATATTCTACTTACAGAGGTCAATTGGTAAATTGTGTATGAAGTGTTCCACTGAGTTTTCCATATTACAGATTTTACTGTTTGTTAATTTATTCTGTTTGTATTTTAGATTACTGTGTTTAGCCTCAACAAGAATGAAGATCTGGATTTGGCAATTCTTTCAGCTCTACTTAAAGGTAAAAGTAATTCTTTGTAGATTTCATTCTCATAAATTAGACATAATTGTTTCCCAGTTGAAAATATAGAAATAATATTGAGAATAGAAATAGAATAGAAATATTCAGAAATTTTTGATAAAATAAATTTTACATACCATATTCATATATGTAATTCAAACTTTTCTATTTGAAAAATGAATGTTTACTCATATAGACTTATCCATATTTCATATTTTTATTGTTAAAATACACTTACAAATGCAGGAAGAAATGCTGGTATATTTTTCTAACAAACACAAGTCACAAAATGAATAACATATTCCATCCCCTGATATTTAAAAACTTTTAATTGTGCAAAACTGTCCTTTTCCATAGTCACTATCACCATCTTCACGTCACTACTTTGCTAGGGGTACATTGAAAAAATATATCATAGTCCAACAACGTTCAAAATGTACTGCATACGTATAAGGACGATATTCATTTTGCTCAAATGTAAAATGCAGTGCTTCAAAAATCCTCAGTAATATTTTTAATCAATGTAGTAATTGGGTGAATTGAGATAATTAATAAATTAACACCATGTATGGAATTTCAATGAAATATGAAAACTGAAAGGTCTCATAAAGGGATAGAATTATAGAACCATTATATAACATCATCAATCATATCAGTATTATTAAATAAAGTCATGTTTTTTTATGTCACCACTAAAAATTGTTGACATTGTTATGGTCTCCAATTTTTGTGACTTTAGATTTAAGATTTGACCTTCTACGAGGGGTGATCAATAAGTAATGGACGCTTTTTTACACAGATACTTTTTATAGACCAATCCCTTTGATTTTCCTACCAGTGATACATCATTCAATTATCTATCAATTCTGAAGATTTGAAGACAAGATATATAATACATATTGATATATCCTTATTTCCTTGAAGGAGGTACAGGTACCACGGGACCGACATTTACGTCACATATTCAAATTTTAGCCAGTTTGGTAAATTTCAGTTAGATTTGAACATTTTATATGCAACAAGTGTTGTGTTGTTTAAAATTTTTTGCTGACTGGTAACACATAAACAGAGAGTATTGTAATGTCAGAGTGTTGTATGGAAGGGGTTTGCAGGTCAATTCGAGAAAGCATTCAGTGGAAGAAAGGGGTGGTGAGAGAAGGGAACACCCTACTCCATATGGACATTGCACCTGCCCACAGATCTCAAAATATTCAGAAAACAATATCCCTGGACCTCAAAATTGAGCCCTTGGCCAATGCACCATATTGTTCAGATCTGCTCACATGTGACTTGTTTATTTCTATACTACTTATTTCTATAGAGAAAGGACGCAGGTTTATTGACATTGATGAAATAAAACAACCCGTGCAACTGCATCTTACTAACATGTCAGAGAATGGATTCAGCCTTGTCTCACAATCTTGAGTTAAGAGGATGAGGAATTGTGTACATGTAGCACTTGATGGAAACTATTTAGAGGGCCCTGTGGAATGAATGTGGCATGAATACCACATAGTGATGATAAAATATTCAAAATTATTATATTATTACTATGGTATAACTAAATGGGGTAATTCATGACCATAATGGTTTGTTTTGTTCAGCCTGCATGACGTAAATGTCGGTCCCGGGGTACCTGTACCTCCTTCACGGAAATAAAGATATATCAACATGTAATATATATATTGTCTTCAAATCTTCAGAGGTGATAGATAATTGAATGATGTATCACTGGTAAGAAAATCGAAGGGATTGGTCTATAAAAAGCATCTGTGTAAAAAAGCGTCCATTACTTATTGATCACCCCTCGTATGACCTTCTCAAGGTCAAAAAAGGTTAAATGTCTAAAAGGTCTCTTTTCAACTTGCTCCAAATTGACCAAATATTTTTTTTCAAAATCATCTACAAGTTCTCAGAAGTTTAAATTTGTTTAGATTTGAGATTTCACCTTCAATGACCTTCTTAAGGTCAAAAAAGGTCAAAAAGGTCTTTTTTCAACTAGCTTCAAATTGACCAAATATTTTTTCAAAATCATGTACAGCTTCTCAAAAGTTCAAATCTGACTATAGATTTGAGATTAACCTTCTTACGGTCAAAAATGAATTGACCTTCAATGACCTTCTCAAGGTCAAAAAAAGTATTTTTCATCTTGCTTCAAATTGACCAATTTTTTTCAAAATCATCTACAAGTTCTCAGAATGTCAAATCAAATCAGACTTTAGATTTGAGATTTGACCTTTTAAAGGTCAAAAAGGTTAAAAAGGTCAAAAAGGTTTTTTTCAACTTTAAATTCACCAAATTTTTCTTAAAAATCATATACAAGTTTTCAAAAGTTCGAATCTGACAAGAGATGTGAGATCTGACCTTTGTTGACCTTCTTAAGGTCAAAAACTATTGTGAGCATATCCTCAATTCTGTCCTGTAGGTCAAGGTGCCAGTACTCCAGAGCAGCATTTGGATCAGTTGAAGTTAGCACTGACGTGGAATAGAAGCGACATAGCTGCTGACAAGATCTTCACTGATGACATCACATGGCCTCAGGGTATGCTTGATGATACCATGACACAAGCACTACTGGAGAATAAGATTGATTTTGTGCGCTTGCTGCTGCAGAATGGGCTTGTGATGAAAGAGTATTTGACAGTTTATAGGCTCAGGAACTTGTATAATAAGGTAAGTAGTAGCCAACTGAATCTGTGTAACTGGAACTGAACACAAAGTGAAAAAATAGAATGAACACAGATTATCGTGGTTAAATGAAAAAAACACTGAGAGGTATTGCGTAAAATTCTGTATTAAAATGAATTCACTGCCAACTCAATTCCTGCTTTTTAATACAATCCAAAGAGTGAGAAAAAGGCGTGGCTTGGAAATTTTTTGAACTCCAATTTCATATACAGTAAAACCTGTCTGATAGAACACCTTTTTATAAGGAATGCCAGTTAACAAGCAGTTTTCAAAAGAACAAAATATTATTCCATTGACTTACATGTTAATGGACCCTCTCTGTAAGGAACACCTGTCTACTGACAATAAGAAACAGTGTTTGAAAATTCACCTGTTCACAAGGAAATTGGAAAATGTCAAAAATGCCACTGTCTGATTCTAAAGAGCTTACTAGATTAATTTGAGTGAGAATAGCATAAGGAAATTATTAACAGGATCGGACATCCAACCCATTGTTATTTACCCTAATGATTTTTAGCTCACATAGTGAGCTATTGCAATCACTCACTTGTCTGTCTGTCTGTCTGTCTGTCTGTCTGTCTGTCTGTCTGTCTGACTCGTTTGAAATATGACTTGCATCAACTTCTCAGTGGTTGAACATGTCCTGGGCGGCATTCCAAGATTCTAACACCAGCAGAATTGTCATTTTCGTATGTGTGGTGACAACACTGGTACTCCTCCCTACAGGCAGAGGCAGAGGCTATTACAGATGGTTTGGCAAACTCTTTGGAAATGGGATCATAGCCTTGAATAACCCAGATATTAGTGGCCCCTAAGGTCACCTGACTTAACCCATGGGATTTCCTCTTGTTGGGCAACCTTACAAGCAAGGTCTTCACAACACACCAACTGATCTGAATGAATTTCAGCAAAGAATAATTGATCAAATCAATGTGGTACAGTAGACAGGGAGCTCATCAGATTTACTTTAAGGGACATGCTGAGGCAAGCTCATGTAGGAAAATGGCAGAATGAATCAATTAAATGTCTTTAACTATGAATAAAATAAGAATAAAAAGGAATGTTTCCCCTTTGTCCTTTAAAGGTTGCTCTTTTCAACCACTGACAAGTTATTGAAATCTGTCCTGTGCAGGTAACCATGGAAAGGATTTTAAATCTGCTGGTGTCAAATTAATCAAGTAAGAGAGCTTGCTCTTAAAGTACTCACAATTGCATTTTAGTAAATTCCAAAATTATAAAAGATATTGACCATTTTGTACTTGTAACATTTCTTTATTGAGCTATTCTATAACAACATCCACTTTTAAGCTGATCATTTATTTTGGTTTATTGTTTTGACATCATATTGACAGATTAGCTTCAATTCAGAGTTAAAACTTTAATTCGCTGGATATTATCACTTGCTTGAGTCTCTAATAGCTCAGATTTCACACCCATACAACTTCAAAAAAAGTCTAATAGTTTTATGTGTAAGTTAACATCTGTAATGTTCAATGCTATCCAATTTTCATTTATTATTTTGGATCTCAAAATACCGTTCTACGGTATTGAACTATTCGATTTTGAGAGTTAGCACTTTCTCTCTAATGTTTAGTTTCCACATACATAATTTTCAGAAAAATGCTGAAATAGTTTTGTATTTAAGGCATTATCTCTTATGTCAAATATTTGCGTTTTTTTCACATATCGTCTGATGTGTTCCTGTCCCCGTGCTATTTCTGCTGCTTGCTCTGATGCAGTTTTGGAAGTTTTCAAAATCTTAGTCGGAGTTGCAACCCATATAACGTCCACATTTTGCTCAGATTTTAACCTCTCCATTGCTTGTTCAGATAATCTTTGATGCTTAGCACCAGTATTACGTCCATCACCAAATACAACTACAACATTTCGATTTCTTTTTGGAATAGCATCAAAGAACTCTGCAGCTTTGTCATAGGCCCTGTCTCCAAATGATTTACAGACCCTCTCATATTTCATGATTTGTTTAAGACCTTTCTGCAGTTGTCTTCGATTATTTTGAAATGGCACTGTTGTATTGGTGCTTGTCTCATGAAAAGGTATAATGGCAACGTTAGATAGATATCGCTGATCAGGACTGAATGCAGACATAAAATCTATAATGCTGCCAACTGTTTTTTCAGTTTCTGATTCTTTATTGGCAAATGGAACCCTAAAAACAGACAATTTTGACAAATCATCTGTTGGTTCTTTTGTCTCATCACCTTTGAACTTTACTTCCTGGATGAAGCTTTCTATTATTCCAATGGCTAGTCGTTGATATTGCTTTACTACTGAGCATGAAACATCAATAACAAATATAATGTCCACACATATCATCAGAGGTGTATCTGGAAGAAGAAAACATTATTTTGAACAAAGTCTTTTGTTTGCTTTACCTCCAATTTGTTACTATCAGAGGTTCCCGGCATTTTGGATTTTCTGTTATCTAAATAAAGTCATTTTAAGCCAAATATTCTGGTTTCGAAATTTTATATATCCAATATTTATTTTTTAAAATGGTCTGTTTTCATGAATTAGATGTGAATGTAAACTTCTTGACTTGTCAATTCAAAGGCATTGAGAGCAATATGAGAAAAATAAATCAGAAGCAACTATTAGACAACTCTGTAATTCTGATTACACTTTTTATTATTATGATAATTCCAAAGCTTAAAGCAGATGAAACGGTATTTTTTACCTAAAGGAATCAATATAATTTTTTGATAAATGTATTTGGACATGTCACTCTAACGATCGTTTTAGTAGCTTAATAAGCAATATTTGAATTGGCTGTGACGTTATTGGCCCCACATGATCTCTCACTGGTTCACACATGCCCATTTTGGTCTATTAAATCATGACGTCATGATACCAAGATGTTTTGATATTTGTTTACACAACAATCCTACAGTTGCAGTGACGTCGTGATTACCAAGGAACCAACAAGAAACCAATAAACCAGAACTATAATTATGTATGACATTGCTTATCACGTGGGGGCCAATCTGATTGATCAATTAATTTTATTAAGTTATTTATGACCACTAACAGTTATCTAACATTTCTTTTATAATGGCTATCGCAAGAACTCTACGCTGGGCTTACAATGAAGAAAATCACATTTTTGTAGCTGAAAGTTGAGAAAACCTATTTCAGTTGTCCTTTAAGGTTTGAAAATATGTTTTTATCATTAATTTAAAATTTTAAAAAGTATTTTAGAGATTTCTGAAAAACAAACTTTTAGAAAAAAGTAAAAATGTCAGCCTTTTGTTCTTAAATATTCAAATTTTCTGACATTTCTCAAATAAAAATTGAAAATTTTTTAATAATAAAATCTTCCTCTATACAGTTCATTTTTTCATGTTCATGCTTTGATGAGTTTATTTGTCAAAAAAGGTTGAATGCTATGCATTGATGTGAAGTATCTATTATTTAAATATAGGTAGGTGTGGCCTCTAAAAAGGATTTTATTGAACAAAACGTATTTCATGACCATCAGACAGATACTGTAGTCTCAATGTTACAGCACTTTGAACAACATGCCCCAGGTGTGGCCATCATCATGCTGTAGGCCATCCTCCACAAGTTGTCAATGACCCGACTGCATTCCTCAGCAGGTATGGCCTGAAAGACATGGTTGATCTCCCTTTTGAGGTCTGCAATTGTCCTGAGTCATCCTTGTACATACTACCTTTGGCATATCCCCACAGGCAGAAGTCAGATACAGACATTTTGGATAACGTGTACAGGTTTTCCCACAGTGCAATAGTGGCCGCAAAGGTGGCCAATGGAGCATGTTGTTAAAAGCGCCGTAGCTATCAGTCTGATGGTCATGAAATATGGTGGGCCAGTAGGCCGAATTGAATGATGTACAGGGTGATCCAGAAGTAACGTCAAAGACAGTGTAATTTCAAAAGTATTCATCAGATCTTCATGAAATTTGGTATACATGTACCCACAACATTTCTGAGTTACCATCTCAAAGATTGGAATTCAATCATTTCATTGGTTGAAATTATGGTTGCTATAGTAACCTGATATCGCGTAACCCGGGGCAAATTGAAGAGAAACCATAACGTTTTTGTGAATTTCTCTAATTTAAAAAGTCAGTAACATTTGAAAATGTTCATTGTTTGTTTTCTATGATTTTTATATTTGTTGCCATGGTAACAAATATGTAATAGTTGTGATGTCACAATAGGCATTCATAAAAAGCTTTCAATTTCTTTGAATTGCTTCCATCATCCATGACAAATACTAACATGACCAAGGACACTAACCCACCCAATTCAAGATGGCGCCAAGTCAGAGTAAAATAGAGCAAAGAACAAACATTAAGTTCTGTGTAAAGTTGGGGAAAGGTGTAAAAGAGACTATAAGACAGATAAAGAAGGCATATGGTAAAGCTGCCATTGCTGAGAGAAACATTTACAGGTGGTTTAACAAGTATTCCAGTGGATATGATGAAGTGGTAGACAAGCAGCGAGGAGGCAGGCCAGTGTCGTCATTCGATGATCAAACCATCAAAGCAATTGAAGCTGATGTTATGGACAATAGGCAAATTTCTATCAGAGAATTGGCTGAAAAACACGATCTGAGCTATGGGACTGTGCAACGGATACTGACAAAGAACTGTCTGTTAAAGAAGGTGTCTGCTAAATGGGTGCCGCATGACTTGACACAGGAGCAGAAAGACCGGCGTGTTAAGGCTTCAAGGGACTTTCTTGCAAAATATCGGAGAGATGGAGATGACTTTCTTAACAAGATCATTACGAGTGACGAATCATTGCTATCATTCTACATCCCAGAGACCACGCAACAAAGTTCATCGTGGAAACATGACAACTCCCCAACACCAACCAAGCCTAAAATAGTACCAGGAATTCCACAAAAGAAACAAATGGTTGTGACATTCTTTGACATTAGAGGAATGGTGTTAACCCATTTTGTTCCCATTGGCCAGAGAATTAATGCCGTTTACATTGCAAAGGTAAGATATCATTTGTTCTAATAATACATCATACTGTGAATTTTATTTTTAAATTAAAGTATTTAAATGTTGTTCACTGTCAATATAATTATAACTCCATGGCCATGATTCAAATCCAAATCCAATCAATGAAACAACTGGTTTAACAACCATTAAACATTTGTTTTTCAGGTTCTGAAGCGTGATCTTCAACGTTCCCTGAGGAAAAAGCGTCCCGGACATCTGCAGCAGTTTATCTTGCATTGGGACAATGCCCCTACGCACACTGCAATCCTGACCAGCAACACAGTCCAAACACTTGGATTTCAACAATTTGAACATGCCCCTTATTCACCTGATCTTGCCCCCAGTGACTTTTATTTGTATGGGGAACTAAAAAGAAACCTTAGTGGAAATAATTTTCAATCCTGTGAGGAATTGAAAAATGCCGTAGTACTAGCCCTACAAGGAATGAGTTCTAATGGATTTAATTCTGTGTTCAAGGAATGGGTATCCAGACATGAGAAATGTGTTGCAAATGGTGGCAATTTTGTAGAATGAACTATTATTAGTAACTGTGCAATAGTATGATTTATATTGTTGTGAAATAAAATGTTGAGGATATAACAATTTCAGATCTTGTTGATATTTTGAGATTACGCATTACACGTTAAGTAATTTGCCCCGGGTTACGCGATATCGGGTTACTATAGCAACCATAATTTCAACCAATGAAATGATTGAATTCCAATCTTTGAGATGGTAACTCAGAAATGTTGTGGGTACATGTATACCAAATTTCATGAAGATCTGATGAATACTTTTGAAATTACAACATCTTTGACGTTACTTCTGGATCACCCTGTATATACTGTATGTGCCAAATATCAGGGGTAATTCCCTAAAATTATTAAAGTATGAATTAAAATGGTGGTAGGATTGCCATTCTTTGACCACCCTGTATTAGAGATATCTGAAAAAAAATTGTCAAAAGATGACATGCTAGATATCTAGCTAGTATAAACAGATATAGATATTATCAAGAATGATTATATTTGAAGGAAAATAATACAGAAAAATAATTCATGTAATTAGTTTAAAAATAATTTTCAACTAAAATGTTTAAAATAAATTCTATTAAGATTGACAAACCCTCAATTGTTGGATCAGGAGGAAGGGGGATTGGAATGGTGGTTGTTGTTGTTGTTGTTGTTGTTGTTGTTGTTGTTGTTGTAGGTAACACTTCTTTGCATTCTATAGATGCCATTGCTCCGCAGAGTGATGCATCTGTTTGGCCAAACCTTTGAACTAATTGCCTCTTTGTCAGTTCCTCTACATTGCCATCTTGTGTCTCAGTGCCAATACATTTAATCCATACTGTTATGTTGCGTTCCTCTGGAGGCAAATCCAGTTGGCATTTACTAATGGTCTTGCTTATAACAGCAATTATATTGTTTGCCTTTGTTGGTTCACTGATCCCTAGGATGATGAATGCCCAAATAAGGAGAAAGAATTTGTATGAAACCTGCAATCAAAACATTAGGATTATGTAAAATCTTGTTTTATGTAAAAAATTGTTTTGAAGTATCAACTATCATAAATATTGTACATTTTTACCATTTTTGAAAGTAAGTAAATCTCATATTTCACATTTAAGAAATGTTTTATTATATCAATTGATATAAAATGAATGAATAAACAAAATTGTAAGTAGATTGATGTAGAAGGATTTGATAATTGTAAAAATCAGATCTACCATATTTAGTATATTCCTGTTGTTGAACAGTCCTGGATGTTGTGATGAAGTAAAACACTTCAGCAGGATATCATAACTTCTATGTTGCCCTTAACTGAATGTATAACAAGTCATGCTGAATCCTTATTTTTCTCAAGAAATGAATCCCTATATTATCAAATGTATTTGATCAGCTTTATTAAATGTTTATGTCTTCCTCTATTCTGTATCAAGCAACTTGTGACTTAAAAGGAAAAACATAAATGATTCTTGTTGAAAGGGATTCTCATAAATGAAACAAGCAAATTAGAGGTTATAATAACAACATTATTTTTACTTAAGTTTATGTTTATGTGCTTGCTTAATCATTACAACATTATTTATTTAATGATTATATTTCATTTTATTATGGTTAGATGCCATATAAACGTTTGAATTGCTTTATAAATCATTATTATGCTGCTCATCTTTCAAGGTATCTAAGATGCACAGCATTCACATAAAAGCAAGCAGTACACAATCAACCTTATGCTCTTTTCTTTACCTTACCTACCAACCCAGATAAAAAGTTATTAAACACGGGAAATACACAAAATAACAGAATTTTTTAACAGTCCCAGAAAATATTAAAGAACCTGGAAAATTGGCATAAACCACAATTTGCCTTTTACATTAAACAATGAATGTTCTGCCACTTTTGCAAAAAGGATCCCTCCTCTTTGAGCCAGGTTATTTTCTTCGTCTTTTCCCAGAAACTGTTTTTTTGGCATTTCTCTTGATTTTAGTCAAGTGACGATGTGATGGTTCATGTAGTATTGTATCAATGTACACTGTATCCCCTGTTTTGTTTGTCATGCAAAAGTTATTCTATTGCAGATGATGCAAGTTCTATGAGTTGGAATGGAAGGGTGAAGAAATGTCGGCATTTTTGTCTCGCGAAATTCACTTTTGGCCTATTTCCTAGCTTTACAAATAATTTCAGGTGTCCTGCATTGTAAAAAGCCATGTAACTGTAAAGAGTAATTATATGAAATAATTTTGTTACAAAAAATCGGCAAAATATTTTATCCGTTTTTTTATTTTCAGCCATTTTATAGTTAACATTGATTTGTTCATCTATCTCACGAAATCTACTTTTGAACCATTTGCCTTAAAACCTCTATCAATAGGATTCCGGTTTTAAGTTATTTTTGTTCAACATCAATGTAGAAAACTCCTCTATGACTCCTGGTTCAAAAGCTCGCCTATTTTCAAAATGGTCGCCAATTTTGTCTCGCAGAATTCACTTTTGGCCCATTTCCTAGCTTTACAAATAATTTCAGGTGTCCTGCATTGTAAAAATCCATGTCAATGTAAAGAGTAGTTGTATGAAATAATATTGTTCCAAAAAATGGGCAAAAAGTTATATCTGTTTTTTTTATTTTCAGCCATTTTAGTTAACATTGATTTGTCCATAATGTCTTGGACCATTTGCCTTAAAACCTCTGTGGATAGGATTCCCGATTTAAGTTATTTTCGTTCAACATCAATACAGAAAACTCCCCTATGACTCCTGGTTCAAAAGATTGTCTATTTTCAAAATGGTTGCCATTTTTGTCTTGCGAAATTCACTTGTTGCCCATTTCCTAGCTTTACAAATAATTTCAGGTGTCCTGTACTGTAAAAAGTCATGTCACTGTAAAGAGTAGTTGTAGGAAATAATTTTGTTACAAAAAAATCGGCAAAAATTACATCTATTTTTTTATATTCTGCCATTTTAGCCATCATTGACTTTTGAGCAACACCATGTGAGCCCAGTACCCACGGTACTATTTATTTTATTTTCAGCCATTCTAGTTAATATTGATTTGTCCATCTGTCTCGCGAAATCCACTTTTGGACCATTTGCCTTTTAAAAGACCTCTGTAGATAGGATTCCTATTTCAAGTTATTTTTATTCAACATCAATACAGAAACCCCCCCTATGACTCCTGGTTCAAAAGCTTGCCTATTTTCAAAATGGTCACCATTTTTAGAAATGATTTCAGGTGTCCTGCATTGTAAAAAGCCATGTCATTGTAAAGAGTAGTTGTATGAAATAATTTTGTTACAAAAATAGGCAAAAAATTTCATCCGTTTTTTTATTTTCTGCCATTTAGCCATCATTCATTTATGAGCAACACCATGTGAGCCCAGTACCCACAATAGTATTTTTTATAGGATATTTTAATCTTTTTGATGTATTATTAATTGCCATGACTCAAATGACAAATGCAAATCTTTTAACAAAGCTTGACTACACCAGACGAGCTGTGCTCATCGAGGGACTGACTCAACTGTTTTTGGATGTAATAGAAATGTCTCTGTAGGGACTTGTTCTGGTCCTCGTTCTCAGGTTTTACTGTATTTCACAATGACATTTGTTTGAAAACGAGAATTCTTTTTATATGAATATTGACCCTTACTGAACTTATTTGCAGATGCCTAGGAATTGTCACTTGAAGGATCTCCTGTCTGAGATTACTAAACACAAGAGCTCCATGTACTGCCTACATGATGTCCAATCTCTCCTGAAAACTCTCGTCAAAAAATATCACCACCACCTGTATAACAATGACACAATGGTTCTTGTTCAGGATGAGAGAATGCAAGCAACTTTATCGTATGAAACCTTCCATAAACCATTCCGTGAACTATTTATTTGGGCAGTTCTCATGAACAGGTCAGTGTTTTTTTTATTTAATATGGTATGCATCCAAGGTTGAGTAGTGATGAAAGGGAAACCAAGTTACTTGTTTTGAAAAATGTTGTAAATATGTTGAAATGGATTGAATAGCAACTTTGATTGAAAATAAACAATCAATGAACAATAAATAAATATGAATAAATTGGACGATTTCTATTTATTATACTCGCGATTATACATTGATATATTCATAGCACCATACATTAGTAAAGCATTGGCAGTTCACATAGCGTGAATTCTCATTTGAAATAAAACAAATGATTGTGTGTGAACATGTATTTTCCAGGCTTGAGTTGGCCAAGTTTCTATGGGAACGAGGTGACGAAGCAGTTATCAACGCCATTGCCGCAAGTGCCATCTGTAAATCTCTAGCAGACCGCACTGCCCTCTATGATTCAGATCTAAATGATGAATATTTACACAGTCAGAGGTGAGGTATTTCTATAGGATTTACATAGAATATTTGATAATTTTGAGTGATATCACATTTGCCAGTAGCAACGTGTCACCACTTCTGGTGGTGACATAAAAGTGTTACAGAAGTGATTGACATATGTAGATAAGCATTGTCACACATACAGATAGTATGATGTTGGTTTCTTTGCAGAGAGTTTGAGCAAATGGCATGTGGAGTGCTGGATGAGTGCTACAGTACAGATCCAGATAAGGCAGCCATTTTGGTTGAGCGAGAGTATGAGACGTGGGGTAGCATGAATGTGTTAGAAATGGCAGCGGAGGCAAATGACAAGGTATGTTATATACAATTTGTGTAGGTAAAATGTTTGGCCCATGCTGTATCTATGTCTATATATTTATTTGGACCTATACATTTTACCCTTCGAATATTTCCACTCTGTCACATATGGAAGATCAAGAACATTATTTAGTTTGTTTTTGCAATGGACCAGCTTAAAAAGTATTTAATGACTTCTTAACATGGTTAGCAGTGTTATTAACATGGTTAGCAGTGTTATTAACATGGTTAGCAGTGTTATTAACATGGTTAGCAGTGTTATTAACATGGTTCGCAGTGTTATTAACATGGTTGGCAGTGTTATTAACATGGTTAGCAGTGTTATTAACATGGTTAGCAGTGTTATTAACATGGTTAACAGTGTTATTAACATGGTTAGCAGTGTTATTAACATGGTTGGCAGTGTTATTAACATGGTTAGCAGTGTTATTAACATGGTTAGCAGTGTTATTAACATGGTTAGCAGTGTTCCTAGATAAGAAATGAAAGCATTTATTTAAAATGGAAAATGTCTTTAGAATCTGAGAACTTGTGAGTGAGGATGATATTCATCAAAAACAGTTAAAAATTTCAATTTATCAATTCATACTTTATTAATTTACCTTTTTCAGAGATTTATGAAATTACTTTAAATATTGTAAATTATGACAAACTTTATTCCAACAATACAACTACATAAATTGATAGAATCCTTTATGTTTCATTTCAGAAATTTCTATCAACTGTATGTTGCCAGAATTGTATCACAATACGATGGAAACGAGGCATTGGCTCTGACTGGTGGAGAGTTGTACTTGCGCTAATATTCCCCCCTCTAATATTTTGTGGCATTCGCTACCAGCCCCTTGGCAACGCTGCAGAGAGTCTTTCACCGTGGCAGAAGATGCTCATGTTCTACAGAGCACCAATGACTAAATTCGCTGGAAATACAGTAAGTCTACATAAACTGTATCTAGATACTTATTATATGAATAAAAAAATTAAGTGTTGACGAATATTTCAAAATTAACATTAAATGATCCATGCAGAATGAGGGATGACATGTCTCTTGGGGCACCTCATAAAAGTATATAAGGTGTAGGACCACCCTCTGATTAGCTGAGAGAGAAATTGAATTGATGATTTTTGAAAACCTGATTGTGACAAGAGTGCAGCATTACTACTGAAATCATTCTGTATTTCTGATGTAATGCCATTGATTTAAGTAGTCATAGTTTATCTTGATGAACATTTAGGATACATACACATTATATCTTTTCAGCTGCTTTATATGCTGTTCCTGCTCTACTATTCCTATGTAATACTTTTTCAACTCCGACCCACCCCAACAATTTATGAGTGGGTTTTGATTGGCTGGATTGGTACCATGGTGATGGAGGAGATACGAGAGGTAAGAAATGTTGAAATATCTAGAGTCCCGAGCATACATAAATTCTTCATTTTATATAACCATGTTTTTAATTTAGAACGATAAAGAACATTGCTTGCAGTTTTGTCGAAGATTTTAGCATTAAGTTTGTGAAGCCTATTCAAATCCTTTTTACAAGAATCTCTCTTTCCAGGTATCCTCATCAAATGCTGACACAATTCTCGGAAAAGTTAAAGACTGGTGGAATTACTCTTTCTACAATCGTCTTGATGCCTTAACAATTTTCTTGTTCATCCTGGGCGTCATATTGCGTATCTGGTCTCACCTGTTTGACTATGCCAGGCACGTGTATGTGATAAACTGTGTGTTTATGTATGCACGCATGATGAGAGTATACTCTGCACATAGTCAGCTGGGGCCAAAGATGAACATGATTCGAAGAATGGTATGTTTTTAGCTTTTTACTCCTGGTTAATCTGTCCGTCCAGAATTGGGTTTAAAACAAATATATGCAAGGACTTTTTATTACATTTTACTATTACAGTCAGTATAATTTATTTTGTTATAAATTACTTTATTATAAAAGTAAGTAAATATATGTTACAAAATGCGGTACAGGGTGACACAGGTTATTTGGCTGTTTGGAAAAAGGACAAGGACTTGAAATAAAGTTTATTTTCTGCCACCAATATAATAGTCTTGTGTGACCCAGTTCCAAATTATAGCAATGTACAGTGTATTTCCTGTGATATGATGATAGTTATCTGATTCAAAGTCCCACTCTAGTATTCAAAATACCAGGTTTACTGGTTCAACGTTATTTCCTTGTTCTCTTCCAGTTACGTGAGATGCTATTTTTTCTTGTGATCCTCTGTGTTTTCCTGTTTGCCTATGGAGTCTCAAGTCAAGCCTTACTCTATCCTGCCAGGGATTTCTACATCAAGATATTTAAGGATGTCTTATACTACCCTTATTGGCAGATTTATGGCGAGATTTTCCTTGAAGAAATATCAGGTAATTGCCAATTAGTCTTATTATTAAAACACTTCAATGGAATGTGAACTGGACTTAGTACTTTTGCAAAATAAATTCTCGAATATTTGAAGTTCAATCTTACATAAAAGAATCTGTGATTTAGAATAGACATGCTGCACTCATACTGGAGTGGTGAGATCGCTGTATATTATTTGAAGAAACTACAAAGTGTTTCTATGTTTCAGGTGTTAAGGAGGGTTGCTATGGTAACACCACAATGTCATATGTAGATGGGGAACCTTGTCCAGTATATTCTCCCATTGTGCCAATACTGCTGGGACTGTACCTCCTCATGGGAAATGTCCTCTTGCTCAATCTACTTATCGCAATATTCAGGTTCATTAGTACAGTTTTATTTAACCTTCAGTAATAACCATCAAATACCAAATATTCCAGTGTCAAGATATAGAGACAAAAATATGGGCATTTTGAAAACAAAAAGTAGTTTTTTTGGTTTTATGTAAAAAAGAGAAAAGGGGATCAATGTTTTCAAATAAAATGGAGGCATAAGCAAGTTAACTATTTTTGCATTGTGTGCTCGGGTCATTGGAAAGCGTATTTAAGCATGCTTGTTAATTTTTCTATATTTATACTTATTTTAACATATCAAGTGCTTTTGAATAAAATTGTGTATTATTGTACATTCCATATTAATAATACTAGTGAATCATTGTACATTCAGTCAATGTGAATCATTTTACATTCAGTCATTGTAAATCATTGTACATTCAGTCAATGTGAATCATTTTACATTCAGTCAATGTGAATCATTGTACATTGCAGTCGTGTGTATGAGGAAGTTGAAGAGAACTCAATTGAGATCTGGAAGTATGACATGTACTTCTTGGTCTGTGAGATGGATGAAAAACCAGGCCTTTCCCCTCCATTTGCAGTATTTGAGTATATTGTGATGATTATCATGTTCCTTGCAAACAAGTCCTGTTGTAAAAAACGTAAAGAAGGTGAGAATTGAAGGCCTAAAATGTTGGGAAATTTTGAGAGAGTAAAATGTGGAAATAATGGAAACTAATAATGTATTTCAGGTTTACAGGTTTGTGAGTAATGATGCCTAAGTGCAATAACAAAATAGCACCCATAAATGATATGAATCAAATAGACTAATCCTCCACATCATCATGTCCTTTATTTAACTTAGATTAACAATAATGAATAATAAATTTTGACAAAATTCGAAAAAAACATAATTACATGTTTCAATACACTAAATTGCATTAACTGATTTTTACCTCCAGGTCCAATTTTAACTACGCGTCTAATGACGGAATTGCACGTATATGAGAGGGAGTGTTGTGCACTTTTCATCTCCCATGCTGCAGCCAATAGTGGGGCCACCATTGAGAACAGAGTGAAAGCCATGAAAGAAAGGTAATGTGCTTCTCAATATTATTTTGGTTGTGTTTTTTTGGTATTGAGAACTAATCCTTCACTTATGATGAGAATGAATGATATGATTTTTATGTCAACACCACAAGTGGTGTTCTGCGACTGTAACAGCGTTCGGCATCTGTAACGGATGTCAGCGTCTGTAACAAATGGCAGGTGGTGACATTTTGCATGTTAATGCCTTGTTTTATTATTGAGAGAAGTTACAAATGATTTAGCATTTAAAATTTATTGTACCACCTTAATCGGAACCATATAATACCAGTGTGTGATATGTACAAGATATATTACATTTTACTTGAAGTCAATGGTCAAAAAGAAAGAATAACATGGTCAAATAGAGAAATATAGTCAAAGTTGAGTTACATCATATGTGTATAACTTCAATTGTTTGGTTATTCCTTTTAGAATGGATGGCATGTACAAAATCCTTGAAGAACAAAGTGAGCACCACCTCGATGTAAATGAGAGTCACCATCAGCACCACCATGCACCACAAACACTTACAAGGAGGAAATCAACAATGCAACCTCCATTAGGGACCATTAGTGAGGCGCCAAGTACCAGTAACAAGAAACGACCATTTTCAAGATGGCCTTCAATACATCAAGTACAAGTGCTACTTTTGAAAGAGAAACTGAAAAATCATTTAAATGTAAGTGGGAACAATGATCCTATAATTGATTTGCATTTGTAGAACCTCACAAAAACAGGGTTCAAGATTGGACACTTTATTTTACAGGGTGACCGGAAAAAAAGGAGACCATTGAAATAGGCAATATCTCCTAAAATAGACTAGTGACATCAATGAAATTTTGCATACATCAGGACAGTTCTATGGAAATTTGTTCCTGAAAGTGTCAATACAAGCAGTCAACTGGTTCAGGAGCTATGATCATTTACATAACATGCTCCAAATAGGTGCAATTGAGACCAACGCAGAGCTGGATACATTTGGCAAATACCCTTACATATTCCGACCTTGTTATGGCATTACATTTAGCATTTATTGCCACCTTTAGGTCAGCAATTGTCTCAGGATTGTTTTGGTACACATTGTCTTTCAAATTGCCCCACAAAAAGAAATCAGGTGGATTCAAATTTGAGGTGTATGGAGACGAAGCTTATCTGACCTATGGCTTCTGACTCAGTGGTCCCACTCAGTTACAGTATCATCCTAAGGAGGTTTTGGGCAGCCCTTGGTTTTCATATGGGATTTAATTGTGCCATATAGTGGTTTTAGTAACATGGCACTATGCCCAATACCTAAAGTGACTCTTAAGATTTGGTAAATCAGCACTTTGGCAACAGGATGATGAACCACATGTCAGATAACCCTTCATTGCCATTACAGCCTAGACTTGAATCCTGCTGATTTCTTTTTGTATGGATATTTGAAAGACAATCTATACCAAAACAATCCTCAGACTATTGTTGACCTAAAGAAGGCAATCACTGCTATATATATGTAATGCCATAATAATGCCATAGAGGGCAGAACATGTAAGGGTAGTTTGCCATAAGAATCCAACTCTGCGTTGGTCTCAATTGTGCCTATTTGGAGCATGTTATGTAAATGATCATAGCTCCTGAACCAGTTGAATGCTTGTATTGAAACCTTCAGTAACAAATTTCCATATAACTGTTCCAGTGTATGCAAAATTTCATTGATGGCACTTGTCTAGTTTAGGAGAAATTGATTACTTCAATGGTCTCCCTTTTTCCGGTCACCCTGTATTTCCTTGTACCAGCCACTATTTTAGAAAAGTTATTATCTGATGAATATTGGAGGAAATCACAGTGAAATGATACAAGGCAAAAGCACCTCCCTTTCACAAAACTTTTTTCTGTGCCATTTGCCTTTCAAGATACAGAATCTTACTTTCCTGAAATCTTCCAAGATATTGAATTGACTTTAAGTGTATACATGCACAAGCCTACCATCACACCTCAATATATAATTTAATAAATAATATAATATTCTACATACACTCATTTCCAGATGAGTGAAGAGGCAGCTTCTAGGAGGGAATCAAATGTTGCAACAGAACAAAATGCAAACCTCATTCCTAGCATGCAGCCACCTACAGCCTTAACAGGATACCAATCATCATCATCTATAGGGCAACCACCAGCCAATCATTTTATAGGAAACCCACCTGATCCATCTTTTGGGCAACATTCTGCTCCATCTATTAACCAATATTATAACCAAATGCAATATCAGGGACACTATCTTAACCAATCACAAGCAAACAATCAAAATGCTAAAATTCCAGAGCAAAATTTTAATCAACCTGAAACTGATAAGTTTGCTCAACCTCCGTTTCCCATGATGCAACAACAGACAATTTGGCGGCCAATTGTGGCTCCTCCACCAGTGAACAATCAGTTTTATGGACAATCACAACCTCCTTCATTCACAAACATTCCAAATGCATCAGGGAGAGATTCGCCAGACACAGCAACAAGTTTGTTTGATCGTACCATGAATCTCACATCCACTACCAAAGTTAGTAGTCCGTTAATCCGTCCAAGACCAACACATTCAATGTCAAAACCATCCTCTCCATCGATTCCTAGAGATGCCAATCTTGATAGCTCATTGGACCATCGAGCAGCAAGTGATGATGATATCACAAGTCATCGTCATAAATCCAAGAAACAAAAACGGAAAAAGAAAAAATTACTTTCACGATTTTTGGAATCAAACAGTCCTGATTCTGACACTGTTGATTCCCCAGATACGCCAAAGAAATCAACCAATCAGGCTTGGAGCAGTAGCAGTAACCATGGTAACACAAGTAGGGTAGTGGAAAATTCCCCTGCTTCCAATATTATCTCCCAGAATAATATAAGTGCTACAATGACAAGACCTCCTAATGGACCTCAGGATTCACTTGCGAATGCGAGAATTTTAGCCATGGAGCAAAGATTGCAACATATAGAACGTAACACAGGGAAATCTCTAAAAAACATTGAAGGCCTTTTGCGATCTTCTTTATTTCAAAAAGGAGAACCAAATAAACCTGATACTGCTGCTCAGCATGTTCAATCCAGTAGTGATAACAATGTTAAAGTTTGACGTAATGAGATTATTGTTTATGCTGTCTCCAAAGTACATGTTCGTACATCGTATGCCAAATTAATTTATATCATATGTATCCAAGACAGCATGGGATATTTTGTTCAATCATTGTAAACAAGATATAGACTATACACCATGTCATATATATTATAAATGTATATATATTGATCATATTGTATATAGTCATGTAGAGTATTTGAGTATATTGTGTATGTGCAAAGAAAATTGATCATATAGGTCAGCCTCATATTGTCTACAATCAAGAAGCTATATTTATTGTACACAACATAAGACAGTATGTAATTTAACATACAACCATGATTATTTGTGATATTGTATGGCATGTATTGTACATACAAGATATGAAGTTAGTATGTGTTTACAATTAACATTGTGTACACATCTATGTTGTTTTATACTTCCCGGTGGAGTAATGTTACTCAAGACAATCAATAGTGTATATTTTTATGCACTATACTGTATACTGTATCCATACATCTGAAACATTATGCATATTGTTATATAGGGATGGGACAGTGCTCAAAAATGCACTTAGACTTATGTCTAAAAAGCAAAAACATCAGAATTGCATCTTTTTCTAGTAAGTATATATATATATATTTAGAAAGTGGATTTAATTTCTGAATGTTATTCTTTACTGAAGGTCTGTACACCGTTCCATTCCATTTTTTTTATTCCGTCCATTCCCTATTGTTATATGCCATTTTATACCAGTATACATTATTTTTATAACCCATGTACAGTGTTATCTTCTGCTTATACTAATAGTTTGATCCATATAATATGTGAATCATTTCTGCATTTAGTGGTTGGCATCTGTAACAAATGGGAGGTGGTGATATTGCATGTTAATGCTTTGATATTATTATTATCTTATAGGGATAGCATTTCTTATTTACACTGTAGATCTATTGTTTGAGAAATTATGTAATTTATTTTATTACATTTTACAATATAACTTAAAAGGTATTTTCCTATTTTGTTTTAGCTTTAATTTGTACAGAGTTCAAGACAAGCGTGTGAATTGTGCTCAAGATATGAGAATGGGATAAAGATTTGTGATAATCTTATCTGAATAATTCATTCCACGAATATAAAATTTAGTTTGTTTACACATAAATTGTCGTATTAACTTTGTAAAGCTTTTTCTTTACAAAAGTATTAGATGTCAAATACTGCTGTATAATGCCTGGAATTAATATACATTGTACCAAGGACGTATATGGATGTCCTTGATTGTACTAACTTTGGAAAACTCATTCCAGTCCCAGATGAGATAATATACTGCAAGCTGTGATTGAACTCAGGGCTACACACAAAGGTCTGATGTTTCTCTTCTTAATAAGATCTGAACTAAATTTTTGTATAATAGTTAACTTTATTTTGTGCTCAACTATGACATCTGATATATGTCATTTAAGCTAGTTTATTAACATTGTACAGATACTAGCCTATATGTAAATCGTACTAAATGAGATATGACTTTGTTTCAATATACAGATGTATTAACAATGCAGTAAACAATAGCCTTTATTTAACATTGAATAAATGTTCAACATATATAAATGTGATATTATAGCCTTCTGTTATTTGCTCTACAGGTGTTTGCAATTGTATACATTCTGACTCTGGGTTTATAATGATATCATTACAAAATTTAGAAAATAAAACTGATGCATTTAGCATATAGACAAATGATGGTTGTGTTAGTTCTCAAAGCTGCAATTTGCAAGTCTGTTTCTCAGCGTATTTTGTTGAAAAAAAGATGGGAGAGTGACCATATATGGAAGGGACAAGTCGCAAGTCAGGATTCACTTCTTTAATGCAAAACATTACTCAGTTTTATATTAAAAGGTCCTACTTAATATTTATTTTACACCATTCAATACAGACAAGTGGCAATAACAATTTTATTCACTTTGAGAATCATATTTCAAACAGCCTCTTCGAAATTAATTACATAAACCTGGTATTATAGATAAACTGTAACTCGATAAGGGCACATATATCAGAATATTAAAAGATGAGGGCAGCATGGTTCTTCATCGATTGTTGGCAACCAGTACAAATTCAATAGTCAATATTCTGCTATGCACCTGCATGTTCATCGGAGTGTACATTTAACAAGAGACAACAAAAATGTGTGAGTCCCCAATGAAAAGAAATGCTTGAGTGAATTTGCCTCTGATTCGATACACTGTAATTTGATTATACATGATCAACAAAATTGCTTCTTGGTACTAGGCCTATGTACATTGCATCTCTCCTTCATAGGATAACATTTTTAGTTTTAGCCAAGGAAATGGTCCTTGTTGAGTTACCGGTGGCAATCAGAGAATCATATTTTACGGCACAGACTAGCATATAAGTCCTGCTCAGGAGACATTCTATCTCAGAGTGTCAATGTCTCAGCTGAGTTACCCGCACTTTGATGATGCTGATTCATCATGTCTATTTCTTCCTGTTGACGTCGCATTTCAATAGCTTCTTGCTCTCTCTCAAATTCATCTTGCATTTTAATTGTTTCTTGTGCATCTTTTTGCATTTGTTCCATTTTCTCCAATGTGATGGATTTCATAGGCATTAACTTGGGTTTACAAAGAACGGTAGTTGGGATATCCTCTTGATATAAAAGTCCTTTCTTTGGTAGGACTTCCTTCATTTTATTTTTGTTATCCATCTTGGAAGTTGGAATATCTTTAAGGTTTTTAGCTCAGTTGATCTTTAGTTGTCTCCTCAATTCTAGGCTTTATATCTGGAAGTAGAATCAATTAGAAATTGTTAAATGACCACCATCAGTGCCTGTCGCTGTTTCCAGTACAACTACAGCTATGTATTTAAACTTGTGTCAGTGCTGAGTCAAAAGCATTTAAGGGATCCAATTATCATAAGGAAATTAGTCTTGTTATGGGCGAAGGGGGTAAATGATGGTTTCATTAGCAAATATTGTTAATTTTTTTCAATTGAAAGAAAAATCAACATTTTAAATTATTGTCAGATAAGAGAAGGGGGGTCAATTCATATCAAACTTCATTTTTCCATGAATGATTCCTTTGTGCGATCTTCCTTTTGGCTGTTGTCATGACACGACACAGACACATGCCATGTTGTAGTGGCATTACACATTTATATTTCATTTTTGTACTTAAGTAGTTTGTAGTTAGTTGTATGCTTTGTATATGACCCCTGATGGGGATTGAAATACAATAAAGCTAATAAATTTGAAAATTTGAATTTGAAATTTGACAGCAAGAAATAGGTTTAAAGGGACAGGGTCATATAGAGGATAAAATGGTTGAAAATACCATTTTTCTGGCTATAGACATGATTGTCTGGTCTACAACCTTGTCTGGTGTATCTTTTTTCGACATATGAATGAAGCTCCATTCAAAGTATGTAAGCCCCCCCCTCCCCCCATTATAGTTACAACAGGATCCCAGTGGTTTTCTACACAAACATGTTTAAGCCTCAGCTGGAAAGAAACAGTTTGGTAAAAAATTGCTACATGTATACCTGCACATGTTATTTTCTGGTACAAAAGTATGAAGGCATGTGTATATTTCCTTGCTTTTTTTAGGAAAGTATCATTACACTGTCTACTTTTAGTAAACCTGGAAACAGGTCAATGGTACATGTAGCTCTTGTGTTGTCTGGAAACTTTGAAAGAACGGAGTGGCTCCAGGACCGACAATTGTCGGTACTGGAGACTGTCCAGGGGTATTTGCTGGGGTACCGACAATTGTCGGCACTCTACCGTCACCTAGTAGTGTCAGATAGAGAACCGACAATTGTCGGTACGCAAGTGGCTGCTACGTGTTTTTGCTAGAGAGCCGACAATTTCATAAACAAATTCATTACTTTTAATTTCATATACAACTTCATCACTGGTAGTCTAGTGGTTAGCGAGCACGATTCGAACACACTCGGTCCCGAGTTCGAATCCCGGCAAGACCTACTTTTTTCTTTTGAGGGGGGGATAGTGCTTCTTTTGCAGTATGGAATCGTACAGGCATTAACTTGTAGTGAGCCATAATTTATTTAGACAAAAATTGATTCAACTTCCATCAAAATTGTCCTACAAGCTTCAATTAAAAAACATTTTAAAGCTCTTTTCTTGTTCTATCTAATGGGTCGATATATACAATATTAGGAGGGGATGCTTTCGCCCCCGTCGACCTCTACCCTTACTACGCCATGGCACAGGAGAAATATCTCATTTGGAATATATCACTGTTTACTTTGCGTTTGGTAGCTCTCTCATGCGAGACGGAATCGTGGCCATTAACTAAGGGAGCCAAATGCAACTTCCATCAAAAATTGTGCTATAAGGTATGAGTACCGTAATCCAACACCAAATTCGAAAATTCATAACAATACTTTGCACATATGGCGTTCGTGACCAACTATGAAACGCGTACCCCCCATAGTGTTATATATCAAAATGCACCTGTCCATATAGGGGTTCGATTGACCTACATCAAATTATAGGGAGTCGGGTTACTTTTTGAGATATCAGCGTCCGTTTATTGTAACTCGCGTTTGCTACCACTTCCTCAATTCTGATATGACAGGCAAACGCGTAGTAAACATCCTCACGTTCGGAACTATTTTGACCTACATCGCTATTTTCGTAATTCAAATGAAAGTTGAACTCCTCTTTATTTTGATACCAAATAGTGGCATACTAGGTACCATAGAAGCCAACTATGGGTTATTTAGAACGATACCACAGGTTTTTAAATGGACTATATACCTTTTGGCGGATGGATATGGAACCTCATACCATACGATAAGCTCTAAAAAACATTCTAGCTATTTTCTTCTATCTAATGGGTAGCAAACGCCCCTTCCTTTTTATTGGGTTTTCAACGTTTACTACCATTCCCTGTTCCCGGGCTACCATTTTTTGACTGGGTTTGGTAATCCCCGGGCTAATGCCCTCCCCGGGTTTTGCACTTGTTCCCAAAATATCCGTATGATATCTGAAATATCCCCCCGCGCATTGCGCATGCGCCAGAAAATTCGTAAATCAATATTTGTCGGTCCTCTAGCGTGTAAACACAGCATATCTCCCGTACCGACAATTTATTTGTCGGTCCTCTAGCGTGCCACCACATCAGAGTCTAGAGTACCGACAATTGTCGGTACTCTAGCCTTTACGTTGAAAGAAAATTTGGAAAAATAGAAAGTGTGAAACATCAGAATTTCCTGTAGTTCCCATTGAATTCCTACCAGATATTCTAAAGGAAGACAATGTAATGATAGATTCCTGAAAAGACCAAGGGAATTGACACATGCCTTCATACTTTATTTTGTACCAGAAAATAACATGTGCAGCAATTTTTACCAAAATGTTACTTTCCAGCTGTAAGCTTACCTAAACACTAGACTAGCTAGATCAGAGGAGTTAGACTACAATCATCATCTAAAATAGCGTAAATATTTGATAACTACCCAGCTTCCAGTCTTATTCCAGTTGTTTCCCAGTTATAGTGATATACTACAGCTTGAACATCTAAAAATTTGATCAGGATAAAATATTTGGTTTTGTTGATAAAAATGCAGAGCTAGCAACTTTATTTGTATTTCTTTAGTAGCATTGGAGGGAATGGAATAATATGAAATTCCTTGAGTTTAGCATGCTAACTATTAATTGAAATATGTTTTGTGGAAATATAAAGCATAAAATATGTTTGATTAGGATATTTTGTGTCGTGCAATAAGATCATCATTCCAGAAGAATAAAGATTCTTGAATAACAAAACAGCTTTTCAAAACGAGGCAGTTGATGTCACTGAAAGTGATTCATTTTTGTTTACAACCAATATTTGCCAATTTGGAGGTATACGGGAACGTTTAAACCAATTCACATTATAGCAGGTACTATATTTTACACTTTACTTTGACGATTTACTAAATTGATAGTATGTTTGCCATGATATCGAACAATTACTTCAAACCGGAAGTAAAAAAATATTTTCAACTGATCAATTCCGTCTGTTACATTCACGGACCTCTGCCAGATAAGCTCCTCTGTGTCTAGGCTCAATAAAATATTTATCCTTTGAGCCTACTACCAACAGGGGCTGGATCTGGCTCCGGATCTGTGGTTACATTTAGATATTGATGGATATTGAGATTTCCTTCAGATAAAATATGACTCTATTAGAGTCAGTACGTCTATTTCCAAACACCCCCATCAAAAAATGTAGTTGCCTTGGCTGTACTGCACATCTATGCTATGATTCTATATATATTATGTGTATTTTCCACTGTAGAATGCATTTGCAGAAAAAATTACGAAAAATTGTAAAAAATATCTGGGTTATTCCATTTTTACTACAAGGTATTTTTGGGGGGTAATTCCGAACAGGAGTTTTTTGGGGGGGTAAATCCGAACACTTGCATGGGGGTTATTCCAAACACTTAACTTAAACTTAATTGTTTTAATTATTAGATTGATGGTATATCATTTATATGATACCCTTAACTTATGATGCTGGATCCTGTCACCCCTGCATATCAAGAAACCCAAATTTAAATCATTTATTACTGACATCTATTTATTTAAACACACAGAGTTTGTGGGGGGTAATTCCAAACACTAGCATGGGGGTAATTCCGAACACCTAAATCATCATAATTGATTATTTTATTGTAAGATTGTTGGTATACATCATTATATTGTATCTTTCAGGCTATAAATATTATGTAGAGGTAGTAGAGGTACTATTATTCAATTCAATGATCTGCTTGCCATTATTTGGAACCCGTTCGTGTTTACCCCCCTGTTTGGATTTGGACGTATTGACTCTACCTTGTTTCAAAATTTAATTAATCTCCGAACACTAATCATTTTCATAACAAATTTTGATAACTTGAGCGATGTCAACACAATTTCATTTCAGTTTGGGGTAACTTCAACACATGAGTTAACTTCAACACCTTGTTGTTTATTTGCTTAATTAACGATCTAGTTGGAAGCCATATTTTTCTTCTCACATGGATCAAGATAATTTCTTACAAATGTAGAAGTTCCCCTATTTCTCGTGTTGACATTACCTCACATGTTAAGGTTACACCCCTTTGCCCTACGTAACTAGGTTGAATCAAACTGTAAGACATTTTAGAATTTCAGTAAAAAAAATCCAACAGTTTTTTGAGTTTGCTATCTCTGTTCTCAGTGAACTTGATTTTAGTAGTTATCTCATGAATTATAATGATATTATTTTTAGGTGTTTTTGAAGGCAGGTGAAAATGAAACTATATTCCCTGTCAATATTGTTCCGTCATCCGGACAACAAGGTCACACAGCTCATTACAGCGCAAGATCTACAGTCATTTGGCTACTTTCAGAGAGGAAGGTAGGTATTAGGTATTACATTATACCATCACCGTCCCAAACTAGCAAAAGTAAGGGATTCATAGTGAATTGGATCATTAATTTTATCCACATACTAGTAATTAACATTCTAACATAAGTACTACATTGACCCTTTGTAAAGTCCTGACCCTTAGCACAGCCTGACCCTTAATACAGACTCAACTCCTTGTTATACCCTGCCCTTTGTACAGTCGTTACCCTTAATACAGACCTGACTCCTTATTGTACCTGTACCCTGTCCCTTAGAACAGTCCTTACCCTTAGTAGGTCCTGACCCTTATTTCAGCTTGACCTTTAATATGGCCCTAACCCTTACTGTAGCCTGACCACAAGTATAGTCTCAACTTTGTCTTAGAGACTAGCCCTCATTATAGCTCTGACTCCTAGTACAGCCTGACTCTAGCCTGATTTCTCAGTATACTCCCACCTCTTTGCCATGGCCCCTCAGTACAGCCATGACTCCTCAGTAATTAGTATAGCTCTATATCCAAATAACTACATACCTGACTGACTTTGTGCTACTTCACACTGCTGTTATATTTTGACAATAAAATTGTTTACAAAATTTAAAAGACTTCCAAATGAAAGGCCTACAAATTCTTGCATTAGTTTGTAATTTCTAGTAGAGGTGTCACGGTTTCCCGATATTGGACCGAATTTCGGTCCAGATGCTTCGGTTCGGGACAAGGGACAAGGGACAGAAAGGTTAATATCGGTTTGGTATCGGTACATAAATTCCTTCCCTAAAATGCATAAAAACGTGTATAAATAGCGAGGAACACCTCTGATTTCGTTCTGAAAAATTAAATATTTTCCTTTACCTCGTACCTAGATTATACTTCTTTGTATTGAAAAGTGTTATTAACGGACCCGCTATTTCATGTAGATGGTAATGCTTGTTCGTAAATTTCTTCATCGTTGTTCGCAAATCGAGTGCATTATCAGTATGCCGGATGTAGGAAAGAAATTGTTAGTTAGTCAAAAAAGTCGGCAGTTTTGAAGTATTTTGGGACTCTGATATCACAAGGTAAATGAATTGGTGATAGTTCACCGTGCAGACTATGTGAAATGCCAATCACATTTGCGGCAGATGGATTTTAATCTCCAATTCACTGAAAGTGAAACTGTCATCATCAGACATTGCATCATTTTTAATGTTCTGTCCCGTCCCGTCCTGAAAGTACCGTGTCCCGAGACCATTTGTACCGTTCTGTACCGTACTGAAATTTTTTAGATCGTGACACCTCTAATTTCTAGGTGTACTATTGTAACTTAATCATTTCTATAGGCTATTGAAATTGTCTGCCTTGTAGCCTGTCCTTAATAGTGATCGTTTTTTCATTATGAGCACCAGAAATCGAAAATATGAATTGATATTTTCAGTGTGAAAGAGTTTATGGATTTTACGAGTAAAATTATAACAGAAAGGACAACACCTGCATCCAGAGCATCAGTGAAGGAACAAGGTAAAAACATAATAATGAATTATATATTTCAGTCCAAAACTGTGCTAAATTTGATTGCGAACTTGCATTCAGCCATTATCCCAACAAACTAAGTGATCTTGTAAATGTTTGAATAGAAAACATGTGTTAAGTGTAGAAAACAGCAAGTGGCAAGTGCATCGTTTCTGTAAATATGTGTCACATTTTCCATTTTAGATTACAATTGCTGTCAGAGGACTTTTGTCATAAATTTGAATTTTAGAATATACTGGCATATAAATGATTGTTGAATTTGTGTGTAATATTTCAGAATACATGTGTCATGTGTATGTACGGAGAGACAATTTAGCTGGTGTTCTCATCTCTGATCATGAATATCCACAAAGAGTTAGTTTTACTCTATTAAACAAGGTGAGACATAATATCATATGGCAACTATCCAAAAATAGTAAAAAAACAATGTTTATATGGACATTTCATTTATTTTCAATAATGTGATGAAAAAAGATATATCAAGGTGGATGACACCCTATTGGGCAGGGTATTTCCGAAGGAAAAATGCTTGCTGGACATACAGACCTGTGCTTTTAGAATATCTTTGGTCCGTATCATCATTTGCCGGACATACAGACCAGTGATTTCAAAATGTATGCGGTCCGTATCAATATCAATCAGACCGTTAATTAATTGCGAAAGGAGCTTTTTATTGCTTCAAAGTTTTGAACCATAAAAAACATGAAGTCACCTACATGTACCTCGGAGAAGACGCATATGAAGCGAAATTGATAGATAATCACCAGTATTTGACTTATATTGTTTACAAAATCAAAGAGAATAAAAAAGAGAATGAAAATAGGTCAAAGATTATAGAGAATTCTCTTTGCGCATGACCTTCACACTGTTGTCGATACAAAACAATGATCCGAAGTTTCCCATTCAGAAAACAATACAATATATATTTGCAAAGTTTGAAGCATTTTTTTACTTTTTTGCATTGACTAAAGTTGCCGTTAGCTTATACTATGGAAAAGTCAGCTTCCAATCATCAAAGATGACTTGGAAGGTATGTTTAAATGTTAATTTAAGCCATCAATCACGCTGTCCGGTAATTTTCAACTTTTACAGGACCGTACGAAAATTGGTCGGTCTTGTCCGACAGACCAGCTTAGGAAATACCCTGCTATTGGGCATTTCCCTACTGATGTCATCCATATCTGATAATAAATATTCAAAAACAGTGCAAAAAAATTTGAATGATTCACTTCCAAAGTACTTTGACGAAAGTGACATTCAAATGAGTTTTAATGTAAAGTTTAATTGTAAAGTTATTTTTTTCCAGTTATTAGAAGATTTTGCTGCAAAGTTCCCCGCCCACACTTGGTCCTCATCTCCAGAAAAGTAAGTGGGTTACTTATGGTAACTTAATTATACAACAGCCAAAAATGTGTGACAGTAGTAGAAATGTTCTTAAGTACGAGTTTACATGGGTTATGATATTTATAGATACCTAGTCACTATAATTGATATTATACTATGTCTTTTTGGATACATTATTTTATACTCAGTGTTTTCCCCAGGATTTTTTCTCAAGTGGGTGCAAAATTCCTATTTTCACATTTCAGACCAAATTCAGATGAATTTAGGTCTAAACATGCCTATTTTCCATGAGTTTTCTCATTTTCAAGTGGATGCAAATGGATTCTCAGGTGGGTGCAAGCCTATTGTTACAATCTCAAGTGGGTGCAGTGCCCACTTGATTAAATGCTGGGGAGATCACTGATACTTATAAACATATATAATTAGAACTCACATTCCTCTCTACAGCTAATGAAGTAAATACTTTTGTTCACATTTCTAACTATTTTTAATAGCTTACCAGGGGCCGTGAAGTGGTACGATTCTATGATTGATTCAGATTTTTGTCAATGTTAATGATGCTTTGTGGGATTAATCTTAGAATTTATTGAAATACTTGTGGATTCAAACAATCTTTCAGGATAAATTTTATCCAAATCTTAGTCCACCTAAAGTGTTGGATACATTTTCTGATAAAATTTATCCGAATTCGATATAATTTGGATAAATCATGGGGTAAATCCTAGGGTTATACCAATTCACCAAACATTTATCCAAAAGGACCTTATACACCCTCCATTGGGATCTCCCCATGGGAAAAAAATAATTCATCTGATTTTTCAAAATGAGTATTCTGCTTCAATTATTAGGAGGCCCCATCGGGGGGCCTCCTATTAATTTTATAGATATTATTAGGAGGCCCTTCCAAGGGGCCTCCTATAGTTTTTGTAGTTATTCTTCTTATTATTCTTTTTAGCACTTTTTCTCCTACTTCTAGCTAGGTCTGAATTAACTCTTATATGCTCCTACTAGGGACATGAGCTGGACTTGTCGGGAAATTAGTTCATATCTAGGTCAAGGTCAAAGGTCAAAATCTAGGTCAAATCTAAGTTTTTTTTAAGTTTCTCAACGCCTGACACTAGACTTCAACATTTTTGGCTGATTTTTTGCATAGAGATAGATATTAGTATTCTATTAGTGTTAGCCTTTTGCCGTCTGAACGAATTTTGCCTACATTTTGAGATATTTGACGTCAAAAAACGGTCAAAAAAGGTCATTTTTCAACTTGCTTCAATTTGACCAATTTTTTTTTTAAAAAGCATCTCCAAAGTCTCAGGAGTTCAAATCTGACCTCAGATTTGACCTTTGATCTTTAGTTGACCTTCTGTGACCTTCGAAAGGTCAAAAAAGTTGATTTTTCAAATTGATTTTTTGGATTCAAATTTAGGTCAGCTTAATCACAAAGGACATACTGAGCTCTGAAAAAGTAAAATTTTCAAGGTCAAAGGTCAAGCTCATCAAATTAGATAACAAACTGTGCTATCTAAGTTTCTCAAAATTGGAGACTACAAATCAATATTTTTGGTTGAAAGTCAGGATATATAGCCATCTAGAGGTACTACACATATTAGCAATTGACTGTCTATTAAAATTTTGCACCAGTTTTGAGATATAAGAGCTCAAGAACTGAAAAAAGGTCAAATTTCGAAAATTTTGAAGGTCAAATTTTAACTTGCTTCAAATTGACCAATTTTTTTTAAAAAAGCATCCACAAAGTCTCAGGAGTTCAAATTTGACGTCAGATTTGACCTTTGACCTTTACTTGACCTTCTGTGACCTTCGAAAGGTCAAAAATGTTGATTTTTCAAATTGATTTTTTGGATTCAAATTTAGGTCAGCTCAATCACAAAGGACATACTGAGCTCTGAAAAAGTACAATTTTTAAGGTCAAAGGTCAAGGTCATCAAATTAGGTCACAAACTGTGCTATCTAAGTTTCTCAGAATTCAAGACTACAAATCAATATTTTTGGTTGAAAGTCAGGATATATATTCCTCTAGAGGTACTTCACATATTAGGAATTGACTATCTATTAAAATTTTGCACCAGTTTTGAAATATAAGAGCTTAAGGACTGAAAAAGGTCAAATTTAGAAAATTTTCAAGGTCAAATTTCAACTTGCTTCAAATTGACCAAATTTTTTTTTAAAAAGCGTCTACAAAGTCTCAGGAGTTCAAATCTGACCTCAAATTTGGCCTTTGACCTTTAGTTGACCTTCTGTGACCTTCGAAAGGTAAAAAAAGTTGATTTTTCAAATTGACTTTTTGGATTCAAATTTAAGTCAGCTTAATCACAAAAGACATACTGAGCTCTGAAAAAGTAAAATTTTCAAGGTCAAAGGTCAAGGTCATCAAATTAGGTGACAAACTGTGGTATCTACGGGGCCTCCGTAAGATTGCTTGCAATCTTAGATCGTTAGATCTCTAGTTATTATTAGGAGGCCCCATCGGGGGGCCTCCTATCAATTTTGTAGATATTATTATTCTTTATTATTAGGAGGCCCCAACGGGGGGCCTCCTATTAATTTTATAGATATTATTATTAGGAGGCCCCGACAGGGGGCCTCCTATTAATTTTATAGATATTATTATTATTAGGAGGCCCTCCTGAAAGGGCCTCCTATAGCTTTTGTAGCTTTTCTTTATTATTATTATTCTTTATTCTTTATTCTTTATTTATTATTCTTCCTAAGCATTTTTCTCCTACTTCCAACTAGCTTTCAACTACTTACTATATGCTCCTACTAGACACCTGGGCTGGAATAGGGGGGAAAATATTTTTTATCTAGGTCAAGGTCAAAGGTCAAAATCTAGGTCAAATCTAAGTTTTTTTTCAAGTTTCTCAAGTTTGTCATTATACTTCATTATTTCTTGCGATGAATTAAACTGAAACTACATTTAAGTATTCTCTACAAATTGTTCACTATATGTCAGCATTAAATTTTTACCGTTTTTGAGATATTTGACGTCAAAAAACGGTCAAAAAAGGTCATTTTTCAACTTGCTTCAATCTGACCAATTTTTTTTTTAAAAATCATCTACAAGTTCCCAGGAGTCCAAATCTGACCTCAGATTTGACCTTTGACCTTTACTTGACCTTCAGTGACCTTCGAAAGGTCAGAAAAGTTGATTTTTCAAATTGAGTCTTCGGATTTAAATTTAGGTCAGTCTAATTACAAAAAGCCTACTGAGGTCTAAAAAAGTAAAAATTTCAAGGTCAAAGGTCAAGGTCATCAAATTAGGTCACAAACTGTGCTATCTAAGTTTCTCATAGTTCAAGACTACAAATCAATATTTTTTTTTGTAAGTCAAGATATACATTTCTCTAAGGGTTCTACACATATTAGTCATTGACTATTTATTAAAATTTTGTCCCAGTTTTGAGATATAAGAGCTCAAAAACTGAAAAAGGTCAATTTTTCAAAGTTTATAAGGTCAAATTTTAACTTGCTTCAAATTCACCCAACTTTTTTTTAAAAATCATCTACAACTTCTCAGGAGTTCATATTTAACCTCAGATTTGACATTTGACCTTAAGTTGACCTTCAGTGACCTTCGCAAGGTCAGAAAACTTGATTTTTCAAATTGAGTTTTTTGGTTTCAAATTTAAGATAAGCCTAATCATAAAAGACCCACTGAGCTCTAAAACAGTAAAATTTTCAAAGTCAAGGGTCACGGTTATCAAATTAGGTCAAAGGTCAAAATCTAGGTCAAATCTGTATTTTTTTCAAGTTTCTCAACTTTGTCCTTATACTTCATTATTTCTTGCGATGAATTAAACTGAAACTACATTTTAGTATTTTCTACAAATTGTTCACTAGATGTCAGTATTAAATTTTTACCGTTTTTGAGATATTCGACGTTGAAAAACGGTAAAAAAAGGTCATTTTTCAACTTGCTTAAATCTGACCAATTTTTTTTTTAAATCATCTACAAGTTCTCAGGAGTCCGAATCTGTCCTCATATTTGACCTTTGACCTTTAGTTGACCTTCAATGACCTTCGAAAGGTAAGAAAAGTTGATTTTTCAAATTGAGTCTTTAGATTCAAATTTAGGTTAGCCTAATTAAAAAAGACCTACTGTGGTCTATAAAGGTAAAAATTTTCAAGGTCAAGGGTCAAGATCATGAAATTAGGTCACAAACTGTGCTATCTAAGTTTCGCAAAGTTCGAGACTACAAACAAATATTTTTAACCCGAAGTCAAAATATACACATTCCTCTAAGGGTTGTACACATATTAGCAATTGACTATCTAATAGAATTTTGTCCCAGTTTGAGATATAAGAGTTTAAAAGTTGAAAAAAGGTCAATTTCGAAATTTTTCAAGGTCAAATTTAAACTCGCTTCAATTTGACCAAATCTTTTTTTGAAAATCATCTACAAGTTCTCAGGAGTTCACATCTGACCTCAGATTTGATATTTGTCCTTTAGTTGACCTTCAAATTGTCAAAAATGCCTAAGAGGGCCTCCGTGAGATTGCTTGCAATCTTCAAAAGTCTAGTTATTATTATTCTTTATTTATTTATTCTTCCTAAACCTTTTTCTCCTACTTCCAACTACCTTTCAACTATATACTATATGCACCTACTAGGGACCTTGGCTGAACTTGGGGGGAAAGGAAATTTTATCTAGGTCAAGGTCAAAGGTCAAAATCTAGGTCAAATCTAAGTTTTTTTCAAGTTTCTCAAATCCTGACATTACACTTCAATATTTTTGGCTGAATTTTTGCATACAGATAGATATTAGTATTCTATTAGTCTTAGCCTTTTGCCGTCTGGAGAAATTTTGCCTAGATTTTGAGATATTGAAGGTCAAAAAAAGGTTAAAAAAGGTCTTTTCTCAACTTGCTTCAAATTGACCAATTTTTTTTTTAAAACTCATCTACAAGTTCTCAGGATTCCAAATCTGACCTTACTTTTGACCTGTGACCTTTGGTTGACCTTCAGTGACCTCCGAAAGGTCAAAAAAGTTGATTTTTCAAAT